GCAGAGGATGACGAGGTGTCACTGAGTCTATTTCTGAGGCGCATGAGAAGACGCGCCTGTCACACGCAAGTTTGTTATCAAACCCTGACCAGCGGAGGCTGCTGAGGCGTCACTGTGTCTGAGTCAGCGGCTCCTTAAAAAAACGCCTGTCACGCACTAGTCTGTTACCATCCCTTGATCCGCAGAGGATGGTGAGTTCACACAGAGCCTCAAAGAATAACTGAACAATACTCGCGAGACGCGCCTGTCACATAAGAGTCTGCAACCATACCCTGATCGGCAGGGGATGGTGAGGTGTGACAGTGGAGGAGCATCGTTCGTGCGCAGTGTTAACCGAAGGCATGTGTTCGCCGTTAACCAATGGCATGCGTTTGGTGTTGACCAATGGCATGTGTTCGGCGTTATCCAAAGGCACTTACCAATGAACAAGGACACGATCATTCTGCGACAGTAACCAATCTCTCGTAACCATGTAACATAGTGCCTAGATGAGAACACTCATCTCATCAAATCTCGCCTCCGAATGCGAGCTAGATAATCGGCATGTTCGCATCTGGGCACTGGAATACACTGGTTACTCTGAACACTCACTCCGCCAGTCTACCGTGACATGTCAAACGAAGCACCAACCCGCGCGTACAAAATATTAAAATATATGTCTCGCTACGATACCCAAACAGGAACTAGCTTGCGGGCTCAAGTAATCTGAATCTACGTCCCCCTACGATACCTAAACAGGGACGAACCTGCGCGCTCGAGCCATCTGCCCCCGGACGCACGTAGAGCCCCGACGGCTTGCCTCCTCCCGGGCGCAACGACAGCCCTCCGCCCAGCCCGCCGCCCCCCGGCCTCAAGCTCACGGCGGCCGGCGCTGCTGTGGTGGAGCAGGGGGGAAGGGAGAAGGGGTGGGAGGGGGGAGAGAGGGGTGGGAAAGGGGGAGAGGGAGGGGAGTGATGGGAGGAAAGGTTAAAGGAAAGATTGGGATTTGCAGGGGGTAAGGGGTTGGACGGCTTGCCTCGTCGAGAGCAATGCCCTCCGGACCTCAGACGGGCATCGATGTAGTGTTACATACGTAACAAATTCAAAATAACAGCTGGAGCAGCAATACTCGTTATGGAGAGGTTGAGAAGAACGGGATTAATGACGAAACAATGTGGTGACAGAAAGCGTCGATTTGGAAATGCCGTGTGTGCAAATAGCGAAGCAAAATGTGTTCAGTGGAGCAGACACGGTAAGCAACAAAACCGTGCTTCACAGAAGACGAAAGTTGCTTGACAACCAAATGACAGGAAATTTGCTGGTGAGCGTGCTGCTACCGTAAAGATCCAGTGAGACCCGAGAGAACCTCCCTAAAGTTTAGCTGGAGGGGTCAATAATCGCAGTCGATTCTTCTGAATCTGAAAATCCATCCTGATTCGGGCCTATACCTTGAAGATCTTAGAGTAGAGGAAGATAAAGGTACAGGACGCAAGAACTCCGCTTTAACTATATTTACCCTAGGACTCGACCTGTCGCTGCCGACCCGAAGTCCTTGAGCTTCTATCTAGCTTCTCGCTGATGGTGAAAAGCGGATCAAAACGAATCCACTCCAACGCCTTACCCAAAAAATATAATAATAACCCTTATTCACTGCGGGTTTATGCGAATGCGAGTTCAACGGAGAGGAAGTTTATGCGAATGCACCACGAACAAAGATACGTCATAACCCATGTCAGACTACGCCAGTAGCCACGTCCACGAAGGCAGGAAAAGTGAGGAAAATCGTTATAGAAGTAGACGTTCCTAAGGGTCTCCTGCACCTACGAATAAGGAATAAAATGCGACGGCTGCATCTTCGGTTTCATATTCTAAAAATCTTCAATAGATTTTATGTCGGGACGAAATGTGGTATGAAGAGGTGGGTGCACCTTTGGTCTCAGAAGCTGCAGACTGAGAGCTATCCGAAGCGGGCTTCGCGTCAGCGGCGGCGGCGGAGGCGGCGGCGGCAGCGGAAGCTTGGTCGTTGTCAACACCAGCCATATCAAGCACAGTCACAGTTAAAAAAGTCGGAGAATACGATGCCAAATATCCTGTAGTCTGTGTCGACTACAATTCAAGCTATCCGAAGCAACCTGTAGCTGTGTCGTGCGACGGCTAACAACGGCTAACGACGGATAACGACGAATAACGACGGCTACGCCGTAGAATCTAAGCTTGACTTAGAGCCCTCTCTAGGCTTTGCGATGGACGGTGCTGATGCACCTCTGGGCTGGATGCTACCCTCTCTGCCTAGGGAGACTGGGCCTGACAGGGTCCCACGGGAGAACTGAAAGGATGAGCTCGTCCTGCTCCACGTGCCTTGTTCCAAAAGACAGCAGCAGCAGCAGCGAGAGCCGTAGCAGAAGCAGGAGCAGGAGCAGAAACAGCCTCCACTTTCTAATGGGTGCAGTTGATTTCGGCCTGTTTCAATACGGTATTGTCTGGTACTTTGTTTCAAAACTTGGATAGCTCACCAGTCTTGAGATTTGTTCTGCTTCATTCCGAGCCGTGCCCAGCCTATCCCAGAGCCATTCGGAGATCGCATGGGTGTTGCCAGCAGGGAAAGAAATGTCAGCCTCCAGAGTCGACTTCTGGCTGGATGAGGTACTTGATTGCAATGCAAGTACCTTTTGGGCGTTGTTTTGGGCCTGGAACAGAGGACACGATTTGCATAATGAAGTAAGAACAATGTAATAACAGCATGAAACATCTGATATAAAAGTATCATGTACAGTGAATGTCATGGCTAGTATATAGCCATGGCATCCACAGTAAATGACAAATTTATTAACCTGAATATACATATGTTTTCCCTGTTCAATTTAAACCAATGTCGTAACTAATATATGAATCGTTTGAATATGTTTCAGATTTTTTCAATAGCTTATGAATACTCGATAGTGTATAATGAACGAAAATGCATTATCAAATCTTGCCCTCTATAGGGACTATATCAAGTAAGCTTCAATACACAAAAGAATGCAGATATTGAAATAAGAAACGGGTATGTGTGTAAGAGAAGCACTGGCAAATCGCGACGGACCTTCAACAATTGTTCACAACAGGTTTCCTCAGTGCACTGTAGCCGAACTGCCAGAAGCAGGGCAACTGTCGTTTCTGACCGTATGTCTTGGGTACTACAGTATCTAATATTTTCACAGCAACGTGATGCCGACCGATGTGTCAGCTTTGCCACAGCAGGAGAAGGATGGCTCCCACGTGAACTGTAGAACTTGCATCCTGGTTCTGGACTCTAGGGGGTACCCCTATAATGACAAGTGTACTATTATACATGCATTTCGATATGCTATAGCCTCGTGAGACTGTCATATTGTCCACGTTCAAAATGAAACCTCAATTTCCAGTGCAAAAGCTGGCAGGACCTGAAGGACGTGGTGTTTGTGTGCGAAACGAAAGAAGGAAAGGCACGCTCGTTACTTTGATAGCTCCCACTGAGATGGGCTTGTAACTTCCCAGTGATGAACCCCAAAGTTACAAATTCGTCCATTAAATTCTTCGGTTGTTTTTCCGTACGTAACCGCGTAATATGCAATATTAATTCTGTTCATTCCGAGCAGTGAGTGGAACTACAAAGGGTTCTCCATCATTGGACGGCTCAAGCACTCCGCTTTGTGAAAGTGTGCAATTGGACGCTCTCAAAGCACCAAGCCTCGGCTGAGTGGACGAAATGACCACATGCACAGACGGCTGAGCTGGAAGTATTTTAGCCAATGGCGCTCTCTCGAAGTGCTAGGGACGGTTGAGCTAATAGCCACAGACGGTTGAGGGTGAGCTGGACATTGTTGCGTGTACTGTATTTGTTTGATCCGTTGTGAATAGTTTCCATTTGACATCCCCTAGCTGAACCCGGGTGGATAGCACAACCTCTAAATACGGAGTTCAACGACAATCCTTTTGGGGGCATAACGAGTCTTCTAACCGTGTTCCTTTCACCAGAATAGCAAACAAGAGCGGCAGTCGTAACCGTGAAATGAGGAGTTCTGAACTTGATTTTCTAAGTCTGGTTCGTAAACACCACACTGCGCGTAAAATACAGACCGCAACAGAAACCATCACATACCGTTCTCATGTAGAGTACAGTTCAGTATGTAATGTACAGTTCAGTCTGTAATGTACTGTACAATACATATAGTCACCCTGGCATCCAGCGTTTAGCCCTCGGCGATGTGATGATGACCCATTTTGTGCCCCGGTACAGAGTACACCCTGGCTTCCCGTCGCCGACGGGACGAGACGTGACCGTCGCGAATTTGCCTTGTTAAAAAGCTGACATCATCTTCACCGTTAGTTGACGAAAGCATCACATGAAGCTTGCTCGAGGACATGGCATTTATCATAACGCTCGTTGAAATCGCTTGCTATTGATTCGCCAGCATTAAATTACACAAAGCCCGTCCAGCTTGCCTGCTGTCGCTGAGACTTCCACTAAAGATACGGCCAGCTGGAGGTTCGAAACGAAAGATCTTCACAAGGCATGCAGGATGTAGATTCGGTTTACACAACAGTCCCCACCCACGGTCAACCGCCAGAGACACCATCACCCTGCCTCAGTCAACACGGAAAGACCGCCTCGTTGCCGCATTTTCCGTGATTCCCCTCTTCCACATTCGCCCCCGCGAAATCCACCGCCATTCAACCAAATCCCATCCATCCATCCTTCCATCAATTCCTCCCCCCTTGCTTCCATCCCGCAAAAGCCGACTTTATAACGTGATTGTTTCTACGGGTAGATTCATTAACTCAAGTCCCCCGCGTCCTACCTTTCCGAACAAACCAGCTACGTGCGTTGTATCACTTGCCCCCTCTTTTTCCCCATTCCGCTAGAGATAAATGCAGCTGTGATCCAAAGGCACGTCATCAACTCGGATTTTCCGCACTTTTTTCACCATTACTGTACCAAAACTGAAGCTGTATTCCGAGCTTCCGGCACTCTGGACTTCGCCAAGCGCAACTCGCACGCAATGACGTCTCCCTTGTGTTTTCAGTCCGACGGAGCCAGCGGAGCATTTCCCGCTGGCTTTCCGGGTTCGAACTGGTTCGCCCAGCATCTTCTCGAGGCTTGTGGCGGTAACGGCGGCGTCGGATCCGGCGTGAACGGCGGCGTTTTCGGCAGCGCACCGAGCACATTTCTTGCGGGGTCGGGAGAGGCTCAACTCCCTTCATCGCTTCCTGTCACAATGTCCCCAGACGCGGACACTCACTTCGCCGCCGCGACTTCCGCCGTGCCGTCCGCGCCTATGACGCACGAGGACGAGATATTTCTGGCTCAGCTACAGGCGATGTTACAGGAGCCATGCGGCGGCAATGCCGCCGGCATCAGCCCCGCCGGGACGCTTGGCGGCGAGCAACCCCCTACCGTCACCGCGCCGCCCGCTCCCGCAGGCGCCGCTACATTTGGCGCGCAAGCGGCTAACCAGCCTTCCCACATTCCCAGTCACTTCCGCTCGGCTCAGGCTGCGGCGGATAACTCGAGGCGGCGGGAGCACTCCGACGGCCTTCCTCTACCTCTGCCGCTGCGCGCGGCGAAGAGTGTAAAGACGTCCCCGCAATCCTGGCCCGGATCGCCTGTGCGCGCTCCGTTTAACACGCCACGTTCGGCATTGGACAGCTCGCCCCTCAGACGAGCCCTAACGGCGGAAAGGTCGAATTTCTCCGACCCGCGTCTCGGGGAGGCTAAGTTCGGAGGTAATCTGTCGCGCCTCGCTTCGATGCCATTGGACGGCGCGAACGCGGCGGCTTCCATGGAAACACCTGCGGCGGCGATGGCGGAGACTTCGCCCAAGCGGAGCGCGTCTGGCGACGGCATGGGCTGCCTTTCCGATGAGCCTCAACGGTCGAGCGGATCTGGTTCCGCTTCCGCGTCTCCCGCCCCCTCCACTGGGGTCTCCGCTAAAAATGCTGCCACTCCGGGCATTTCCGGCGCGGACGGTTCCGCGGGAAGGGGCCCTTCGCAGCTCGTGCGACAGCAGTCTGGGAAAGGTGGTGGAAGATTCGGGCAGCAGATAAAGCCAAAGAGCATGACCGAAAAACATCGGAGGGAGAAGATAAGCGAGGGAATGAATCGGCTGCGTATGGTGGTTGACGCGCATGGTGACGTGGCGTCGATGCTGAATTATGCGGTGGATTATATCCAGAATATGCAGGCTGCCAATAAGAGTCTGAGGTTGGAGCTTTTGCGGCGCCAGCTGTCGTGCGGTTGTAATGCGTCAGGCGATATTGCGCCAGGATCGCTGATTCAGCACCTCAATGCACTTCAAAAGTAGGCACAATTACTTTCATGATTTGTAGCTTTTATATTATGTGCATTATTGTAATTAGGGCAATAAATTTGATTTTGTGATATTATGCACCCATGCTGCCCAGAGACACTTGCAAAACACACTGTCCACTGATTTTTTGTTCCTTTTATATCAAATGCCGTACCTAACCTTGCATCATTGCACAATATAGTACATTTACTGGTCCTAGTGAGGGATGGTCCAATAAGGCGATAAAATCATATGCGGACACGACAAATCACCAGGTTCATATAGGTTGCTTTGACATTAGTTCTATGAGGCTACCCGCCACCTGACTTTCAACCACTGTTGTTTGTGGGCATTACTACTGCAACAAGCTCACTCTCTCCTCACTCGTTTGCTTCATTTGTGATTTCATTGTTAGAGGGGAATGTGACTGTAATGAAGTTGCCGAACCGGGACGCATAGCGAGCAGGGTTGACTGCGCTGATCGACGTCCCGTCGTACCTCAGACTCTTGCATACGTGCTCCGCCTTCTTTCGCGTGTTGTACTCCTGAAAGCGGTCACGGGAATGTGTGTGGGAGTGGGAGGGAGAGAGAAAGGGATTGTATGTGATGGAATGCAAAGCACACACACTTGCCCCGCCTTCGTGCGCGTGTTTTACTCCTGAACATGGTTGGGTGCATGTATGTGTGTCTGTGTGAGAGAGAGATAAAAATTAGATGGGACACAGTGCAAGGAACACATACGCGCTCGCCCGCGTTGTGCTCCTGATGGTGATGATGTGTGCAAGAGAGGGAGAAATCACACAACCGCAATATATATACGGAAGTCCTGAAGTGCAGCATTTTAAACCCCAAAATTTTCAACCCATAACCTTGAACTCTGAGCACTGACCTGCAGGATATCGATGATCCCGAAGTGCAGCACCACTTGGTACGTCTCCCTCTTGGCCGGATCCATCACAGCCTTGCGTGTCCGCCTGTCCACCCTCACAGCCGTTGCCGGCATGCCCTGCCCCAGCAAGCAACCCTCAACCCTAGACCTTAAACCCTAAAACCAGAAGACTGACCTGCAGGATATCAATGATTCCGAAGTGCAGCACCACTTGGTACGTCTCCCTCTTGGCTGGGTCCATCACAGCCTTGCGAGTCCGCCTGTCCACCCTCACTGCCGTTGCCGGCATGCCCTGCCCCAGCAAGCAACCCTCAACCCTAGACCTTAAACCCTAGAACCAGAAGACTGACCTGCAGGATATCAATAATCCCAAAGTGCAGCACCACTTGGTACGTCTCCCTCTTGGCCGGGTCCATCACAGCCTTGCGAGTCCGCCTGTCCACCCTCACTGCAGTCGCCGGCATGCCCTGACCCAGCAGCACCCCACTCCCTCCCTCTCCCGTGCCCCCCACCGCTCCTCCCTCGCCCACGCTCCCTCCCTCTCCCGAGCTCTTTCGCTCTCTCCCTTTTGCTCCCCCCTCCTGCTGCTGCTGCTGCTGCTGCTGCTGCTGCTGCTGTGAAGCTGTGGGCAGCAAGAAGCCATTCGCCACTTGCTCTGCTTTTCCATCTGCCCCGCCCGCTGCTGCGTCGCTTGTTGATCCCGCCCCTTCAACTGCCCCCGCCACGGCATTTAATGGACGGCTGAGTTTGTCTGTTGTGGTGGAGGCGTCAACTGACGCTTCGGCGGTCGAGGTGGAGGCAACCCTCTGCCATGGCCTCTGCATGTTGTGCTTCATCTGTGGTTGAAAGGGGATGAGGAGCGGGGATTGGGAGTGATTGTAAGGGACTGGAAAGGATTTTCTAGATGGCTCAAAGGTGGAGCAACCCTCTGCCATGGCCTCTACTAATCCCCTCCTTAGTATTCCTTGGATGAACTTTCACCCCAACGCTTCCGCACAGGACATGACCGAGGAGGGGATCGCACGCCTCAAGGACCTCAACATCACCCCCGTGATGTGGACGGCCATGGAGGAGCTCGCTGACTTCCTGCGACCCTTCCATGCCGTCACTCTGGCGGCCGAGGGGTCCAAGTACCCCACGATCAACAGGGTGGTCCCGCAGTTCAACGAACTGCTGGACACCCTGGAGGGGATTAGGGACAATGAGTCATCCCCTTGCTCCAGGATCATGAAGGAGTGCAATTTTTTAGGCGCCTCAAAAATGGACAATGAGTCATCCCCTTGCTCCAGGATCATGAAGGAGTGCATCAACCTGGCTTTGGGAAAGCTGAACGAGTACTACTCTGGCAGCCCTGACGAGTTGTGGATTGCCACTTTTCTGGACCCGAGCTTCAAGCTTGGGTATTTTCAGATGGGGAAGGAGGGGTCGACGGAGGGAGGGGCCCAGAACGCACAGCACGTGGCTGCCGAGCAGGTTCTGGAACTTGTGCGGGCGAAGTGGCGCCCGTACAAGGACAAGGCGGTCGCCCTGCGGGAGATGAGGGAGGGAGGAGGGTCATCTGCTGGGGCGAGTGGCCGGGTTGGCATAGAGGGGGGCAGCAGCAGCACCCGGGATGGTGGAGGAGCCGGCAGCAGCAAGGGGGGGAAAGGCCTTGCGAACGACGCCTTCGGGGGTGTTGTGGGGGATCAGTCGAGTTTGATGGCACGCCTGGCTGCCTTCCGAAGCCGACAGACAGTGACGATCAAAGACGAGATTCAGGATTATATCAATGAGCAGATGGAGCCCATGGGAGTCGACCCCCTTGCGTATTGGCACCGTAAGGGGGAGGATCTAGAGGGGCTGCAGGCGATGGTGCTTGATTACCTAGCCATACCTGCCACGTCGGCGGCTAGCGAGCGCACGTTCTCGCTGGGCCGCAACCTTATCACGTGGCAGCGTCATAGGCTAGGACCCGAGCGCGTTGAAGCGGTCATGTTGCTTAAATCATGGGTGGAGACGCACCAAGGGTGCAAATTGGGCAAGGCGGCAAAGGCCCTGCTGGAGAAGGCGGCGAAGGATTTGTTTGGCTTGGAGTTGGATGATGATGCATGAGGAAGGGGGGGGGGCGAATGTGGTGTGGGCTGGAATGGGATGACGCCTGGTGGTGGTGTTGCTGCAGGTGGCCCTAAGTGGATAGCTCCTTAATTATTCAAGACTTTGACTTCCATTGCTTTTGGGTTTGGGTGTGGTTCTACCTTGTTGCCCTCACTGGGCTGGTTTTGCGATCCCCCACCCAATACTGACGCTCTCCAGGGCGAATGACCTGGTCTGGATATGGTAATATTTATGTGATGACTGCTTGCTAGGTATCTTTATCGTCTAGGCTAGTACCTCGTACACCTGCACAGCAGTGATGGAGGGACATGGTGGGGCATAAGTTGGGTTATTTAGACTGTGTATGGCAACGAGCCGAGCTTCCCTCGGCTCGTCCGAGCTTTCCTTGAAGCTCGGACGAGCTTTAGAAAAGCTCGTGCAATTTGGCCGAGTCACGAGCTTGCATTTGCCCTGGAAAAGCTCGTACGAGCAAAACTCGGCTCGGAACAAAGCTCGTACGAGTGTGCCTGGGGACGAGCCGAGTAAAACTCGGCTCGGCTCGTTGCCCATGTATAGACTGGGGATTGGTAGGGCCGGGGGCTGAAGGGGCGGAGGTGCAGGCTACCCTCTCCATGGCCTCACACTCTCCCTCCCCACCCGCCCCACACCCCAACCTCACACACTTGCAAACGCGCACTCCCACACTCACACACTTCCACTCAAACTCTCCTGGGCGAGAGCACTCACCTGGCGGAAGGAGTTTGGGAACGAAGTCGAGGGGGCATTCAGGGAGGCTTCTCCTGCTGACGTGTCATCTACTGCTGACGTGTCACCGCCTGGTTGGTCCTCCCCAGTATCGGCTTCTGTGGCTGCAGCAGCTGTAGAGCGAAAGGATGGATGGAGAGAGGGAATCGGGAAATGACGGGGAGAGAAAGGAGTGGAAGATGGAAGGGAGAAGACATGAAAAGAGAAGGTGAGGGTGAAAGGGACAGTGGTAAGTGGGCGAGAGTGAGGGTAGGAGAGTGAGTGTGAGGGTAGGATGAGGATGAGGAGGAGCAGGAGGAGAAGGAGGAGGAGGAGGAGGAGGAGGAGAAAAATGAGCTAACGGAACGGGAAAACTGTAAATTTCAAATAAACTCATCACCCTCCTCTGCCAAATCAAGTGGTGTGTCTTTTATGCGTGCCTTTCATGCGTGCCTTTCCCCTTGATTAATAAAATGCGTAAAAAATCAAAAGCCACACTCTCAACAGCACCCATCACATCCACAACTGCAGCACCTGATGAGCTGGACGGCCGAGATTGGCCATCCTGGGTCGGGCGGCCCTCGGCGATGGTGACAGGTGGCAGCGCGGCATTGGTGGGGCGGAAATGCACCCCCAGCAGCAGGCTGTAGTCCATGATGCGCTGCCGTTGCAGGAACGCCGTGTCCAGAGCGATTTGCCTGGATGGGGAAGGTGAAGGAATGGAGAAAGGGGAAAACGGGAGATGGGAACTGAGAAAACCCCAGCAGCAGGCTGTAGTCCATTATGCGCTGCCGCTGCAGGAACGCCGTGTCCAGAGCGATTTGCCTGGGGGGGGGACAGACAGGATGGGGGAATGGTTGAAGTGGATGGGGGGGGGGGACTCAGGAGGAAATGCACCCCCAGCAGCAGGCTGCCGCTGCAGGAACGCCGTGTCCAGAGCAATTTGCCTGGCGGGGGGCGAAAGTAAGCGGGAATGAGGGAACTGGATGGGGGGACTCTAACGTGCACACACCCGCAGCAGCAGGCTGTAGTCCATTATGCGCTGCCGCTGCATGCAGGAATGCCGTGTCATGGGGGCACTGAACCCACCTGTGCATGAGGGCTCGCCAGGAGGCGGGCATGTGAAAGCAGAGGTCCAGATCGAGATCCTTGAGCGTAGCAGTCTCATCCACTGCCACCTTCTCCGTGCTCCTCCAACGATTACCCACTTTCATACCCCTGCCAGCACTGCTGACAAACCCACCTGTGCATGAGGGCTCGCCAAGATGCCGGCATGTGGAAGCAGAGGTCCAGATCCAGGTCTTTCAATGTGGTCGTCTCATCCACGGCCACCTTCTCTGTGCTGCGCCCCTGCGACGACCCCTTGAGGCTGTGAGGCTATAGCTGGCGAGTCGACTCAAAAGCAGGCTGTGAGGCTATAGCTGGCGAGTCGACTCAAAAGCAGGCTGTGAGGCTATAGCTGGCGAGTCGACTCAAAAGCAGGCTGTGAGGCTATAGCTGGCGAGTCGACTCAAAAGCAGGCTGTGAGGCTATAGCTGGCGAGTCGACTCAAAAGCAGGCTGTGAGGCTATAGCTGGCGAGTCGACTCAAAAGCAGGCTGTGAGGCTATAGCTGGCGAGTCGACTCAAAAGCAGGCTGTGAGGCTATAGCTGGCGAGTCGACTCAAAAGCAGGCTGTGAGGCTATAGCTGGCGAGTCGACTCAAAAGCAGGCTGTGAGGCTATAGCTGGCGAGTCGACTCAAAAGCAGGCTGTGAGGCTATAGCTGGCGAGTCGACTCAAAAGCAGGCTGTGAGGCTATAGCTGGCGAGTCGACTCAAAAGCAGGCTGTGAGGCTATAGCTGGCGAGTCGACTCAAAAGCAGGCTGTGAGGCTATAGCTGGCGAGTCGACTCAAAAGCAGGCTGTGAGGCTATAGCTGGCGAGTCGACTCAAAAGCAGGCTGTGAGGCTATAGCTGGCGAGTCGACTCAAAAGCAGGCTGTGAGGCTATAGCTGGCGAGTCGACTCAAAAGCAGGCTGTGAGGCTATAGCTGGCGAGTCGACTCAAAAGCAGGCTGTGAGGCTATAGCTGGCGAGTCGACTCAAAAGCAGGCTGTGAGGCTATAGCTGGCGAGTCGACTCAAAAGCAGGCTGTGAGGCTATAGCTGGCGAGTCGACTCAAAAGCAGGCTGTGAGGCTATAGCTGGCGAGTCGACTCAAAAGCAGGCTGTGAGGCTATAGCTGGCGAGTCGACTCAAAAGCAGGCTGTGAGGCTATAGCTGGCGAGTCGACTCAAAAGCAGGCTGTGAGGCTATAGCTGGCGAGTCGACTCAAAAGCAGGCTGTGAGGCTATAGCTGGCGAGTCGACTCAAAAGCAGGCTGTGAGGCTATAGCTGGCGAGTCGACTCAAAAGCAGGCTGTGAGGCTATAGCTGGCGAGTCGACTCAAAAGCAGGCTGTGAGGCTATAGCTGGCGAGTCGACTCAAAAGCAGGCTGTGAGGCTATAGCTGGCGAGTCGACTCAAAAGCAGGCTGTGAGGCTATAGCTGGCGAGTCGACTCAAAAGCAGGCTGTGAGGCTATAGCTGGCGAGTCGACTCAAAAGCAGGCTGTGAGGCTATAGCTGGCGAGTCGACTCAAAAGCAGGCTGTGAGGCTATAGCTGGCGAGTCGACTCAAAAGCAGGCTGTGAGGCTATAGCTGGCGAGTCGACTCAAAAGCAGGCTGTGAGGCTATAGCTGGCGAGTCGACTCAAAAGCAGGCTGTGAGGCTATAGCTGGCGAGTCGACTCAAAAGCAGGCTGTGAGGCTATAGCTGGCGAGTCGACTCAAAAGCAGGCTGTGAGGCTATAGCTGGCGAGTCGACTCAAAAGCAGGCTGTGAGGCTATAGCTGGCGAGTCGACTCAAAAGCAGGCTGTGAGGCTATAGCTGGCGAGTCGACTCAAAAGCAGGCTGTGAGGCTATAGCTGGCGAGTCGACTCAAAAGCAGGCTGTGAGGCTATAGCTGGCGAGTCGACTCAAAAGCAGGCTGTGAGGCTATAGCTGGCGAGTCGACTCAAAAGCAGGCTGTGAGGCTATAGCTGGCGAGTCGACTCAAAAGCAGGCTGTGAGGCTATAGCTGGCGAGTCGACTCAAAAGCAGGCTGTGAGGCTATAGCTGGCGAGTCGACTCAAAAGCAGGCTGTGAGGCTATAGCTGGCGAGTCGACTCAAAAGCAGGCTGTGAGGCTATAGCTGGCGAGTCGACTCAAAAGCAGGCTGTGAGGCTATAGCTGGCGAGTCGACTCAAAAGCAGGCTGTGAGGCTATAGCTGGCGAGTCGACTCAAAAGCAGGCTGTGAGGCTATAGCTGGCATACACTCATTCCTTGGTGGCACAGGCAGGCACACTCACCTGTGCATGAGAGCTCGCCAGGATGCGGGCATGTGAAAGGAGAGATCCAGGTCCAAATCCTTGAGCGTGGTGGTCTCATCCACTGCCACCTTCTCTGTGCTGCGCCCCTGCGACGACCCCTTGAGGTCGAACCGTCGGTGCATGCGCAGGTCGGTGACAAACACGTTGTCCATAGAAGATTACCCACTCCCATACCCCTACCTGCACTGCTGACCAACTCACTTGTGTATGAGAGCTCTCCACGAGGCACGCATGTGGAAGCTCAAATCGAGGTCTAGATCCTTGAGAGTGGTGGTCTCGTCAACCGCAACTTTCTCCGTGCTCCTCCCCTGCGACGACCCCTTGAGGTCGAAGCGCCTATGCATGCGCAGGTCGGTGACAAAGACGTTGGCCATGACCACAAAGCGGATGAGCGTGGAGGGCGAGGAGAGCACCGTGTGCAGCCGCCGCCGCCGCCGGTACCTCTGCGGATGGTTGTGCTGCTGGTGGGGGTCCGGGTGTTGGTCTTGGTGTTGGTGCTGCTCGTGCTGCTGGTGCGGGTGCTGGTGCTGTTGTTGATTCGTGGGGATGGACGGGTGGGTGGCACTGGCAGTGCTGCTGCTGCTGGTGGTGGTGGTGGTGGTGGGGGGGTTGATGGTGGTGCTGTCGCCTGGGGAGTTGGTGGCAGTGTTTTGGGTGGCACTGAGGAAGGGCGATGAGGGGAAGAGGCTGCGAGAGCATCGAACAGTCACCTCGGGAGACGAGGGGATGTCACTTGGGGACATGTCTGCTGCTGCTGCTGCGGCACCAGCAGCAGCAGCAGCGGTGGTGGTGGCTGTTGCTGTGCTGGTGGTGGTGGTGTTGGTGTTGATGGTCCTGGTGGTGGTGGTGTTGGTGGTGGTGGTTGTGGAAGCAACAGAAGAGGAGGGGGATAGTTTAGTACTGGTGGAGGAGGAACTGGACAGGTTGGAGGGTTGCTTTGTGTTGTAAACGCGGATGGAATGTAGCCCGAAGAACTTGGTGATGAGCGTGTGCTCGCAGTCGCGCACGTGCCGGAAATAGTCCGGTAACATCCGCTGTAACACCTGCTCCAAAAATAAAAATAGACATGAGAAAACGGAGGAAATGGTGGGACGGGGGATGGTGATGAGCGTGTGCTCGCAGTCGCGCACGTGCCGGAAAGAATCTGGCAGCATTGACTCCAACATCTGCTCAAGAGAGAAAAAAAAAAATTTTTTGAGGACAGGGAGACAATGGTGATGAAAAGGAGAGAACAATGAAGAAAGGAAGAGAATGGTGAAGTGATGGTGATGAGTGTATGAGCGTGTGCTCGCAGTTGCGCTTGTGCTGGAAACTCTCCCATTAACCCCCTCCCCCCCACTCACCCGCACTTCAGATGCGCGCATGGTTTTGATGATAAACCGATCATCATCCGACAGGTAGAACACACTCCCGGACTTGCCCTCATGCAAACACAACACCTCCCCCCTGCTCCCCTTCACACCCTCTAACCCTCTGCTGTGCTTCTACCCCACTCACCCGCACTTCAGATGCACGCATGGTTTTGATGATAAACCGATCATCGTCCGAGAGGTAGAACACACTCCCGGACTTGCCCTTATCCTCTTGCTCCCTTCCTACTCTGCTCCCCCTCCCCCCTCTGCCCATCTCACCCACTCACTTTCACTTCAGAGGCGCGCATGGTTTTGATGATAAATCTATCATCGTCCGACAGGTAGAACACACTCCCGGACTTGCCCTTATCCTCTTGCTCCCTTCCTACTCTGCTCCCCCTCCCCCCTCTGCCCATCTCACCCACTCACTTTCACTTCAGAGGCGCGCATGGTTTTGATGATAAATCTATCATCGTCCGACAGGTAGAACACACTCCCGGACTTGCCCGGGGACGACAGCTCCCTGAGAGCATTGTCGCCGCAGAGAGAGAGAGTGTAGTCCGCTGGATCGATGCCAAACATGGCGCGGAGCTCACTGGGGGGGAACACAAGGATTCAGAGGTAAGGCAGCACGTGCACACAAGATGTTGTGAGTCAGCTTGCCCGGGGACGACAGCTCCCTCAACGCGTTGTCGCGGCACAGCGAGAGAGTGTAGTCCGCTGGATCAATGCCAAACATGGCGCGCAGCTCACTGGAGAGGGAATGTAGGGGAGGGAGAGAGGTGGGTCATGTGGGTGAAGGGGGTTGGTGCAGAGAGAGGGAGAGAGACAGCGTGTAGTCGGCTGGATCAATGCCAAACATGGCCCGCAGCTCACTGGAGGGGGAAGGAGGAGAGGGACAGGTGGAGTGGGTGGGTGAAGGGAGTTGGTGCATAGAGAGGGAGAGGGGAGAGCGTCCGCAGGATCGATGCCACACATGGCCGGCAGTTCTCACTGCCAAGCACGCCACGCTCACCTGAAGGCCTTGGGAGCGTAGTCGCGCCAGGTGAAGGGGAGAGTGTTGTGGGGCGGCGTGCAGGAGGAGCCTTCCGGAGGGAACCACATCCTGTCTGCTGCCTCAAAGTCCTCTGCACGCAGCTCTGCTGAGGAGGGTGCGACTGGTGAGGGCGCACCTGAAGGCCTTGGGAGTCACGAGGCTCACCTGAAGGCCTTGGGAGTCACGAGGCTCACCTGAAGGCCTTGGGAGCATAATCACGCCAGGTGAAGGGCAGCGTGTTGTGGGGCGGCGTGCAGGAGGAGCCCTCCGGGGGGAACCACATAGTCTCTGCTGCCACACAGTGGTGACCTCTCAGGCGACACCGGTGTGCCAACGACCCACACACACTCTCACCTGAAGGCCTTGGGAGCGTAGTCGCGCCAGGTGAAGGGGAGCGTGTTGTGGGGCGGCGTGCAGGAAGACCCCTCCGGGGGGAACCACATTCTGTCTGCCGCCTCAAAGTCCTCTGCACGCAGCTCTGCTGAGGAGGGTGCGGCAGCTGAGGGCCTTGGGAGTCACGAGGCTCACCTGAAGGCTTTAGGAGCGTAGTCGCGCCAGGTGAAAGGGAGCGTGTTGTGGGGCGGCGTGCAGGAGGAGCCCTCCGGGGGGAACCACATCCTGTCTGCCGCCTCAAAGTGGCGAGCTCACTCTCAGGAGACATGTCCAAGCTCCATATGCTGAAGGCCGAAGGCTCACCTGAAGGCTTTGGGTGCATAATCACGCCAGGTGAAGGGGAGCGTGTTGTGGGGCGGCGTGCAGGAAGACCCCTCCGGGGGGAACCACATTCTGTCTGCCGCCTCAAAGTCCTCTGCACGCAGCTCTGATGAGGAGGGTGCGGCACTTGATGCAGGTGTAACTGGGGGAGGTGCGCTTGATGCAGGTGCGGCTGAGGCAGGTGCAGCTGTGGGAGGTGTGTTTGGAGTGGGTGCTGCTGGGGGAGGCGCGGTTGTGGGAGGTGCTTCTGAGGGAGGGGCAACAGGGGGAGGTGTTGCCCGCCCTGTGGAGTGCCTGGCGGGATGGGGACGTGGGATGGGAAAGCAGGAATGGGGAGGTGTGTGTGAGGTAGGGGAGGTGCATCTGAGGGAGGGGCAACAGGGGGAGGTGTTGCGCGCCCTGTGGAGTGCCTGGTGGGATGGGGGGGACGTGGGATGGGAAAGCAGGAATGGGGAAGTGTGAGAGAGGTAGGGGAGGTGCTTCTGATGGAGGGGCAACAGGGGAAGGTGCTGCCCGCCCAGTGGAGTGCCTGGTGGGTGGGATGGGGTGGTTGGAGTGCGATGAAAAAGAGTTGGACTCGAAGTGCTGTGATGCATGGGCTTTGAGGAATTCATGGGCCCTTGCGAACGAGTGAGGAGGACGGTTAGCAAGTGAGGGAGTGAGGAGGACGGTGAGCAAGCGAGGGAGTGAGGAGGACGGTGAGCAAGTGAGGGAGTGAGGAGGACGGTGAGCAAGTGAGGGAGTGAGGAGGACGGTGAGCAAGTGAGGGAGTGAGGAGGACGGTGAGCAAGTGAGGGAGTGAGGAGGACGGTGAGCAAGCGAGGGAGTGGGGAGGACGGTGAGCAAGTGAGGGGCGAAGGCACACAACACAAGGAGGCACAACTCACTTGAGCCCCACCTGAGCCCTAACTGAGCCCCACCTGATCCCCAACCCACCTGAGCCCCAGCTGGATGGCAGTCATGAGGTCGTAGCTGCGGTGGCCCTTGTATATCAGCTCTGTGTGAGAGACGCCTCATACGGCTGGATACCCGAGTGAAGGGAAGGCACACAACACCCGCGTGAAGAGGACCACAACACCCCACCCACCTGAGCCCCAGCTGGATGGCGGTCATGAGGTCATAGCTGCGGTGGCCCTTGTAGATCAGCTCGCCCGCCTTCCTCCCCGCCCTGCGCGTGGGCCCACGCCGCCTCTGCGTAGAAGGGGAAGGGGGAGAGGGGGGAGATTTTGACATCTCAAAGGTCGTAGCTGCGGTGCCCCTTGTAGATCAGCTCCCCCGCCTTCCTCCCCGCCCTGCGCGTGGGCCCACGCCGCCTCTGCGTAGAAGGGGAAGGGGGAGAGGGGGGAGATTTTGACATCTCAAAGGTCGTAGCTGCGGTGCCCCTTGTAGATCAGCTCCCCCGCCTTCCTCCCCGCCCTGCGCGTGGGCCCACGCCGCCTCTGCGTGGAAGGGGAAGGGGGAGAGGGGGGAGATTTTGACATCTCAAAGGTCGTAGCTGCGGTGCCCCTTGTAGATCAGCTCGCCCGCCTTCCTCCCCGCCCTGCGCGTGGGCCCACGCCGCCTCTGCGTGGAAGGGGAAGGGGGAGAGGGGGGAGATTTTGACATCTCAAAGGTCGTAGCTGCGGTGCCCCTTGTAGATCAGCTCGCCCGCCTTCCTCCCCGCCCTGCGTGTCGGCCCACGCCGCCGCTGCCATGGGTGGGCGAGGGGAGAGGGGGGAAGGAGAAGAAGAAACGACTTTTGAGACGCCTCGAAACTCGCTCGCCTTCCTCCCCGCCCTGCGCGTGGGTCTGCGCCGCCTCTGCCAGTGGTGAGAATGAACGGACAGGGTGGGGTGGGGCAGGGGGGAAGGGGTTGGGGAGGAACGAGAAGAAAGGGCGTGCTTCCGCGTGGCTCTGCCAGTGGTTGTCCTTGTGCTTATTCTCATGCACGATCAGCCTGCTGCATACCCTTTATAGACACACACTGATTCAAGCACTGCTGACCAGGAGGTGACGCTGCAGCTTGGAACGTGGTATTTCCGCCACCATCACCCCCTGCACTGCACGTACTCCCGCACTGTCACCAACACGGCGCTTGAACACAGCCAGTCAATTACTACTCACCACTCACCACAAGGTCGTGTTGCAGCTTGGAACGTGGTATCTCCGCCACCATCACGTCCTTCAGTTGACTTTTGAGTCGACTCAAAAGTCAACTCGGTATAATGTCACACAGCTTGAAACGTGGTATCTCCACCACCAGCACGCCCTGCACGTACTGGCTCACAGTCACCACCTCACAGTCACCACCTCACAGTCACCACCTCACAGTCACCACCTCCCTACTACAGGCTGGGCGCGGCAATGGTGTTGCTTCCACTTGTGCTTGTTCGACTGCTGCATACACCCTTCATAAGCGCACATCAAGCTTATCACTACTCAACTCACCACGAGGTCGTGCTGCAGCTTGGACCTTGGGATCTCCGCCACCATCACGCCCTGCACGTACTCCCTCACAGCCACCACCTTGCTACAGGGAAGGCTACAGCAGTGGTGGTGATACCCTTCATAATCATTCTCACCACGAGGTCGTGCTGCAGCTTGGACCTTGGGATCTCCGCCACCATCACCCCCTGCACATACTCCCGCACTGTCACCACCTTGCTGTGCCGCCTATTCTGCCTCTGCTTGCGGCCTGATGAGAACATGGCGCTCGAACGCAGCGAGTCCAGGGCTGAGTCCCCACCCGCTTCGCTCTCTTGGGCTGCAAGGGGTGGGGAGAAGGGATGAGATGAAAGGAGAGGTTGCTTGTGATGGTAGTGCTGGCAGTGCTGTGCTTGGGGTGTGCTCGTGCTGCCTCTGCCTGTGGCCTGATGGGGGGTGCTTCGCTCTCGTGGGCTGGAAGATCAGGAAGAGAAGAGGAGGGCGGGGAGAAAAGAATGGGAAGAGAATTGGAGAGGGGTGCTTGTGCTGGCAGTGCTGGCAGTGCTGGCAGTGCTGGCAGTGCTGGTAGTGCTGGCAGTGCTGGCAGTGCTGGTAGTGCTGGCAGTGCTGGTAGTGCTGGTAGTGCGGCCCGTGCTGCCTCTGTGTGCAGGCCAACGCAAGAGGCAAAGGCATAGTCTAGTCAGCAGCCTTTTTGCTCTAGTGTTGGGGCAGTGCGGTTAGATTCACGAGCCCCAAGGCACGGAGAGATTCACGAGCACCTGCCCTCACTTTCTTGTAAAGAGAAGGAGATAAGGGGCGGGGTAGGGGAAGCGAGAAAATGACTCACCATGAGACGAGCTTGTGTGCCTGTCTGCAGAATCCCCCCCAGCAGTGCTCCCGCCACGATCCCCCCCTTCCGCACTCGCCCGCCCCTCATCCCACTCCTCCCCATTCGCCGAACCCACAGACGACCCACGCACCCATCCCGCTAACCCGCCACCGCTCTGAACCGCACTGTCAACCCGGCCGCTGTTCTCCCTAGCCGGCACAGGGCCCATGGTGAACACGCGAGTCAGCTTCGCCGGGGCTGCTTTCGAAGACAGCTTGTTCTGACGATGACCAGAAGGAGAAGCACAAGCAGCAGCAGCAGCAGCAGCAGCAGTGGTGGTGGAAGTACCACCAGTGGCAGCACTGTCAACGCTGCTTCTGCGGAAATTGATGCCGGTACTGCCACCGCCGGCACTGACCAGGGTTCCCTCGGAGGCTGCGTGGGGGAGGTTGAGGGACGGGGCGGAGGGCTTTGCTGCTGTGGTTGATTTGGTGGAGCGAAGAGACCAGCGACGCCCCTTCTTTCCTTGCTCTCCCTGCTGCTGCTGCTGCTGCTGCGGTTGCGGCGACGGCTGCTGCTGAGGGGTACCCCTGTCCTTTTCCTTCTCCTTGCTCCACATTCTCCATAGCTTGGGTGCAGCAGCAGTCGCATCATCCCCTCCCTGCTTCGCTACCTTCTCTCTGTCTGTTACCTGTCCCTCCGTCTTCTGCTCCGCTTCTATAACTGCCTCTGATGCCCCGCCCGCAGCAGCAGCAGCAGCAGCAGCAGCAGCAGTAGCAGTCCCACTACCATCAGTCACAACATCGCCACTCTCACTGCTTACAACCACATTTTCTACCGCCAACCCCCCTTCAGTCACACCCGCTACACTCACACCCGCGGACCCCGCCTCCCCTTCCGCCCTTCCCTTCCCCACCTCCTCCTCCCCCCTCTCCCCCGTCCCCGTTCCCGCCACTTCAGCAGCCTCCTCCGCAATCCTCCCCACCTTCTCGTCCCATCCGGACCCCACACTCCCGCCCCGCTCCTTACAGCTTTCCCACAATCTACCCCCTACCATACCCCTGGCGCCCCTAGGCAGCGGCGGTGCAGGTCCGGGGAGAGACTCCGACTTACCTAATTTTAACTCACACTCAGCCCACTGCCGTTCCAGCGCCTCCTTTCTTTTCCAGTCCCGCAAAGCCCCCGCCCGCCCTCCACCAATCACAGACACGCTCCGGCTAAAATTCTTCGGCCCGGTGCCAGAAGGGGTAATAGTGAGCACGCCCGCGCTGCTGCTGGGGCGAATTGCCTTGTTACCCCCACTAGGAGTGTGGATGGCGCCGCTGGTGCTGGGGCGATTATCGTGACTAGTACCTACAGCTGTTGCTGCTGCTGCGGTAGTGTCAATACTGAGCCCGTCCCCTGCTGCCTTGTCACCCGGCCCGCCTGAACTCGCAGACCCTCCCCCTCCCCCTCCCCGTCCCCCTCCTTCTACTCCTACACCTCCCCCTGATCCTGCTACGCCTGTCGCCCCTCCATCGCCTGTCGTCGCTGCTCCTCCGTCCGCCTCTTGCTGCTGCTGCTGCGGATGCGGCTGCGGTGGTTTCTTTTGATCCGCCGGCTTCCACCCAATCGAAAGGCCCCGTGCCATTGTCAGTCCGCGACCCAGCGGCCGTCCCCCTCTCTTTCCGCCTCCTGCGCCAGCACCACCACCGCCAGCAGCAGCGGCGGAAACCCCTGCAGCCCCTACAGCACCCGCATCACCACTGCCAGCAGCAACGGCCGCCTCTTTCTCCGAAGCTGCACCCTCCGCTTCCCCCTCAACCCCCGTCCCGCCCCTCCCTGTTTCCCCCTTCTCCTCACCCCCTCCCCCACCTCCCTCCTCCTCCACCCACTCCTCTTCTTCCTCTCCCTCCTCCTCCTCATATCCTCTCGGGAAGTACAACCCCTTGCCGTCCTTCAATCCCCTGCTCCACGTGCCTTCGAAGCAGCTTCCGTCGGCCCACTTGAACGTCCCCGCGCCGTGCTCGAGTCCCGCCTCCCACTCCCCCTCGTAGCTATCCCCATTCGCCCACGAAAGCGTTCCGTACCCGCTTATCTTCCCGCCTTCCCACTCCCCGAAATACTCATTCCCGTTGCTCCACCTGTACCGACCAGGACCGTCCGGGACCCCTCGGCTCCAGAACCCCTCATAAACATCTCCGTTAGTGTAATGCTTCCTACCGAGTCCGTGCTTCACCCCAGCGGCCCAGTTCCCGGTATAGAATGCTCCGTCAGGAGCCCAATGGCTACCCACGCCCTGTAGAGCGCCGTCCTTCCATTCCCCTTCGTAACGCGTGCCGTCAGGGAGTTCGAACCAACCTTGACCGTGCTTCCGTCCCCTGTCCCATTCCCCATCGTACACGCTCCCATCCACCCAGGAGTATCTTCCGGTGCCGTGCGGTGCTCCTCCCGCCCATTCGCCCACGTATTTATCGCCGTTCGGGAAGTTTTTCCGGGTTACCGCTGCTCCTTCGCGAAGGTTCGCCGGAAGATCTGAATCTGAGGCTCGCGCGGGGGACGGCGCAGTCGCGACGGTGAACGCGCGCGGGTTGTTAGGTGCAGATGTGGTAACGAGCGCGGGGATTTCTTCTGCATTCGGAGATGATTTTGAAGCTACGGCTGGTTCCGCGGATATCGGTGCTGCTGATAACGAGGATTGTGATGATTCTGATGAAGCGGAAGCCATTACTAGTACCGGATTCTGGCTAGCTTCAAGAAGTTGCTTAGTTGACCATAGAGTGGGAGAATGTTACAAGTTGGAAGGTGCAGCGCTCATGCGAGACATGATACATCTGTGAAGGATAATGCGTGAAACCGTCCATAAATAGAATGAATTACCTGCTTCGTATCTTCCTGATTAGGAGAACGAATGGCTCAAATGAAAGCAGGCTAGATACGAAATATTCCTGAATTCTAGTCCTCCATGAACAATACAAATACAAGAATGTAATAAAGGGATCTATGCTCGCAACACAAATCTCGACAAAAACCAGTTCAAGATGGCGGAAGCAGCATTGACAAAACTGAAGAGATGTGGAAAGCTATGAGCTATTATCCATCCATGCTGTTGTTCGGATTGGCCTCACAGAAATGGCCGATTCTACAATGGCTGTGGAGTGGAAGGCAAGACCTGGAATGGTTCTAGAAGTCGTCGGTCACGTTGTCCGTTTGTCCTCGGTTTTGTCTTGTCATTCGCGAATAATGGTCTTGAACTGCCTGATTCGTTAGCGTGACAAAATCGTCGTCGTCTGCTCGTAAATTGTTACAGCGAGCTTCGCCATCAAGGTTCGCCAGACTCGGGTGGTACTGTACATGGGGGCGGTGCGTCGAGCTGGTGAGACCAACCTGAAAAGGCCTTTTTCCACGAATCGCAAGACAGCGCCACTTCACCACATATGAACAAAATGCACAATCCATCAAGACTGACTTCACTGCATAATCACACCATCCATATGCGATATGTGACAACATCGATTCTACACGTATCGTTTACGTAGCCAAAGCTTCTACACTACGGCCGGAATTCTCGAGGGGAGCTATCTGCCATTCTCGATATTTCCCGCCAACAGAGGAGCACCCTGGTTCTGACGCCGAAACGAACAGTTGCCGCAAGAGGCGGAATCCCTGGCACAGCCAGCCCGTTTGCTCAACCAAAGTTTTCGAGCGGCGGTGCACACGGGCTTGTCAACATGATACATCCATCCACCGGTGGGAAACCAGTCGCATTGCACAGAACCGTGCTCAACGTTTTCAAAACACCCTCCATGTTCCAAGACTCCTTCCTTCTCCGCCAACCTCCTTGGTTAGGTTATGCACTTACCTTCAAGTCGAATCGAAGGCCAGCCTCCTGATAAGAGGTTTCGACGAAGTCCACATTTCTCGAATTGTCAGCTTACGCGAACGCACAGTCTACTTTTGTGGCCGTTCCCATGTAAATAGTTGTCTTTTCTCACGACCGTTGAATGCGAGTGCATCTGTTGTTGTGATGCCAGCTTCTTTACAATTATTGTGCACAATAGTATCATAAGAACGCGGAATCGCGTAAACTCTCGCGCAGTGTTCACGGAAGTGCATATAGTGTCTATCATGATGAGTTTTTCTTTCTTCAATCAGCGGAACATCGCGCTCGTGTCGCTTCTGTTGGTGCTGGCTCCGCTGTTCTCGCTTCAGCAACACCAGCTCGTGCAAGCTCTAAAGCTCGAAATTCCTCTCGAGTTCTACCGAGGAGATAGTAAGACACCGAACATTCTGCTCCCTAGATATCTCACTACTGCACTGCACTGGACTGCACTGCGCTTGATACTCTCCTTTCCAATCACATTACTAAAGCTTCCTTGGTACTTGTCCAGCTTGCGTTTTCGTCTTGTCATAGCGACAGTTAGGTTAGGTCGTATCCCTGGCTAGTGTCAAGAGAGATAGTGTCATGACACTATCTCATAATCGCACGCGATTGGTCCAAAAAAGGCAACGGGCCAATCGCATGGGTTCCAAAGTTCTAGGTTGACACGATCTCATTCTTGACACTTGCCAGGGATACGACCTTAGTCCGTGTCGGGTACCACAGTCTGCATATTGGCGGTGCGAAGTGTTATTGTTAGCACTCCCTGTCGATGTAGTCGAATCTTAGTCTCATTGTTGTCGTTCCCTGTAGGCTAGTGCTGTTCCCCTCTAGCCTACTTCATCCCTTCTTCGTCTCATTTCTCATCGTTCCTTCACCCATTCCCTCCTTATCCATCTTGTGGCCCTTCCTTCCTTCCTTCCTTCCTTCCTTCCTTCCGTCCTTCCTTCCTTCCTTCCTTCCGTCCTTCCTCCCTCCCTCCCTCCCTCCCTCCCTCCCTCCCTCCCTCCCTCCCTCCCTCCCTCCCTCCCTCCCTCCCTCCCTCCCTCCCTCCCTCCCTCCCTCCCCTTCCCGTTCCGTTCCTTCTTCCTCTCACCCTTCCTTCTCGGCATTCCGCCTCATATTCCTTCCCTTAACTGTGTCAACCCCCTCATTCCTCCCCCAACCCGTCCCCCCTCCTTCCCCCCCTTCACCCGCCCTCCTTCCCCGTCACAGTAACCTACTTAAACAATTTCGCAGCAGCCATACCGAACTTTCCGCCATATGCGTGGGCTGCTGACGTGGCACCGCCATGCCCTACCGGCAACTGGATTGGCGTGACGTGCAACTCAGATAACTACGTGACTGACGTGTACGTCTGAGGAGTAGTGTACGGGTGGGGTGTGTGAGCAGTGCGGATTAAGTTGTGGTGGCGTGTAGGTTCAAGTAGTAGTGTATGGGTGTATGGGTGTATGGTTGGGATGTGGCGAGCTGTGCGGATAAAGCATGGTGCGGTGCGGTGCATGCAACTAGGGTAATAGGCTAACCACGTTACCACTCGTGTGACTTCAAAGTCGGCTCAGACGGTGACCTGGATAAGTACGTGGCTGACGTGTACAATCCAAGGTGTATGGATAAGGTGCGGCGTAGGCAGCCATGTCGCTGACGTGTAACTCACTGACTCTTGATTCATACTTGGTTGCTGCTGCTGTAAGCGGGATAAAATCGCTTGCTGCTGCTATCTTCTCTAACCGCTGTGTTGTGACTGTGCCATTGGCTTGCGGCTGTGTGGGTGGTGGTGTGGTTATGGGTGTGTGGGTGTGGGTGTGGGTGTGGGTGTGGGTGTGGGTGTGGGTGTGGGTGTGGGTGTGGGTGTGGGTGTAGGTGTGGGTGTGGGTGTGGGTGTGGGTGTGGGTGTGGGTGTGGGTGTGGGTGTGGGTGTGTGTTTGTGTTTGTGCGTGGCTGTGCAGTGACCTAAGTGCAAGCAACGTGACTGGCAATTTCCCAAGGCTCAAGGGTCCCTTCTCCTTTGACATTGCGGCTGTCATCTTCCTCAAGACCCTGTGAGTCCCACCGCCCACTATTGAGCTGACATTGCGGTTCTCAAAAGGTGACTGCTGAGTCGAATCAGAAGGCTGAATGCCTCGTTCTCGTTTGACATTGCTGCTGTCATCTTCCTCAAGACCCTGTGAGTCACCCCATTGGAAATCTTCAACCGCGAGACTGTCTTGGCAAGAATGAGATGAGATCACTGTGAGTGATCACGAGAAGCGTGAGATTGCCGCTGTCATCTTCACGAGGATTCTGTGATTCCGCCCACTAGAATCATATGCTTCCCCACTTGCTTGTTGGCACTAACCCCCCTCCCCCCCCTCCCCCTCGCTGCCAAAATTCAACTTCCCGTTTCGAGCATTCCTCCTGCTTTTCTCTCTTCCCGCGTCTCACTCCCCTTTCCCCACTTCCTCTTCGATCCCTTTCTTCCACTCACATACTCCCTTAATCTCCCCATCCCCCCTCCCACTCCCTCACTCCCCACTCTCCTGTCCACTTTCCCACTCCACGTGTTTCCCCATGTCGCCCACCACCGCCTCACTCGGAGCAGGAATCTAGCGGGAAACAAACTCCATGGCCCATTTGTGAGTCGCTAGGGCTGTAGCGTTGCTGCGCCTGTAGTGTTTCTGCGCCTGTAGCAACCATAATTCTCGCAGCAAGTCTCCTCTCCCTATGTTCTCCGGTTCCCCCACTCCCCCTCCTTCACTCCTACTCCCCTTATCCCTCCCCTCATTCCCCCTCTGTCCTCCCCTTTTCCTCCTCTTCCCACACTCCTCTCTCCCCTCCTCCTACCACTCATCCATGCTCTACTCTACTCCCCGCAAACCACCCCTCCCCTCTGTTCCCTCACCAGCCCAGCGAGTTGGCTCTCTCGCCCAGCCTCGCCTCCCTCAACGTGGCCAACAACAGCCTCACAGCAACTCTCCTTTTCATGCGTTCTTCCTCCCCCACTCCTCCTCCCACCCCTTCCCCCATCTGTTTTCCCCCCTTCCCCACCGCCACCAGCCCAGCGAGTTGGCTCTCTCGCCCAGCCTCGCCTCCCTCAACGTGGCCAACAACAGCCTCACAGCAACTCTCCTTTTCATGCGTTCTTCCTCCCCCACTCCTCCTCCCACCCCTTCCCCCATCTGTTTTCCCCCCTTCCCCACCGCCACCAGCCCAGCGAGTTGGCTCTCTCGCCCAACCTCGCCTCCCTCAACGTGGCCAACAACAGCCTCACAGCAACTCTCCTTTTCATGCGTTCTTCCTCCCCCACTCCTCCTCCCACCCCTTCCCCCATCTGTTTTCCCCCCTTCCCCACCGCCACCAGCCCAGCGAGCTGGCTCTCTCGCCCAGCCTGGCATCTCTCAACGTGGCCAACAACAGCCTCACAGGGCGTCTGTCTGAAGATCTCTGCAACATCAACCTCACCTGCGTGTGAGTCACGTCTTGCCTTGCTGTTAGTGTCACATCACATCACCTTATCTGGCTGTCTTCTCTTGACTGCGGTTGTCGTAGCATGAAGTGCATTGAAGTGAGCGAGCAACGTGGTTCCCTAGTCGACTCAAACAACAGCCTTACAGGGTGCCGGTCTGGTGACCTCTGCAACCGCTTCTCCGTTTCTTCTACTCCTTTACTCCTCTTCTTCCCCCTCTTCAACCCCACACAACCGCTTCTCCGTTTCTCCCCCCTCTTCACTCCCACACACCCTCTTCTCCCTCCGCTCCGCCTCCCACGTTTCTCCGCTCCGCCAGCAACGTGATGGGCAACCCTCTCCGTGGTCCCATCCCCTCGTGCTGGACGGGTGTATATTTTACCCTTTTCCCCCTCTTCAATCCCCCATAATTGCTTCCCCCCTCCCCGCCGCCTTCTCCTTCTCTGCGCACAGCAACGTGATGGGCAACCCTCTCCGTGGGCCCATCCCCTCGTGCTGGAGGAACTTCACATGCCTTGAGTACGCCATACCGTGTCGTGCCATGCCATACCGTGTTGTGCCATGCCATGCCGTTCCATGCCATGCCATGCTTTGCCACGCCATGCCATGCCATGCTTTGCCACGCCATGCCATGCCATGCTAAGCCGTGCCATATCATGCCGTGCCATGCCATACCATGCCTTTTCATGGCGTGCCATGCTGCGCCATACTACCATGCCATGAGTGCAATGAGTGAGCACTTCCTTCGATCGAGGTTCCGGGCTGCACCTGCACTGGACGAATGATGCTCACTGCACTTCATACGCGATGCATGCATGTTAATTCTGTGCATTCACACCCTGTACGCACCATGCCCCTTTTTCTTTTTCTTTCTCTCTCTTCGCCCCTGCAATCTCTCCCCAACCCCCTCCCCCCCCTGCCTCACTTCCACCGCCCTCCCATTGTCCCTCTGGCTGCAGCTTTGCCAACACCAGCCTCCTAGTCGTTCCCAACGAAACATGCCGTGATGGTGAGCTTGTAACGAATCTTGAGGTGATTATGAGCTTATGGCGAAACGTGCCGGGATGGTGAGCTTATAACAAGTCGTGCGTTGGAGTTGAGTCTGCAACAAGACAGGGTTGGTAAAGAGTGAATAGTGTCTTGAATGGTGAGCTAGTAAAGAGACAGGCTTGGGTGATGATCATTACAATATTATGTTGGAAAATACGAGTATCCCGTATGATTATGATGGTACGCGTATGAACTATACGCTACAGTACATACGCGATACGCTGATTCCCCACGCATGCTGCTTGTTAGGCACTTTTTCCCGCAGGTAGCGATACATCTCAAACACATATATTTTCCTCTTCCCTCTCCCGTTTCCACTCTCTCAACTGTCGTACCTTGTCCGCCAGTCCCCTACCACAGCTGCAACCCGCCTCTGGAGGTGGCTGTGGCCCCCCCGTCCGCCTCATCCTCCTCAGTCAACGTCGTTGCCATCATCTGTGGCGTCGTGGGGGGTGCGGCCTTCATTGCGCTGCTGGTTGCGGGAATAATGCTGGTGATGAAGCACATTGAGAGGAAGCGCAGGGAGGAGGAGGAGAGGCGCCTGGAGCAGGATTTGGAGAGTGAGTGATGATGCAGGGGGGAGGGGTATTTGCTGTTGGGGTGTTCCTTGCGCTGCTGGTTGCGGGGGCAATGGTGGTGATGAAGCAGATCGAGAGGAAGCGCAGGGAGGAGGAGGAGAGGCGCCTGGAGCAGGATTTGGAGAGTGAGTGATGCCGGAGGGGTGTTGTTGATGGGGACTTAAAGGGTATTGGGATCACTATTGGAAGTTCATGTAGGGAGCTTGGCCGTGTTCCGTTCTACCTCCTAGGACTTTTTGATTGGGGTCGTTGTATAGAATTCTCAAAAGTAATCCCGATATAACTTGGAATGGTAAGAAGCTCACGTATGGGGGCTTAGCCATCCTCCGTTTCTTCTGCCCAGGACTGCTCGTTACTGATTTCTCTCCTTTTCGCCTGCCCCCTGCCCCCTGTTCCCCGTTTTAGCCCAAATCTAGTCTCGTCACTTTGGATTGGCACGCTTAGGCGGTTCTCTTCTCAGCCGAGGAGCTTGAGAAGGCCAGCAGCGCGTCTGACTGATGATCCCTCCCAAAACCCCCCCTCTTCGCTTCCCTAACTCCCTCCCTCCCTGTACTCCCGTCTCTCTCTTATCCTTCCCTGTGTGAGCCCAAATCTCGTCCTGCCACTTTTGGCACGCTCAGGCGGTTCTCAGCAGAGGATCTCAAGAAGGGTGGGATGATCCGGATTCTGGCCCAATGACCCCCTCCCTCTCCTCCCCCTTGCTTCCTGCACTCCACACCACACTCTGTCCATTTCAGCCCAGATCTCATCTCGCCACTTTGGAACTCTGCGGCGCTTCTCAGCAGAGGAGCTGAAGAAGGCAACCAACGAGTTTGACGAGGACTACATGCTGGGCGAGGGCGGGTTCAGCAAGGTGTATAAGGGCAAGCTGGAGGATGGGAAGTTCGTGGCTATCAAACGGATCAAGGTGGGTGGGTCTCAAAGGCACCGCAACCTCGCCTTTGCTGAGGGATTCTGGTCGGTCGTGCCAGGCTTTTTAATCGACTCAAAATTCGACTCGAAGATCAACTCGAAGGTCAACTCGAAGATCGCCTCAAATGCAAGCTGGTCGGTCGTGCGCAAGCTCATCTGTGCGGAGTGCTTCCAGCCGGCCGTGCCGGAGAGGTCTTCTTGTCGACCCTTATCTTTCTCTCTTTGCTGTTTCCATTGCCTTTCTCTCTTTCTCCACAGGATGAGAAGCGGGCGGGTGACGAGCTGCAGTTCCTGTCGCAGGTGGAGATGATCAGCCGGGCCGCAATCTCATCAGAGCGGAGGGCTTCTGTGTGGAGCTGGGTGAATGGAATTCCCTTCTCGACCCTTGTCCTCCTCTCTTTGCTGTTGTCTGTTCTCCACAGGATGAGAAGCGGGCGGGTGGCGAGCTGCAGTTTCTGTCGGAGGTGGAGATGATCAGCAGTGCACCACAACATTTTTTTAGGCGCCTCAAAAGCAGTGCACCGCAACCTCATCCATGCTGAGGGCTTTCAACTGCGCTGGGCCGTCCTCTCTCCTTGCTGCTTTCCGTTTCCCCACAGGATGAGAAGCGCGCGGGTGGCGAGCTGTAGTTCCTATCGGAGGTGGAGATGATCAGCCGGGCAGTGCACCGCAACCTCATCCGAGCGGAGGGCGTTCGAGTGACCTTGCTCTCTTTCAACCTTGTTGTTGGTCTTCGCCTTCCCAACCTCTGCTGCTTTCTGCAGGACGAGAAGCGCGCGGGTGGCGAGCTGCAGTTCCTGTCCGAGGTGGAGATGAACAGCCGGGCCGTGCACCGCACCCTCATCCGAGCGGAGGGCTTTCGACTGAGCAACCCCTTCCTCTCCTTGCCGTATACTCTGTTCCGTTCCCCCTCAGGATGAGAAGCGCGCGGGTGGCGAGCTGCAGTTGATCAGCCGGGCCGTGCACCGCACCCTCATCCGAGCGGAGGGCTTTCGACTGAGCAACCCCTTCCTCTCCTTGCCGTATACTCTGTTCCGTTCCCCCTCAGGATGAGAAGCGCGCGGGTGGCGAGCTGCAGTTGATCAGCCGGGCCGTGCATCGCAACCTCATCCGAGCGGAGGGCTTTCGAGTGGCCTTGCTCTCTTTTAACCTTGTTCTTTGCCTTCCTGCAGGATGAGAAGCGGGCGGGTGGCGAGCTGCAGTTCCTATCAGAGGTGGAGATGATCAGCCGGGCCGTGCACCGCAACCTCATCCGAGCAGAGGGCTTTTGATCGCCCATCCGTGCCAAGGAGATGTTGAGCGGGGCTTTCTGTTGACCAGGACCTTCCTCTCTTTGCTGCTCTATGCTCTCCCCACAGGATGAGAAGCGCGCGGGTGGCGAGCTGCAGTTCCTATCCGAGGTGGAGATGATCAGCCGGGCCGTGCACCGCAACCTCATCCGAGCAGAGGGCTTCTGTGTGGAGCGGGGCGAGTGCATGCTCGTGCTGCCCTTCTGCTCCAATGGCTCTGTTGCCTCGCGCACTCAAGGTCGGTTGGGTTGGGTTCAGAGCGGTGCAGCTGGGTGGGAGGTGCATTCGTGCAGAGAGGGGTTTCTGTGTGGAGCGGGGCGAATGCATGCTCGTGCTGCCCTTCTGCTCCAACAAATCTGTTGCGTCGCGCACCCAGGGTGAGATGCATTATGGTTGGGTTCAATGCGGTGCAGCTGGGTTGGAAGAGGCATTTGCCCAGTGGAGGGCTTTCGTGTGGAGCTGGGCAATTTTATGCTCGTGCTGCCCTTCTGCTCCAATGGCTCTGTTTCCTCACGTGCCCAGGGTGAGATGTGGCTGGGTTGGGTTCAGCACGGTACAGCTGGGCAGTTGGAAGCTTCTGTGTGAAGGGGGCCTCCTATGTGAAGTCTTTCACGGTCCACCCCACCTCCACTGTCTGAGCATCCCTACTTGTTCTCCTGTGCTTGCTCTGTCCCCGCCAGGCAAGGAGGGCAACCCCATGGACTGGCCCACGCGCATGAAGGTGGCCCGAGGAGCAGCGGAGGGAATAGGCTATCTGCACACGGATTGCAAGCCGAAGCTTGTGCACCGCGACATCAAGGTGGGTGTCTATGTCTATCAAGGCGCATAAGTTATGCGGAACGGCAGAGAAGGCACTGTTCCTGTCCCATCAATGTGCATGAAGGATGGCAGGTTCAACGAAAACAGCTGCCAGGAGATAGACACTGATGAGGCTCGGCTTCCTTTTATTGATTGAACGGAAAGGCGATTCCCCCCCCCCCCCCCCCCCCTCCCCCTTCCAAAAAAAAAAAAAAAAAAAAAAAAAAAAAAAAACACACACACACCTTTTTCTTCTTCTTCCTTTTCTTGGACTGCGAGAGTAATCCTCCCAAAAAGGAAAAGTTTCAGATCTCTATCAACACACGGTCTATCTATCCTCCAGGCTCTATCAGCTGCAAATGTGCTGCTGGACGAGAACGACGAGGCGGTGATTGCTGACTTTGGGCAGGCCAAGAAGATAAACGTATATTTCCTGTTCATGAGAGCCATGCTTCCCCTCTTCATCTTCTGCCCCTTACACGTCCCATCCATTCCCTACCCGCCAGGCCGCCAATGTGCTGCTGGACGAGAATGACGAGGCGGTGATTGCTGACTTTGGGCTCGCCAAGGAGATGGACGTGAATGAAACGCATGCCACCACTGCAGTCAAGGGCACCATCGGCCACATCGCCCCTGGTGCGTGCTAGAAACGGTTACCCTGCATGTGAATTCCCTTTCATGCTGGTGGTTCAACCCGGGGTGAGTGGGAGTCCATCATAGCATGCCAAGGAGATGGACGTGAATAAAACGCATGCCACCACTGCAGTCAAGGGCACCATCGGCCACATCGCCCCTGGTGCGTGCTAGAAACGGTTACCCTGCATGTGAATTCCCTTTCATGCTGGTGGTTCAACCCTGGGTGAGTGGGAGTCCATCATAGCATTCCAAGGAGATGGATGTGAATGAAACGCATGCCACCACTGCTGTCCAGGGCACTATCGGACACATTGCCCCTGGTGCGTGTGGAATGGGTCTGAATGAATGTGTGTTGTGGTGCATGTTGAACTGGTGGTGCCATGAGTGCTTGTGTTGCCACCACCATATAGTGCTATTCTGTACTATTCAATACTATGTTGTACTTTTATTTGGTAGAATTTAGTACCATTTTTACCTTTTTCTCACTCAAATACATCTCACCCTCTCTACCCTCACCCTCCTCTTCCCCCACCCTCCTCTTCCCCCCCCCTTCCTGCTCGAGCGTCTGTCGAGCTCAGATAACTTCTCCTCGTTCAAATACATCTCTCTCCCTTCTCCCCCCTCCTTCCCAACTCCCCTCCAGAGTACTTTGTGAGCGGGCAGTGCTCGGAGAAGACGGACGTGTATGCCTTTGGGGTCTTCCTGCTCGAGCTCGTGTCGGGCAAGGACGTGTATGGCCTCACCGTTGTTCCCGAGGCTGAGGAGATCCTGCTCAGGGACTGGGTGAGTGGCTTGAGCTCGGTGTCATGGCTGTGCCCTGCTTTCCCCCCTCCTGCTCGAGCTCGTGTCGGGCAAGGACGTGTACGGCCTCACCGTCGTGCAAATCCTTCTCAGGGACTGGGTGAGTGGTTTGAGTGCGGTGTAAGGCCCTCCCCTGCTGTTGTCTTGGATGTGCCCTGCTCGCCACCCTCCTGCTGGAGCTCGTGTCGGGCAAGGACGTGTACGGACTCACCGTTGTGCCTGAAGCTGAAGAGATTCTGCTCAGGGACTGGGTGAGTGGCTTGAGAGCTCCTGTGAGTTGATCTGAGGATTGGGTGAGTGAGGTTGAGCACATTGTAAGCCCGCTGCTGCTGCTGACATGGGTGTTGTCAGCGTTCCCTCGTCCTGCTCGAGCTCGTGTCGGGCAAGGACGTGTACGGGCTCACCGTTGTGCCTGAAGCTGAAGAGTTTCTGCTCTCGGTCTGGGTCAGTCACTTTGAGCCCCTGTGAGTTGCTCTGAGAGCTGGGTGAAATTTTCTGGGGGACTGGCTGTGCCGCTCTCGTCTCTAGTGAGCTGTTCTGGCAGACTGGATGAGGAGACTGTTCCTCAATATTTGCCTCATGACATACCTCTCTCCCTTCATGCCTCCATCCCTTAGGTGTCGCGGCTGCTGGTGGAGGGGAAGGCGGACGTGCTGGTGGATGCAGAGGAGGGCACAAACAGCACAACCCTAATCCCTCCATATACTGCCCCTATCCCTGTGCGTGCCTCCATCCCTTAGGTGTCGCGGCTGCTGGTGGAGGGGAAGGCGGACGTGCTGGTGGATGCAGAGGAGGGCACAAACAGCACAACCCTAATCCCTCCATATACTGCCCCTATCCCTGTGCGTGCCTCCATCCCTTAGGTGTCGCGGCTGCTGGTGGAGGGGAAGGCGGACGTGCTGGTGGATGCAGAGGAGGGCACAAACAGCACAACCCTAATCCCTCCATATACTGCCCCTATCCCTGTGCGTGCCTCCATCCCTTAGGTGTCGCGGCTGCTGGTGGAGGGGAAGGCGGACGTGCTGGTGGATGCAGAGGAGGGCACAGACAGCACAACCCTAATCCCTCCATATACTGCCCCTATCCCTGTGCGTGCCTCCATCCCTTAGGTGTCGCGGCTGCTGGTGGAGGGGAAGGCGGACGTGCTGGTGGATGCAGAGGAGGGCACAAACAGCACAACCCTAATCCCTCCATATACTGCCCCTATCCCTGTGCGTGCCTCCATCCCTTAGGTGTCGCGGCTGCTGGTGGAGGGGAAGGCGGACGTGCTGGTGGATGCAGAGGAGGGCACAAACAGCACAACCCTAATCCCTCCATATACTGCCCCTATCCCTGTGCGTGCCTCCATCCCTTAGGTGTCGCGGCTGCTGGTGGAGGGGAAGGCGGACGTGCTGGTGGATGCAGAGGAGGGCACAAACAGCACAACCCTAATCCCTCCATATACTGCCCCTATCCCTGTGCGTGCCTCCATCCCTTAGGTGTCGCGGCTGCTGGTGGAGGGGAAGGCGGACGTGCTGGTGGATGCAGAGGAGGGCACAGACAGCACAACCCTAATCCCTCCATATACTGCCCCTATCCCTGTGCGTGCCTCCATCCCTTAGGTGTCGCGGCTGCTGGTGGAGGGGAAGGCGGACGTGCTGGTGGATGCAGAGGAGGGCACAAACAGCACAACCCTAATCCCTCCATATACTGCCCCTATCCCTGTGCGTGCCTCCATCCCTTAGGTGTCGCGGCTGCTGGTGGAGGGGAAGGCGGACGTGCTGGTGGATGCAGAGGAGGGCACAAACAGCACAACCCTAATCCCTCCATATACTGCCCCTATCCCTGTGCGTGCCTCCATCCCTTAGGTGTCGCGGCTGCTGGTGGAGGGGAAGGCGGACGTGCTGGTGGATGCAGAGGAGGGCACAAACAGCACAACCCTAATCCCTCCATATACTGCCCCTATCCCTGTGCGTGCCTCCATCCCTTAGGTGTCGCGGCTGCTGGTGGAGGGGAAGGCGGACGTGCTGGTGGATGCAGAGGAGGGCACAAACAGCACAACCCTAATCCCTCCATATACTGCCCCTATCCCTGTGCGTGCCTCCATCCCTTAGGTGTCGCGGCTGCTGGTGGAGGGGAAGGCGGACGTGCTGGTGGATGCAGAGGAGGGCACAGACAGCACAACCCTAATCCCTCCATATACTGCCCCTATCCCTGTGCGTGCCTCCATCCCTTAGGTGTCGCGGCTGCTGGTGGAGGGGAAGGCGGACGTGCTGGTGGATGCAGAGGAGGGCACAGACAGCACAACCCTAATCCCTCCATATACTGCCCCTATCCCTGTGCGTGCCTCCATCCCTTAGGTGTCGCGGCTGCTGGTGGAGGGGAAGGCGGACGTGCTGGTGGATGCAGAGGAGGGCACAAACAGCACAACCCTAATCCCTCCATATACTGCCCCTATCCCTGTGCGTGCCTCCATCCCTTAGGTGTCGCGGCTGCTGGTGGAGGGGAAGGCAGACGTGCTGGTGGATGCAGAGGAGGGCACAAACAGCACAACCCTAATCCCTCCATATACTGCCCCTATCCCTGTGCGTGCCTCCATCCCTTAGGTGTCGCGGCTGCTGGTGGAGGGGAAGGCGGACGTGCTGGTGGATGCAGAGGAGGGCACAAACAGCACAACCCTAATCCCTCCATATACTGCCCCTATCCCTGTGCGTGCCTCCATCCCTTAGGTGTCGCGGCTGCTGGTGGAGGGGAAGGCGGACGTGCTGGTGGATGCAGAGGTGAAGAAGGCCGAGGGGGCGGTGGACATGGGGCAGGTCGAGAAGATGCTGCAGGTGGCGCTGCTGTGCCTCTAGCTCTCCCTCAATGCCTCCGTACACTCCGTATCTCCCCCTCCCTCTTCCTCCCCCTTTCTCTCCCTGTGCGGCCTGCATCGTGCCTCCCTCCTGCAGGTATCACGGCTGCTAGTAGAAGGGAAGCCAGACGTGCTAGTAGACCCAGAGGTGAAGAAGGCCGAGGGGGCGGTGGACATGGGGCAGGTCGAGAAGATGCTGCAGGTGGCGCTGCTGTGCCTCAAGATCCCCCCCCTCCATATCCTCACTCTCTCCCATGCCCCAGGTGTCGCGGCTGCTGGTGGAGGGGAAGGCGGATGTGCTTGTTGATCCAGAGGTGAAGAAGGCCGAGGGAGCAGTGGACATGGGGCAGGTGGAGAAGATGCTGCAGGTGGCGCTGCTGTGCCTCAAGAATGACCCGGCTGAGCGCCCCACCATGGAGGATGTGGCTAAGATGGTGGCGGGGAGTGAGCTCACGGAGAAGTGGCAGCAGTGGCAGGTGAGGGGTGTGGGGTGAGGGCTCTGCACTGCATATGGGGTGTGTTGTGGAAAGAGCCTGCGGTGTGCTAGGATTGGGAAGAATGACCCAGCTGAGCGGCCCACAATGGAGGATGTGGCTAGTTGATGGCTGGGAGTGAACTTACAGAGAAGTGGCGGCAGTGGCATGTATGTGGACATAGCAACACGTATTTTCTTTCGAGTGTACTTTCTGAGTGGGGAGCACACAGCCATATGCATGCACTTGTGTGGGGTGAGGTTTCTTCTGTGTATGGAGCGTGTTGTGGAAAGAGCTTGACGTGTGTTAGGATTGGGAGCGACGATTCGGCTGATCGAGCCACGTTGGAGGATGAGGTGGTTAAGATGGTGGCGGGGAGTGAGCTGACAGAGAAGTGGAAGCAGTGGCAGATACGTGGACATAGTAACTCGTATTTTTATCGGGCAAGGAGCACACAGCCACATGCATGCACTCGAAAGGTGAATGTGTCGTGTTTCCTTGGTGCTTGGCTCATGAGTTTCTTTTCCTTTATTATGTTAATCTCCTTTTTTCTTTCCAGGCGGAAGCTGGGCAAATGCGAGCAGAGGACCTCATGGCTGTTGTTAAGAACCCTTCGCTCTGGGAGAACACGACAACTGGAATCTCGCTCGAAGCCTTCAATGTTACTGGGCCCCGTTGAGAGTTCCTCCCTTTCTAGTGGATGTCAACTTAAGTTATTTATTTTGTTGTAGCATTAAGATGCCATTTTGTTATGTATGTATTAAGGTGGTCCGCAAAGGCTTTCAGAGTATTTGCTGCAGAAGTGTCTGACTAATCTAATCATTTCACTTCTCGTTTTTTGTTTGCGTTGGTAAAAAGGGGTTACTGTACGCTTATGGAAACTTCTCGTCAGGGATATTTTTGATAGCTGACGTGGATTATGCCCCAGGCCACGGCCTTTATCGGCTCCCCGAACCGAACCCCGACATGCGAATCAGCAGCACTCCTCCCCGAGCCGGATCGCTACGCGCGGTGAGTGGCTGCATATGAACTGCGTGACCTGACCAGCTGACGACTACGATCTTTTTTTTTTTTTTTTTTCATTAAAACCTTTATATGAGTACTCTGCATGCAAAACATACTCGCAGAGAAGGTAAATAAAGACGGGAAGAGAAAAAAGAGAAAGATAAGAAAGAGAAAGGAAATGGGAAAGGAAAGGAAAGGGAAAGTAAAGCCAAGAGAGACCCAAAAGCACAAAACAGATGACACCCCAAGAAGACACCCTATCTAAAAGCCTAAACCCCCCCTCCCCCCGACGCCCCTCAAACCGGAGCGGACACCAAATACTGAGCGTCCACCCACAGTGCCCCCCCCAACTCCTCAGTGTCCTCCCTCTCCCTGTCCACCAGATCGATATCTGCTCCTCCCATAGACGATGCAGCGCGCAGCAGGATCACTCGGGCTTGGGCACGCTGCAAGGCCACCCCAATCATAGCCTTCAAGGATCCCATGAGATAAGAGGAAAATGACTGATCATCCTCCCGACACGCCCCCCTCGAAACGGCAAGTCCAAAATGTGCGTCCCCCTGCTGCCGCAGCCAACGCCGAAAACGTCCACCTAGGCATCCCCATGTCTCAACAATCAAAGGGGTGAACTGCACTCCCCGGTTGCGCGCTAACAGCGGCGCGCAATCTCCCGTCTTCCTGCGCTCCCACTCCCTGGCCGCCACTCCTATAGACCGCCCACACTGCCCGACCAAGGCTGGAGACAGTGACAGTGGATCGGCAACACTGACCTCCAGAGCATGCGCCTCCCCCGCCGTTGGTCGGCGCACCGCAACATCCACCCGCTTCCCTACCAACATCGAGTCGTCCTCCATCGACACCACCCCTCCCGACGCCTTAGCGATCCTAGCCACCGCAAACTTCACCTCGTCGTGCACCCGTGACGGCCCGTGCTGGTGCTTACAGCGCAATGCATGGTGTGGATCTGCCGGGTCCGTGTACTCGGTGCCGCAAATGCAACGGCCCCGCGACGTGCAGCTGCTGAATCGGAAGGCCCAAACGCACAGCCGCGGCAATCCCCCACTCAGCGGCTGTAAAGGTCAAATCTGAATTTGGTGGGATTGCTTGCTCGCCCATCCCTGCGTGCCCCTTTTGTCCTCCAAACCACACCCAATTTCCGAACCTGTCGAAATGCATTTTCCTCTCGGTCAGCACAATTACAGTATTCTCCTTCGGTCAGCCTGGAGAACAGCAATGTTCGCTCCTATTGGTCCAATGTCGCGAAACGTTTTCCATTTACTACTCGTCCCATCAGTTGCCGTCGCCGCCGCACTGCCACGCAGGCGCAGGCCCCCAGCCCGGTTAGGCTCTCCGCTCAACTCTCGCGCTGTCGCTGTGCTGTGTGTCATCCATGCGAGCAGCGCGGAGGACTTTCCGCCAGTTCAAACCCCCTTTTCCCACATTTTCCCCCCAACAGCCCCCAATTTCCCCCAAACCCAGGTTCCAGCGCAGGGTAAAAAGCTGCGGTCACCAAGGCTCCAACGAAGCTACGGTTTGGTGGGCTCGGCTTTTTCCTCTTTTACCTCGATTCTCCATCCTGACGCAAGATAGCGCCATGGCCGAGGTGCTGAGCTGCTGACTGCTGCGTTTGTAAGCGTTGATGGCCGATTGATCAAGCGCTGCTTGCTTAGCAGAATTTTGTGATTTCTATGCGGGGGTCTGGCGAGGCTGGAATCATTGCCTGCAAAGAACGCGTTCGGGTTGTGTAGCGCAGATCGCGCGTTGGTCGTAGCCAATAGCCCGCTGGCAGAGCCAACCTAGAAATATCAACGAGAGCCTCCGAGGCCTCGTTCAGCTTTATCCGAGTCAGGTTTTGCTTTACGTTTAGTAACAGCTATGGAAGAAGCTACTGAATCGTGTGTCCCGCACCATGACGAGGGTTGCTGCTCACACAGCAACATGTGGGATCGCGTGAAGAAGCGGTATAAGCTCTGTGATTTAAGTGCGCTTCCTGACTACCTTCGAGACAACGAGTACATTCATGGTTATTACCGAGCTAACTGGCCTCTCAAACACACGCTATGGAGCATCTTTCATATTCATAACGAGACCGGAAATATCTGGACGTAAGTCACAGCGTACCATCGCTAAGTTTTTCGTTACTCATCTGCTACACCAGTTTCGCGAGTGAAATATCCGTTTGTTCACCCTCGACTTCGCAGTGTAGGGTTTCATGGACATCTTGTGCTTACTATCGGTGGCTCGTTGGTTGCAGGCATCTCATAGGATTCATCCTGTTCCTAAACCTGACCATCTACACAGCTCAAAAATTCCCCAAGGTGGTTGAGATCCCACTGTCCCACCTCCATTTTCCTGAATCCTGGGTCAACGCCACTGACAGCATCCATGCACATCTGCAGCATATGGAACTTCCGGATTTCCGTCCCATCAGGGACGCGCTTACCTCCATGGAGTTTCCGAATATCCATGCCATGTACAACTCCCTCCCACACGTCGAGCTCTCTGGAATTTCAGGAATCTCGACGTCCATTTACGAGGCCATGCCGCACGTTCCTAACATGCACGAGATGCAGAGCATGCTGTCAGCAGTCATGAAGTCGAAGCTTCCAGACCTGGACACGACGAAGCTTCAGGCGATGCTTCCTCACTTAGAGCTCCCGAAGCTGCAGCAGGTTCAGGCTGCTCTTCTGTGGTACTACGGCTGTGTGCATCGCTACGCCAGCACGGCCTTGGAATCCACGCCGGCGTTTCCCACCAGTCCGTTGTGGAGTGATCAGAGCGTTTTTGGGAACTGTGTAAGTGTCTACTCCCTTGTGACCACTCTGTGACCCGATGTCTCATTCTTTCTAGCTTTTGTGCGGTTCTGTCCTTTCCAGCTGGTTCTGGGAAGACATTGTTTAACGCGCCTAAGTTTACCATGCCTGCTCCTGTCAGTTTGCTAGCCTTTTCCTTCGTTCTGCTTTCCTTTATATCCCAAACCTGCTCCAAACATGCTTCTGAGTCATCTGTGCTACTTCTTCTCCCTTCCCCCCCCCTGAAAAACCTTCTCCACTAACTCTCTGTCCCACCCCCACCCCCATCCCGCTCCCCCCTTCCCTCCTCTCCCCGCCACCTCCCCCCCTCCCCACACACACTCGTCCACTCTCCCCTCCCGGAATTTCTTAACCCTTCTGCAGTCACTTTCAGACGGCCCGTCGTTTGTGCTAAGCTCAGTGAAGACTGAGCGCAAGATTGCCATGTGGCCGTTCTTCGTCTTCCTAACCGGCGCCATGATCTGCCTGCTTTCCAGCAGCACCTGCCACCTCCTGGGCTGCCATTCCAAGAAGGTATCTCAGATCATCTGGCGGTTCGACTACGCCGGAATTGCCATCCTCATCTGCGCATCCTTCTACCCGCCAGTCTACTACGGCTTCCTCTGCCAACCATACACCCGGCTCATCTACCTCGTCCTAATCACCCTCGGTGGTTTGGGAACTGTAGCTGTCTCTCTTCTTTCTGCCTTTCAACAACCTAAGTACCGAGCCTTTCGTGCAGGGCTGTTCTTCGGACTGGGAGTCTCTGGTGTGGTTCCGTTTTTCCATGGCATGCTGCTCTACTGGAATGAACCGTTTTTGGTGACAACAATACTGTACGAGCTGCTTATGGGGGCGCTGTACGGCATCGGAGCTCTCTTTTATGCCACCAGGATTCCTGAGCGATGGCTGCCTGGGAAGTTTGACATAGCGGGACACAGCCATCAGATTTTCCATGTTCTTGTTATTGCTGCGGCGTACACGCACTATCAGGCTGGCTTAAGATATCTGCAGTGGGTGGATGGTCGCACGTGCTGAAGTGTCCTTGCAGGGGCTAGCTGTACCCTACCATGCGGGGTTGGAGTGGCCAGGTAGTTGTGGTTACGTGATCTTGCCTTACAGCATGACGCTCAGATGAAGAGTGCTATTGATAGGGTGTATTTAGGGTCTTTGGTACATCCATGGCTCGTGCTGCCATTGTCCTGCTGGTGGGCTGTGTTTCCACATTTTGCAGGTCTGTGCTGTGCTGCTCGTGGACCGTGGTGTAGTGTTATTGTGACCTATCTTCTGGTAAGGGGTGACATGACAACAAACTAAGAACTGTAATGTTGCATGGGTGGGGAGCTCATACACATGTGTGTATTGTACATTGTTATATGGTATACATAATACGCCAAGCCTATGTACACATAGGTACCTATGTAGAGTGCTCAAGTGGCAGTTGCTTGTGCTGACTTGCCAACTACAGATGTCATGTCATGTAGCACCCCCGAAATAAGAGTCTACTTCTGATGAACGCCCGTAGACCTCCCTTATTCTGAATATATCCGTTGAGAACGTGGACTTGGGTGTACCAATAAAGTATTGCGCTCTTGCACAGATGTGCTTCTCGGCGAGTGCCCTGAGAATACCTTTGTCTTCGTCATCCAAGTTCTCAAAATCACGCACCCAGTCATATTCGGTGTACTCCAACGAGCCCTTCGTGAATTCGGGAAGCCGCTCTACAACGAAGGGGGCCTTCGAGTCCAACTCTGCATAGAAACAGGCAGACTTGTGTCAGCGCTATGCAACAATGAATGAACACGGCGATGCAAAGCATGATCCAACAACGTCAAAAAACCAGAAATATATTGCATCAGCAATTCCCTGTCAACACTCACCCAGCAACAGCTTCTCCAGGAATTGCACTTCGGTCAGGCTTGCATCAGTGGCAAGGTACAGAATGCTGATGCCACGGCCGCTGAATCGCGACACAATGTAGCGTGCAATAAAAGCGATCGGCAAGAAAGCCGGGTCCCTGTTCTGCTCCTTCTCCTCATTCCTCAAATAAGCATGCGAGAAGTCCCCTCTCCTCATATGCACAGCCGCATAGTCATCTCCCAGAAAAGTGTCAACAAACCCCGAGACGAACCTCCGAACCACCGACGGCGGCTCCCAGAGGTCCGGGCAAGAGGTTCGGAAAGGAGGCCTGAATTCGTGCAGCATCTTCCCAGACTTGCCGTTCATTGAGAAGCCATAGACGTTCCCAAGGCTGAGCACGCGAGCGCTGGCGTAGGGAGCATAGGCAGAGAGGAAATCGGCGAGGCCCCCAGGGGGGAGGGCTCCAAAGGGTGCTCTAGCTTGCCAGGCAGTGTAACGTTGGGAAGTTGGGCGAGGGACTGTCAGTGGGGTTGGGGAGGTGGCAGATACGGAAGAGAGGCGATTGGTTCACATATTTTCTGGGATATTGCATGGAGGGAATAAATGAATTGCAAGTGGAAGAGAGCTCACCATTTGAATCGAATCCATGCAGGACCTCCCGTTGGCACAGGCAATGTGGTCTACAGTCACATTCTGCTTCGTCCTCGATACAAGCTCCTCCACTGTAAGCACGGTGTTGTTCCCGTACGCGTCTGACAGACACGTCTGGAGGTGCGGGATGTCGAATATCAGGCTCCACCGCCATCTGTACCACGTCTGGTGGTGATGCGCGAAGCCCGGGTCCGGAACCAAAAGAGTGCGGTTCAGAAGCGCCGCGAAGACCAAGTAACTTCGCATGCAGTCCTCCTGATGGGACACGTGGCGTGAAGATAGGAACGAGGGAAGGGAATTCGAATTAGTGGGAAATCCAGTCAGTGGGATAATAGACCGGTTATAAACCGGAGGACATTCGGGGAGTGAGGAAGCAAGGAATTGACCTCAGGACTGTCTCGCACCTGATTGGACAGACGGCCGTAGAAGCAGAGAGCAAGCAAGTAACGATCTGCCTGGGGTTCCCAAGACTCGATGGCGTCGCTTGGAACTCCCGAACCGTTTCGCGTGGCGAAACCTGTAACATCCATCGCAATCGCAGACCGCTTGCCCTTTTCTAGGGACTGAAGGAGCCTCATTCTTCGTGAGCTGCTGACCGCAGTGCCCTGTACCGCGGAAGGAGACGAATGGAGATTGACGCGCGACCGCGGAAGCAAAGACCATTGACGGGGCTTGGAGACCGCGAGATCGTCTGAAGGGGAAGCAGTGCCTTTTGATGTTCCTCGAAGTTGCGATGAATGAGTTGTCGCAAGCGACTGCAGCGAAAAGCTGGCGAGCAGAGCGAAGAGGAGAAGCGTGAGGTCTAGTCGGGACAGCTTGTCTGAGACGACGCGCGTCGGCGAGGAGAGTCGCGGCGCTCTATAACGTGCATGGAAACTCGTGCGACTCATTTTTTGCAGTAAACGGATTGAAAATACAGCCGCTAAGCCCCACTTCAATGCTGCGCCGGCGCGGCCTTGACAGTCACTCGCGTGTCCAGTGCTGGTTCCGACGGAATTTTTGTAATATGAAGATCCCGATATCTCCTATGTCTCCTACGAAAGCATGCAAGAGGAATGGCGGGTATACTAGGAGGAGGAGAAACAAGATTTCGTAATACCGACATGAGGTAATGACGGGTGGTATTGGTTATGACGAGTGTGTCGTGCAGTTCGGACGCCCCTGAAATATCACCCCGTTGTGCAAACAGCCAAATTTGTTGTAGGAGGCGTTTGTTGAGAATTCCCAGGAGTGGAGTGGAATTCCCAAGAAGCAACCAATTTGACAACGCGGAGAGTGGAATTCCCAAGGCCCATACCTGCCTGTTGCATATGAAAATTGTACCTGGCATCACAATGTGTGGCGAGAGGCTAATCCGACGGCTACGATGCCTTTTCACATCGAATCTTACGGTGATGTGTGAGTCTGCTAGTCTGTCAGGTGGTGGGTTTGGAGTGTGGCTGCTGCTGGTGCGGCTCGGTTTCCAACGGGGCATCTGCAGTAGAGTAGCAATTTACAGATTGATTTTGAAGCAGTCACACTATTGTCTAATGGCAAAGCTTTCATAGCCCAATAAATACTAAGGACTAGAAATAAGCACAATAAATACAAAGAGTATCCTACTGTTCAGTTGATGTTACCACACCCACTGTACCAGGTCGACAAATATGCAACAGACATGCAATCTGGAGCCACTGTAAGCAGCTCCCGTGTTCAAGAAAAAGGAGAAGCAACCTTCTAGAGCAGACAGCTTCTCTGCATAACCCGGAAACCACCAAACACGCCATCGCCACACAGCTTGCAGCATTTCCCCAACCAGACAAGCAACCAGCCACAACACCCCTCAAAGCCCTCTCTCCCCAGTCCACCCACCCCCACCAACACGACCTCCCGTCCCCCTAACGCGGCCCAGACAGGTTGAAAGCATCGAGTGAGATACCCGTGGTGGTATTCTCCCAGATAGCAGGCGTGTTCACCACCGCCAGCACATCCTCCCCAGACATTTTCGCGGCCTCCTCCTGCCACTTCTCCCACTTGTCTGCCAGGGCCTTTCCGGAGAGCATCTTTGCCACCTCATCCATGGTTGGACGGTCCACTGCGTCGTGCTTCATGCAGAGCAGCGCCACCTGGAGCATCTTTGCCACGTCAGCCTCGTCGTAGCCCAATCGGGTGAGGTCGTTGTCCACGAATTCGGGGATCTTGCCGTCACGGAGCATGTTGGCCACCTGGAGAGGGGGTAGGAAAGGGGCAATGGAGGTGTAGGGAAAGTCCAAGTATAAGCCAAGTGGACACACCATGGAGGTTGAATGTGGATGTAGGCATCAGGAAAGGGCACAGCGGGAGTGCAAGCTGGCAAAAGTCCGGAAAAAAAAAACTTCAAAACAAATAATTTCATCCCAAGCACATGGACCGAGACGACTTGCTTGCAAGAAAGGCGCCTTCGAAGGAACTCACCCAGTCCCTGAGCAGCAGCTCCTCGGCTTCGGGCGGCAGAGTGAGCTCAAACACGTCCTTGCCCGACACGAGCTCCAGCAGGAACACTCCAAACGCATACACGTCCGTCTTCTCCGAGCACTGCCCGCTCACAAAGTACTCTGGCGCAATATGCCCGATGGTGCCCTTCACAGCAGTGGAGGCATGGCTCTCGTGCACGTCCATCTCCTTGGCCAGCCCGAAATCAGCGATGACTGCCTCGTCGTTCTCGTCGAGGAGCACGTTGGCGGCCTTGATGTCGCGGTGGATGAGCTTGGGGTTGCAGTCTGTGTGCATGTACGCGATGCCCTCTGCTGCGCCCCGAGCGACCTTCATGCGCGCGTGCCAGTCCATGGGGTTGCCCTCCTTGCCTGGCCGTGACATACGGGTGGGTTTGGGAACAGGCACGAAGGAGGTGAATGAGGTTCCAGTTGCAGTCTGTGTGCACGTATGCGATGCCCTTCGAGTGCGTCCCTAACCCTCCCACCCATCTCCACCGCACTAGACCCGACCAAACCACACTGAATCCAACCGAACCGTATCTCACCTTGAGTGCGGGAGGCAACGGAGCCATTGGCATAAAAGGGTAGCACGAGCATGCACTCGCCCTTCTCCACACAGAAGCCCTCCGAGTGCATGACGTTGCGATGCACGGCTCGGCTGATCAGCTCCACTTCTGACAGGAACATGAGCTCGCCACCTGACTTCTTCTCCTCCTGTGAGAAAACAAGGGTGAGCGGGCGTGAGGCAGTAGGACAAGAGAGGAACAAAGTGGTGGTGAGCAAGAGGGGAAGCCCTCCGAGTGCATCACGTTGCGATGCACGGCTCGGCTGATCAGCTCCACCTCTGACAGGAACATGAGCTCTCCACCTGACTTCTTCTCCTCCTGTGGTGGGGGGCAAGTCCCAATGGCAAGCGAGCATAAAGGCAACAGAGCGAGGAAGGTGGCATTGGGAAAGGAGCCCTCCGAGCGCATGACGTTGTGGTGCACGGCTCGGCTGATCAGCCCCACCTCCACTTGCGATTACACCTAACCCACCCACCCACCCACACACACAAAGTGCCTGTCGACCCCTCACTTGACAGCCACCAACTTGCCATCCTCCAGCTTGCCCTTATACACCTTGCTGAACCCGCCCTCGCCCAGCCCATCAACCACACAATCCACCGCACTGCACACCACCGCTCCCCACCTTCCCCCACTTCGCACCTTGATTCTCTTGACAGCCACGAACTTGCCGTCCTCCAGCTTGCCCTTGTACACCTTGCTGAACCCGCCCTCGCCCAGCATGTTGTCCTCGTCAAACCCGTTGGTGGCCTTGGATAGCTCGTCCACTGAGTACCGCCTCAGAGTTCCGAAGTGACGCGTCGAGATTTGAGCTGCAGAGGAAGAAGGGAGGGGTGGGGGGGAACAGGGCAAGGGAGTTGAAACCCGTTGGTGGCCTTGGCCAGCTCGTCCACAGAGTACCGCCTCAGCGTTCCGAAGTGACGGGTCGAGATTTGGGCTGCAGAGGAAAAGGGGGGAGGAGGGGCCGGAAGGGAAGGCAGGGGAGTTGATATGGCAGTTGAGCAAGGAGAGCAAGGATTGGCATGAGACCCGTTGGTGGCCTTGGACAGCTCGTCCACAGGGTACCGCCTCAGCGTGCCAAAGTGACGGGTCAAGATTTGGGCTGTAGGGGTGGGGAGATGGGGGAAACGGGCGGGGAGGAGGGGGACATGGGGGTTGGGTGCCTTGGATCCGTTGGTGGACTGGACAGCTCGTCCACAGAGTACTGCCTCAGCGTACCAAAGTCACGCGGTTGGTATTGAGGCTAAGCAAGGGGAGCGAGAGGAGCGAGGGGCATGGGAGGAACCCGTTGGTGGAATTGGACTGCTCGTCCACGGAGTACCGCCTCAGCAAGCCAAAGTGACGGGTGGAGATTTGGGGTGCCGAGGGTGGAGAACCAGCAGAGCCACCAGCTGTGAGACACCAGCCATATGCCACTCCCAGTGCGTTTGCACCCCTAAGACTGGAATCGACCAGCTCTACCCAGCACCCCCCCCACCACTCCCCCCCCCCCCGACTCACTCTCAATGTCTTGGGCCAGCCTCTCCGCCTCCTCGCGCTTGCGCTTCTCCTCCTGCTTGAAGCGCACGTAGAAGAAGAGCGCCACGCCCAGCGCGAAGAGCGCGAGCGCGCCAAAGACGATTCCGATCACGGCGCCCACGCCCAGCCCCGTGGCCGGCGGCGGCGGCGGCGCGGCGACCGCCGTGTAGTTGTTGGGGCAGCTCTTGTATGTCACTGCGGGAGGGGGAAGGGAAGAGGACGAGAGGGGAGAGAGAAAGGAGAGGGAGAAGAGGGGGAAACGGAGGAGAGAGAGGGGAGGGGAGGAGGAGGGGATGGAGAGGATAATGAGATGATGAGTTAACGGATGATGGGGCCTGATGACCCAAGAGCAGTAATTTAAAGAGAACGACGAACGAGAGGGAGGTGAAAAAGGGTGGGGTGGAACGGGAAAGGGGGAGGGGGGGGGAGGGGGGTATCACGGGCATGTGCATGTACATGTGCATGTCGTGTGTGTACATGTGAATGTGCATGTCATGTATGCACACGGCGTCTTACCATCCAAGCATCCGGTGGTGTTCAGATTTGGGTTGCCCGCGAAGCTGCATGAGGGAGGAGAGGGAGAAGCACGAGGAAGGGGGGAAGGGGGGAGAAGCACAGCGGGGGAAAGGGGAGTGGGGAGACGGGGAGAAGCACAGCGGGGAAAAGGGGAGTGGGGAGACGGGGAGAAGCACAGGGGGGGCGGGGCCGTTGATAGCAGATCGTGAGAGGGCGAAGCGTACCACAGACATGCCGAAGGAAAGTGAAACTCACAAGGAGCACGGAAAGATTGAGCGGCGGGGAGGTGGTGGGAGGGACAGGGGGGGATGGAGAGGAGGCGAAGAGGGGTGCGGGTGGAGGAGGGAGGGGGGATAGAGGGGGGGGAAGGGGGGAAGCGGGGAGAGACAGCAAAGAGGACGTGGGAGCACGAATGGGGGGATAGGAGGGGAGGAAGTGCGTGCATGGTACGGTACGGTACGGTGCGGTGCGGTATCAAACACTTACTCGGGGCAGGGGAAGCGCTTGAAGCACCAGGGCAGCGAGCCGGTGAAGTTGTTGTCGGCGAGATGGCTGCGAACAAGGAACGACGGCACGAGGAACGACGGGAGGAGGGGCAACGGCACGACGGACGACGGGAGGAGGGGCAACGGCACGACGGGCGATGGGAGGGTAGAGAAGATGAAGGAGAGGTGAGCAAACTGTGGCTACGGGGCAAATCCCAAAACGGTTGAAGCGCAGGAAGAGATTGCGACAGAGAGAGAATGAGCACAAGAACGAGAGGCGATGCGGAAAACAGGACGGCGGAAGGGGTCAGAGACCTCGAACCAGCGAGAGCCGAGGGCGGGTGAATGGGTAGGGAAGAGGGGAGGAAGGGTGGGGTGGGGTGGCGGGGGGGAGGGGCGGGAAAAGGGGGAGAAAAAAAGGGAAAAGGGGTGTGGGGGGTGTGGAATGGGAAGGGAGGAGCGGGGGAAGGAAAGGGTGGAGAGGGGAAGGAGGAGAGAACGGGCTTACAGGCACTCGAGCTTGTCGAGATAGCAGAGCATGTCGTCGAGCGTGCCGGTGAGCTGATTGCCCTCCAGGTTCAGCGACTTGAGGCTCGGCGCCAGCCCCAGCTGCGGCGGCTGCACATACAAGTGACGGGAAGGGGGAGGAGACACGGGAAAGAGACACGGGCGGGAGGAAAAGAGACGTAGACATGTGTGAGTGACGAGGTTTGTTAGACTCAAAGACGCGTGCCGACCAGCTTATTGCATTCCAGGTAGGTTGAGCGACTTGAGGCTCGCTGTCAGCCCTAGCTGAGGCGGCGGCTGCCCGTAACATACGAAGAGAGAAGGCGCAAACAAGAGACGTGCGAGACGACAGAAGATGGCGAGTTTGACACCTCATGGTCAACTATCCGTAACGGCAAGTGGAGCTGTCCGTAACGGCAAGTGGAGCTGTCCGTAACGGCAAGTGGAGCTGTCCGTAACGGCCAAGTTATGAGGGTCATTTGGGGGTTGAGGAGGCGGCGCTGCTCACCAGAGGGCCTTCGAGAAGGTTGTAGGAGACGTCGCTGAGAGCGAGCAGCAATGCAGACGGGGTTGAACGGGGTTGAACGGGGTTGAACGAGAGCCGGCAGCAATCCACGCGCATTGGAAAGACATCAGGTGGCGATTCCGACAGGTTCGAACGAGGAGGCATCCAACGCAGAGAATCAAACGCGGGGGAAAGAGGGACAAAGAGGCACGGGGGAAGCGAAAGGAAAGATGAGAACATTGGCGAGACGACGCCTAGGAGCGAGACATTCCGAATCTCGCAATCATGGACGGGGCCAGCAAAGGCGAGAACTGCAGCCACGGCTTGGGATTCTCTGCGGCCAAGGGCTGTAAAGCATAGGCCTGGAACGCAACGGGCTGGAAGGCAGAGCGAGCGATGCACTTACAGGCGCTCAAGGAAGAGAACTCCCGAGATGTTCCAGTCCAAGCCACCCTGCAGCTTGGGCACGCCCGCCGGGAACGACGGGTAGCTCAAGTCCCTGCGGAAAGGAGGGGCAGGTGGGGTAGGGAGTGCAGAGGTAGGGAGGGTGGGGAAGGGTCGGGAGAGAGGAGGAAGGGTAGGAAGGGCAAGGGGCCGAAGAGGAGAGAGGAGGGGGGAAAGAGGGATGGGTTTCCGAGCGAGAGAGCGAGAGGTGCGGGGCCAGTAATACTGCCGACGAGAGGTGGAGAGCGACAGTGGTCGCGAGCAAAAGAGTAGGGGGAAGCAAGACAGGGGGCTGGGGAAAGGGAGATGGGAGGACGCAAGAGGCGTGGAAACGAGAGGGAGATGATGGGACACGCGGTCAGAGGCGTGTGCGCGGGGACGACGAGGCGACGAGAGGACGAGGCGATTGGGCAACGAGACGACCAAGCGACGCGGGGCGAGAGGAGAATGAATCGACGAGACAACGAGACGACAAGGCGGGCGGCGAGGCAACGAGACGACGAGGAGCAAGACCACAAGACGACAAGAGACGGAAGTCGGAGAGACGGCGAGGCGGCGAGGCGGCAGGTGACGAGACACAGAGACGACGAGTCGACAAGACGACGAGAACGACGAGGCACGTACACGGAGATGACGTAGCCCTGGTCGTTGCAGGAGACGCCTGCGTACGGCAGGTCCGAGGTGTTGCCTGGGCACGGCCGGCCGACGGCGACGTTCCAGAAGGGTGCGGGGAAGTTGGTGAACGAGCTCTCCTGCCATCCCATCAGGAAGGGGTCTGGCGGATAGAGGAGAGGATGAGGGGGAGAGAAAGGAGGGGGAAAAACGGGGGAGAGGAGGAGGGGAGAGGGAGAAGACGTAGGGAGGAACGGAAGAGAAGATTTTTGAGTTGACTAGAAATTTCTCGCTGAGAGAGAAACGGTCAACGAGGTTAAACGTAATAAGTGTCGAGATAAACGGAAAAGGGGTGAAGGGGGTTGAAGACGGGGAAAGGTGGATTGACAAAGCCTCAAGAAAATGGACGACGGAATCGTGCATTAACAGAGAATGAGAAACTAGAGTATGGGCATTCCATTGTTATAAGCGGCTGGCTGCGCTTCCAGTAATTCGCGCGGATGCGAAGCGGAGAGGAGATGCAAAACGGAAAGCTTTGCGGGAGCACCGACCGTCTTGATCCATTGACAACTACTCACGTCGGAATCCACCATTGGGTACAAGCACACGCCTACAAGCACACGCGGGAAAAGACACCGCTGCTACGTAAAGACTAGTGACCTCCGTATACGTGGATGCAAACGTTCGCAGGTAATTCCACCGGTGACTGGCTTTGTTTCAATTAAACTGATTAAGGTACTGCTCGTGCGGAAGGAGGAGATGAGCTGTGGGCTTGGACACGGTGGACATGGAAACGGCTACACAATGGGTGCGTCTTACTTCCTGAAATTTGCATTACACATGTTGAAGTGACAATGCGGGACAACATCAGTCACGGAAACTTACTGTCTCCTGCGTAGGCAGCTAGCATGTAGTCCACGCCTTGCATGCTTGTGCTTTGACCCTCCACTCGAAGCAGCGTCAATGATACCACCAATGCACACACCAGCCACCGAAACATTCGACTCTCTTGAGTGACCATCGTGCCTTGCTGGTGAGATTCTAAGCCGATAATAAAGCAAAAATAAAGTACACCAGCGCTGATGGTGCTCTGGAGGCTTGTCTGGAAACTACGCAGCTTCTCCGTGACACGGCCCAACGCACTACTGAACTACAAAATACTAGCACTTCACTGTCTTGTGGTTAGCGGAGCTACGCATCGAACACGTAGAATGGCGAATGCGTAACCCTATTGTCACCGTCGTAGCTTATCCTAGATCAATGGTCCTGTAACCTGTTGTTCGAATTCTGATGGTTCTCTCCAACTGCTGTTCTGTCTTCCGTGACTTCAACTCGCTTTGTCCTCTGCTCCTCCTGACTGAAGCCTGCTCTTTCTGGTGGTTGACTGGAATGGAGAACGCAGGAGAAACCCCAAGGTGGACTGTTGGAGATATTGAGGAACTGGTGGGTTGGGGAAAGTGGGAGATGAGGGTTTCGTTTTGGCTGGTGGTACTGTGAACTGTAATTGCGGTCAGGTAAGGGATGTTATGCTGTGTACAGTAAAGTTCGAGGTTGAGGTTCGGAGTCTTGTGAGTTGCGTTCCGTGGCTTGTCATGTCAGGCTTGGCGTCGTGAACCTGGGATATTTAGGTTATGAGGGAGCCGGTTTCCGAACCACGCCAATCTGGCTGCAGCTACGGTTTTGTCATGCCATGTGACAGAGCAGAAACCACCTGACCAGACCCTGAAAGTTACGGTAGCCCCACCAGCAACATTTTGGTGCTGTTGGTCGCCCGTTTTCGCACATGACGGTGAAGCAACCGCCGTTTGCGGGTACGAAGAAATCTGTCCCTCGGTTGAAGTTGGTTGGCGGATGAACTTAGATGGTGCCGGGTCAGGTTGAGCGGGCCTGGTGATATACATGGTGGTTGTTCTTCCAATTTCACGCAGTAGATTCTTCCAAATTTCCACTCACAAAAACAGTTCTTGGGCAGGAAACAAAAGCAGGCTGACCAAGGGACCTGATAAACGAAAACGATGCTTGTGGGGTCGTGTGTCGTTTATGCCTTCGCCGTTTCTGAAATCTTCCGCCGACAGTCCTGCTGAAAATGCAAGCACCGAAGAAACTGCTAAAAACCGCTTCAACACCCCCAGTGAGAGTTACGGTATCTACACCACATTGCCATATCTCACTCACAAAAAGTGAGTAGTATCCACACATTCAGCTTCACATTATCAATGGCAGGTTTTGTGCTGCAACATTTTGTACAAATATATCCAATCAATCTGCACGCAATATAAGGTGGCCTCCACAACCTTATACGGTACGTCTAATTTGCGGACAATCCAATCACACCTGCACAACTCAAGGGGGCGACGGATGCAAAGATGGAACAAAGCAGTGAGATGAAACTACACGACTACACGAACTTACTGCCAAGATGAATACTTCCACATTCATGGCACAGTCAGCAGCTAGCATAGAAACTTACCACATGCCACCCTGCCACCAGCATTGCCCGTGGCTTTGCTCAGCTCAACACCACCTGCACGATATGCACCATGCACACATTTCACACAAACACACAGAGAATTGGCACAAGGGCAACTGGTACCATACATACAAGGCGGATACACAACTAAATAATCACACAAAACACATGTGGAAGAGCGAACCTAGAGGAGAAAATAGGCAGATAACCCCCCCAAACACCTGGCTCGATAACAGTTTGTGCATCCCCACAACGACCCCAACCGACCTCGCTTCCCTGCCTTCCCACTCACCCTTACCCAGGTAATCTGCATCAGCATGCACAACAACAGCACAGCGAAGAACAGACTTGGGGCCCGAGAGGGGGACCTGGAGTTCGCGGCACATCTACAATGATCTCAAGAGCACCCCAATCCCAGAAACCTTGTTTCCCTCCCTCCCCACTCACCCTTGCCCAGGTCGTCCGCATCAGCGTGCACAACAACAGCACGACCAAGGACAGAGTTGGGGCCCGAGAGAGGGATCTGGAGGTCAGTCAGAGACACAGTTGCCACGCCTGAACCAGGGAGTTGGACAGTTGGACATGCGGGAGAACGAGGGATGACAGGGGGTCAGACACCTTGCGCAGGAACATGGTTGCGAGTGATAGAGATACAACAGGGGAGTAGAGAGATGGATATGGGAGAGAACAAGGGACGTCATGGTAATGATCACTGTCCTTTACACCAAAACGGCTTTTACGCTGTGAAGAAGCACAGGTCCATCTCAGAGAAAGCGACCTGTAAACAGCATAGGAAACAAAAAAAAAAAGATGTGAATTAAATTGACATGCATCGACTCACCAGACTCATTTGCCACCAGGTTTCCAAGGTCCCCTGCGTGCCTCTCATTATCCCCTGGTGCTCCGTGGGTCTTGCCCGCCGGATTGAAGTGCGGGCCTGCAATGGTTACAGGGGTTGGATTTAAAGCAGTAGAAGGGACAGCATTGCAGAATATTCTGTTTTGACTTGAAAGACACCCCCAGGACCTTAAGTTTAAGACAGTTTCCACAACAGACACACCAGCCATTGAAGAGACCTCCGGTCCAGAAAAATCACTTCAACCTCTCAAGTCATACCGGCTCGTAACAATTATGTCTACGAGTTAACAAGCCCTTAACTGGGAATGGAATGGAGTCATTGGACAGGTTCACATTGTGCACATGGAAGCCCTACAGGCTTTAGGTCAGCCTGTTGTAAGCAGAGTCCTCATAAAACGCCTCTATAACGAGTACAGTACGCCCTCACCAGTGGACATGCAGCCGTTTGAAAGGTCCCCCAGCTTGTGCACGTGGAAGCCGTGCAGGCCAGGTGCCAGCCCTGCCACGGAGGCACTCACTTGTGTGGGGCCTGGGGGAATTGAGATAGCAGACATGGAACAAGAATGGGAAACAATGGAGGCGAAGGGAGGAGAATGGGGGATTAGCAGGATGGATGGCATGGAAGGGATGGATGACTACTGACGGAGAGACTACAATGCAGGCAGGCCGAGAGTCAGCACTGCCACGAACGCACACACTTGTGTGAGGCCTGGGGGAATTGGATTGGAGATGGTGGGAACGGAGCGGAAGGAACGAGAATGGGGACAGCAGGAAGGACATGACTTCGAAAAGAAGGTTGCTTGCAGTGTAAATGTCAGCCCTGACACGGATGCAAAGGACGGGTCCAGAATTCTGCCATTGTGGATTGTTCAATGTCATGCATAGCCCATCCCATCTGCCGCTGGATCCAAGGCGCCTCAGGAGCGTCAGTCATATTGGGATGAAAGTAGCATCTCATGATCCTTGCTCAATCCCTTCACGCACTTTGTTATTTCTTTTGGATCTTGAGGAATTCCGGATTGCATCCACCCTCAAAGTGACCAAGAAATCTGAAATTCAAAACAATGAACCATTCGCGTCGCTGATATACCTGATCCATCGTGCGAGAATGTGACAATTCCGGATACCCCGGAGCTCCCTGTCAGTACGGCGACGGCGTTAATTCCCGCTGCGGACGCGGCCGCTGGGGAGAGAGGCATGGCGAGGAGAGCGGCAAGCACGGCGGGGACTGCCATCTTGGCGACGACAGACGAAGAACCCCTTGAAATGTCGGAAGATTCGTCGGAAGATTCGGACTTTAGGCTACTGCGAACGCGGATCACGGCCTTGCTCGCACATGCTGATTGGCTCTTGACTGATGGTCGTGAAGTCGAGGAGAGGCCAGTCGCAGGAGCAAGGGACGGAGCGACGCGAAGGGACGCGGAAAGGAGGCCGGAGGAAGCCATTGAGTTAAACGAAATACGGCGACTGAGTTTCTCACAGGCGGAGAAACGGCAATGGCGAACCCGGAATTGACGCTGGGCTTTGGAATCTTGGCAGCTGAACTGTGCTTGCTGGGAGTGGAATGGGATGGGATGGGATAATGTAGACCAGCTCTAGGGAGTGATGGGATTGATTTGCAGCTGTCTTGTTGGGAGAAATTCACAAGTACTATACCGTACTTCGCACCGAGTTATCGCACAGCATCAGGCGACATTTCAGGTGTGAGGTGTGGGGCAGGTGTCATCGTCATGATTCGCTCAAGAGCTGGGTTGGCCCGGAGATTCTTGAATCTGGTCGCTTGCTGACGCTTGCTCGTCTGGAAGCACGTCATCAGTGCATACGTGGCTTTCGGCAAGATTTGACGTGCAGATCTCAACCCAAATGTTCCACTAGTGGTTGGATCGTTACAAATACAACTCCAATCGAAAACTATTGACATGTCTTTGGGTTAAGCTAGGCAGGTCTAAGCGATGATTTAAGCTGCTGCTTGGAAGCCAATAACACCTGCCACAGACAAAAAGGAATCGTATGAGCCCAGAACAGTAAATAATAAACCATGATAGGTGCAGATTCAAGTAGGGAACCACGACATGAGGTTACAGTAGATGTGAAAGTGATAAGCTCACCGCATGCAAGCCTTCCTCCAGCGTTTCCAGTGGTTTTGCTGAGCTCGTGGCCACCTGGATGGGTCACAGGAGCATAAAGGTGTTATCACTTCGAATCATGAGATTGTTGTCTGACTTGTATCATAAAGATACCATCACAAAAATCACCCCTCACCCCCCAACCCCCCATCCCTCCCTCTTCCTTCGTGCTCTCACCCTTGCCAAGGTCGTCTGTGTCGGCATGCACTACAACAGCGCGGCCAATGATGGAGTTCGGGCCAGACAGAGGGATCTGGAGGTTGGGGTGGAGGAAGGGGGGCGGTGGATCACAGGAAAGTATGTGAGAGGGATGGTGCAAACCAACAATTGCACTGTAGCTTGATGAGAAATCACATTGTGGCAAACGGAGAAACGAGAGCCTAATAGATACCTGAGAATCTGTTATGGTGAACTCCGCAACACCTGCAGAACGAACACAGCAGGCAGCACATATTTAGAGTAAGCTTTGAAAGTAAGAAGCTCACAAATTTCTCAAAGCACCTGGCTGGAACATGCAACAACACATGGTCCAAATGTGGAAACGCGAATTTGATCTCCGTCTCCATTTAATAAGAACGGGGCAAACCCTACCACTCTCATCAGCAACGACATTCCCAAGGTCTCCCGCATGCCTCTCCTCGTCTTCCGGGGCTCCGTGAGTCTTGTTTGCCGGATTAAAGTGCGGGCCTGGCGTAGACCAGCAAGAGGCGGAAACCGACAGCGGACGGAAATTCATGAATTAGAAAAGGGATTCGAGGTTTGTCAGCGAATCTGGCTACGGGCAAGGACAACGATGATGGACGTGAAGCCAAAGCAAATGTAAATACAGTTTAGGACATGAGAAGACCTTCCGTCGCGAGAAATCTACAAGCTTAAAGAATGGACACAGAAACGGCACGACATGCATGGCGTGTCGAAATCGAATACGAGCTAACGAATGACACGAGGTAAAACAGTCGAGTCATTTCGAGGCAAGGATATGGGCGCGACCTGTGGACATGCAGCCGTTGGTGGTGTCACCCAGCGCGTGCACGTGAAACCCGTGAAGCCCTGGCTTGAGGCCAGTGATCTTGCCGTTCACCACAGTCGAGCCTGATAACACGGCGGTACAACAATTAACTATCATTTTTGCTAAAAACGTTAACACTGGAACTCTGCATCATGTTCTTATTGACTTCGTCACTGTCACTTCGAAACCTGATTTCGAGCGTAATCGCGTGAATTACGGAACGTCAAAACTCACCAGATTCGAGCTGCTCAAAGGTGACGGTGCCGTTGACACCCTCAGAGCCGGTAAGGACCACAACAGCCTTGATCGTCATGTTGGCTGGGGAACAAGAGCAGTTCTGAGCAAAAACTGCTGCTGGAGTCAAGAGCAGCACAAAACAGACGCTCAAAACAGCTGCAGTGGTGAAATTCCGCATCTCAAGTAGTTGTTCGTGCTGGAAGGTTCCAATGTTGTGGAGAGAGGAAACGAAACAGAATTCGTCGCACACGCACGGATGCCCGTCAGAACGAAATTGTACTGCGCGAGCAGCTATTGGTGGCGACGATGTACACAGCTCAAACCATAGTGGCCGTCAGCTTTTATTTCCGACGTCCGTCAACACTACTGCATTCCTCTGCATGTAAATATTGATGGACGCTGTCAAAAGTGCTCGTAGAGGAATCCGCGGTTCGGCATGGCGGTGTTGGTTCTGACGACCAGTGACGGACAGTTCGACGCATCCGCCCTTGTTGGACGGTCAATTGACGGGCTGCCGTGCAGTGGGCGAATCCGAACGAAAAGAAGCGGATGTGTGTTACCGTAATCATGTACACACAGGAAAAGTAGCCTAACTGCTCCATCAAACCATGACTATCCTTGACCGTGGCTTTTTAGCTTTCTCGAATATGCCTGCCTATCCTTCAGCTGCAAAGGGGTCTACTTCCCCAGCATCGGCCAGGAGCGGGGGCAAAGATGACAAGTCCTCCCCAGCCGGGGGGTAGAAGGTGGGGAAGGGCAACTGCAGGCCGCCATACTCTTGAGCGTCTGGTCCCTGCACCTCGTGCTTCCTCACTGCGTCCTTCACAAACACAAAATTGCCACTGTGCCCGGGAACCTGGCAGGAAGGGAGAAAGAGGAGCAAGCAGGGGGCTTTCAGGCGCACGTACATCAAATGCCCCCTGCCCAAACACAAAGTTGCCGCTGTGCTCGGGAAGTCGGGAACCTGCCAGGAAAGGAGTGGGAGGGGGCAGCAGTGCAGACGAGCAGAGAGAGGCAGACAGCATGTTCATGCCAGGTCACATCTAATCATTCCCTCAACCTCCCTCACCTGCCCCTTCACCCACAGCAGCCCACGTGCGGGTTCCACCTTGTACACTCACACGCTCTGCACCGTGCTCCACGTGCCTCCTTCGAAGCCCAGAACAATGAGTGTTAAGGTTGTTTAAACACGCACCTGTCCGTTGCCTCATTGTCCCTTGACTCACCTGTCCCTTCACCCACAGCAGCCCTCTGGCCGGTTCCACCTTGTACACCCACACGCTCTGCACCGTGCTCCACCCACCCGGTACACTCAGAACAACGTGCATTTAAGTCAACTCAACACGCACCTGTCCCTTCACCCACAGCAGCCCTCTGGCCGGTTCCACCTTGTATCCCCACACGCTCTGCACCGTGCTCCACCCACCCACCCAGTCTACTCAGCTCAACACGCACCTGCCCCTTCACCCACAGCAGCCCTCTGGCCGGTTCCACCTTATACACCCACACGCTCTGCACCGTGCGCTGCTTGTTGCCCATCTGCCCTGCCATCTTCTTGTTCTTGAACACCTGGGGGGAGAGGAAGGGGGGAGGCCAGGGGGAGTAAGGGGAGCAGGGTTATGATGGGGAACAGGGGGGGAACAGAGTGGGGGGAGGTGTGGGGAGTGGGGCCAAGCGCATGGGAAGCGGAGGGAGAGAGAGCAGATATGGCTAACACTCTTCATTGTGCGCTGCTTGTTGCCCATCTGCCCCGCCATCTTCTTGTTCTTGAACACCTGGGGGGGAGAGGAGGGAGGAACAGCGTGGGGGAAGGTGCGGGGATTGGGGGGAAGAGCAGGAGCACAAGGGGAAGGGAGCACAAATAAGGCTTGTTATTCTGCACAGTGCGCTGCTTGTTGCCCATCTGCCCCGCCATCTACTTATTCTTGAACACCAGCGGGGGTGCAGAGCGAGGGGAGAAGGGGAGCAGGGGGAGCAAGGAAGCAGGCGGAGCCGGGGGGGCAGGGGGTGCAGGAAATAATGGGGACAAGTAACGTGCACATGTAACAATCAGTAAATAGCGTTTATAGAATCGTATTGTGTGCTGCTAGCAGATTAACTATGAGCATGCCTGCAACCAACCTCACCTTGCCAGGGTCCTGCCGGCCGCCAGTAGACCCGTGGCTTCGATGCGAGAGTGATGCTCCGTGCGATGCTGGCATGCCCTTGAACCCCCACCGCTTCATGGGACCCTGGGGAACGAGAGGAGGGGGGAAAGGGAAGGGGGACAGGAGGAGAGGGGGAGTTAGAAAGATAGCAAGAAGAACGGGGCACCAGGAGGGAAAGAGACGTTCCATGGGATGCACGCCTGGCCTTGAACCCCCACCGCTCCATGGGACAATGTAGGAAGGGCAGTGGAGGGAAGAGGGCTACGTATGGGAGAGAGGGAGATAACGGGATGGACGGGGCGATGGGAGGGAGAGTTGTGATCAGAATGACAAAAGAACACACCAGAACAAAAGCGGGAAATACCCTGCCCATAAGATAATTTACCCGTTTCCCGCTACAGCCATACCTGAAATCCTTTTCCCACGGTGGTCCCTGTGACGTCAATAAACTGCCCGGGAACGAAATGCCGCACGTCTATGGGCGTGCCCACGGGCAGAATACAATCCTCTGACACGCGGAACTCCACTAGTTTTCGCTTCAGAGGCACCCCTGCTGCCCGAAAATGCCCCAGTTCTGGCTTGGTCAGCTGCTTTGGTTTTTTCTGCCCGGACCCGATCTGGAGGGAAGTGTAGCCTTCTTTTTCCCTTGTTTTCACCTGGGTGGGGAGATGAGGGAAAGAGAGGGAAAAGGATCAGAAAGAAGGGTTACAATACAACTGCAGATCCCTATTGTACCTACCCCATTTCTTTGTAACACCTTTCCCAGCCACAGCTTCATTGCCAAATCTACCCTAATCATCATCCCAGTCGCGCCTACCCTAGTCATACCTTCCCCAGTCGCACCTACCCTAGTTATACCTTCCCCAGTCGCACTTACCCTAGTTATACCTTCCCCAGTCGCACCTACCCTAGTTATGCCTTCCCCAGTCGCACCTACCCTAGTTATACCTTCCCCAGTCGCACCTACCCTAGTTATATCTTCCCCAGTCGCACTACCTAGGCATACCTACCCCAACCACGGCATATCTACCTAACCCAGTCGTCCCTACCCCAGTCGTACCCACCCCAGGACTAGGTCCCTACCGCTGTCGCACCTGCACGACTTGGTTGTCGTCTATCCAGAGCACAGTCAGGGGGATCCTAACCCCAACCACAGCAGTCCCACCTACCCCAGTCATACCTGCACGACTTGGTTGTCGTCTATCCAGAGCGCAGTAAGGCATACCTACCCACCCCAGTCGTACCTAACCCAGGACTGGGTCCCTAACCCTGTCGCACCTGCACGACTTGGTTGTCGTCTATCCAGAGCACAGTCAGGGGGATCCTAACCCCCCACTTGTCCCACGTGGCAGTCATCCCGCATTTCACGGCGATCGCGCCCGTGCGCACGGATCTCCCCGCGCTCAGCCCCTCGTCGTCGTCATCCTCCCCCCATCCGCGGACCACCTCCTCCGCTTCCTCCGCCGCCGCTGACGGAGCGGCGGAAGCGGCGGACGCGGAGTGGAAGTTCCGCGCTTGAAGAGGCGCGCCGGAAGCGGAAGCGGAAGCGGAAGCGCAAGCGGAAGCGGAAGCGGCTGGAGCGAGATGCGGAGGAGCGGCAAGATGCGCGGGGAGGAGGCTATGCGTGGCGATTGGTAACCCGCGGAGCAGATCGACTCTCAAGATCTGATCGCCGGCGGCGGCGCCTGCGGCGGTAGAATTATACACTTTGGTGCATAACTGAGATGCGAGAGCGAGGGCGGGAGCATGGCGAATGGAGTATGGACCGTGTGAAGAATGGGGGTAGTGGTAGGTCGAATGGTGATGGTTTAACGGCGGGATTCTGGTGGTTCCGCGGCTTCGCGACGCGCTCCTGACGCTGTAAGTTGCCACGGAGCCAAGCCGCCGGAACATGATGACGACAGCTGACGGTAACGGTGACGACAGCAGCCGGTAATACTAGGAAGAGCGCACAAGCGACAAGGGATGAGGACGACTGCTTAGGCCGTGCAAGGAATACGGGCAGCTCGTGTTCGGATCCCTCGCGTCGCCGCCTAGCCGCCAAAACCACTAACTGGTGAAACGGAGGAATTAGTGGCACACAATCTGCGGTGTTGAGTGCTCCGATGCCACACTTGGAGTAGCGCGATTGGAAATGTTCAAAGCAGCAGTATATAATCAATCAATCCAGAAAGTGTATATAATTTCCACTTCCTTCGGATTTTTTTATTTTTTTTTAGATGCTTAAATACATTACAGGAATGCAATTAATAAACATCGTCAGTTGTAACTGTGTAGTTAGGGGAGGGCCATGGCAATACCACAGGTCCCCTTGCCCAACCTATGGCGGTTGATGCGTCAGCTTCGGATCATCCCAGAGAGAGCTGAAGCATATCCTCCATGTCAGCGGTGCAGCCTTGCTGCAGATCCTTTTCATAACCTCTGCCTCGTCTATTTCCAGATGTGCCCACGTGTCTCCATTTACCGCCACTCCCCGCTTCCTTGCCGCGATTTCCCTCGCCAAACAGTACACCCGTGCATGCGCGACAAAATTCACCACCACTCGCCACATCACCCGTTTCGTCTGAAACCGAATGCTGTGGAGGTTCGCATCACACCTCGCCAGCCAGATTTGGTGAAATGTGGAGGCGATGAAAGAACTTTCTGGAAACCCCGACTTCGTGCTCCTCTGCATGAACAGAAGGTCCTCCAGGTCCCCCCAGCGCTTCTCTGGATTCATCGCCATCAACCCATTCTTGAAGAAATCCACCACCTTTTGTATCGCCGGGCAGCCAAGCAGGCAGTGCTCCGGTGTCTCTTCCCGTTTGCAGTGTGGGCAGACCACATTGAAACGCAAAAACTGCAGCCTCGTGCCCACTTGCAGGTTTCTGCAGTGTAGCCTTAGCATAACATCTCGTGCCCGGGCAGGTGTGGCAAGGGAGTCCCTCTGCCTGATGACCCCTTCCCACTCAATCACTGCACCTTGCCCCTCCCATCTCCTCTGCCCTCTCGCCGTGCCAGCCGAGCTCTGCAGAGCCCTCCTGACCTCCCTGAGTGGCACCACTGCTCCGTCTCTGCACAGCTGCGTTTGTAATAGCTTCGTCCGCGCTTCTCCCATCAGCCCGAGCACCTTGTCTCCGTGCGTCGCCACCGGCTCAAACAAGCTGCTATGGGGGTTAAGATTTACCGTTAGGTTGGCCCCGTCGCATACGCTGTATATTCCCGTGTCTTCGACCTGACACAACCTCCCCGTGACCTCCGACCCTGTCGTCCCGCACACCTTCCAGTACGAGGGTAACGCAGGCGCCCTTCCTTGAGTTCGCAGCATGGGTACCGCCGCCACCACCCCTTCTCCCGTCGGGACGGCCAGTAGCAGCTCCTTCCACTCCCGCGGGGCTGCGTCGAAGGCCTTGAGCGCCCACTTCGCCTCTTCTTCGCCGCCCATCTCCACCGTCAGCATCTCCAGGCTTTTCAACGCATACCTGCCGCTGAGCTTTTCCCAGATCACGTCGCCCAACCTCATATCCCACAGGCAGACCGACCCCTTTTGGTTCCCGAAAGCGCTTGCCCCCCGGAATGGTATTCGGCGGTTGAAAATTAGCCGCTCCTTCGCTACTTCCCATCTTGTTTTTGGCTCCGGCGGCTTACTGAAGGGGGTTTCCCAGAATACTTGAAACACCTCCTTCCATCTTCTGCTTCCCTTTTCCCAGTGTCGTAGCAGGGACTTGTGTGCGAAGAGCGTATCCAAGCCCATCGGCAGGGCCGCCGCCGTCATCGCCAGCCACTCCTTGACTGACTTTGGCTGCAGCACCAGTCTCCCAACATTATGCGCCGCTATGCTGTCGAACATCTTTTTGGGACATATCATCCCCAACCCTCCATCCTTCCACGGCGTGCACATCAGCTCATAGTTCCACAAAATGAAGCCTTTACCCTCCGTCATTTGACCGCCGGAGACGAAACTGTGACATACTCTTTTGATCTTTGCCCAAATCTCCTCCGGCGGCGGGTAAATCTGCGCCTGAAACAGGAAAATTGGCGTGATGTACCCGTTAACTATGGTAACCCTGGCTGTGGTTGTCAGATGCTGCATCTCCCATCTTGCTAACTCCGCCCTTGCCCTGTCCAGTGCTTTCTCCCAGGATGGCGGTGGGTCTCCGTTCGGCGTGATCCACACCCCCAGCAACCGCTCCGGCTCGTCCTTGTCCGCCCACTTATACTGAAGACTCGGCGGCGGCTGACTTCCTCTGTTACTCCCCAGCGGGAAGACCACCGTTTTTCTCCGGTTGACCTTCAGCCCAGACTCCTCTCCAAACGTTTCCAGCACTTCCGTCACTGCAACTAGCTGCTCTTCCCCTTGCAGTAGAAGGGAGGTGTCGTCAGCGTACCCCAGGTACGCCAGCTTCCCCAGCTCCGGTCTCCCGACCCCCAAGTCTCTCTTCGCAATTTCCTGGCACAGCGGCTCCACAGCGCACAAAAAGAGGTATGGCGCCAGCGGGCACCCTTGCCGTACCCCTTTGTTCACCGCTACTGCTTCACCAGTCCAGCCGTTGACATGTACCCTTGTACCCGCTTCATTGTGCAGGCCCTCCGTCCAGGACATGAAGTCCTCCGGGATCCCCATGCTCCTCATCGTGCGGAAAAGGAAACTCCTCGAGATGGAGTCGAACGCTTTCTGGAAATCCACCATGAGCAGCAGCCAGTCCTCCTTGCCGCTTGCTCCTGCTTCAATGGCATCTGCCACCACCGCCACCGCGTCCGCCAGCTTCCTGCCAGGTATAAAACCAACCTGGTCCTCCGATATCAGCTCGTGCAACACCTTTTTGAGCCTGCTGGCCAGTACCTTGGCAACCACCTTATAAATCGTGCTCAGCAGAGTTATAGGTCTGTAGTTGCCTAAATCCTCCTTGCTCCCCTTCTTGTGCAGGAGGATCGTGACTGCCGTGCTGATGCTCCGCGGCAACTTCCCAGTGCGCGCGAAGTTTTCGACGAAACCCATCAGCGCCGGCCCGAGCAGGTCCCAGTTGTGTTCGGCGAGCTCTTTGGGAAGGCCATCCTGCCCCGGGGACTTTCCCGACGACAGCTCCCTCACTGCCTTGCGAACTTCCTCCTCTGACCATGGCGCGCTGAGCGCCGCCTTACTGCTTTCCGCCAGCGTCCGCCCCAGTGGAGCGGGTCTGCACTCCTCTGACTCCTCCGAGGCAGCCGCACCAAAGGCGTCCCGGAAGAAATCAGTCGCTGCTGCAAGCACCTCTCTCGCTCCCGTATAGTTGACGCCTTTGAAATTAACCTCCTTAATCTCCGTCTTTGCCTTCCGTATCTTGATTTTCGCAGATAAGAAACCAGTCGCCGCTTCCCCATCCAGCTCTGCCGTGACCCCTGCCCACGTCCGCAGCTTTTCTTTATGGCTATTGTCGTATGCCAGGAGCAGCTCCTCCTTCTTCAACAGAATGGAGGCTGTGCGCTGGCAGTTTGGGTTCGCCATCAAACGGTAACGGAAGAGCTCCACCTCCTTTGCCATGTGTGCCCTTGTCGCCTTCTCCCTTTTTTTCTCCTGCCTCTCGTACGCACTTAAGCACGCTGTCAGACGCGGTAGCGCCGCATTGAGATCCCCCGTCGCATCATCGAGCACACGTTTTATGACTCTTCTGACTCCCTTTTTCTTTGCCTGGTTCCCCCTTAACCGCCAGATCCCCGGCCCCCTTGATACCGCCGTGGATGACTCCAGCGACACTGCTACCGCGTACCAGTGGTCCGTCATCCGGTTGGTGATCTCCTCATGCCATACGTCCACCAGCTTACTCTGCAACGGCTGCGATATGAGCGCGCGGTCAATCCTGGTGCTCATCTTCTTTGACTTAGAGTAGAAGGTGTATTCACGCCTATCCGGGTACATGAAGCGGAAGGCATCTCTCAGAGGCGTGCGAGGCCAGCAGCTCAGCAGCCGCTGATTCTCCGCAGCCGAGCCTGCCTTAGTTGTCTTGTCCATTTCGGGATCCTCCACCACGTTGAAATCCCCCATCACCAGCACGCTCTGTGAGGCAGGTAAGGAGCTGATGAAGGGTTCGAGGCAGTCCCTATAAAACTGGCCTCTGCTACACGGCTGCGCCGGGAGGTACATCGCCACCAGGAGCAGCTCCACGTCACCCCAGCTCACCATGACACCGATCAGCCTCCCCGACGGGTGCGTATATGTTTCCTTCAAATCCATCTCTGGTATAAAACCCAAGACCGCGACCCCACCGGCGGTGTCCGCTGGTCCTACTGCTACCATTGCTGCTGGCTTGAGTTGCGTCCAGAAGTTATGGTCTGCGCCAATCCTTGTGTCTGTGATGACCGCTATGTCTACTTTGTTCCGTAGCCAATCTCTGCATTTGATTCTCTTCCCCTCGCTGCCGAGTCCGTTGATGTTGAACTCGCAGAATGTGATGGAGTGTTTCTTATTCATTGATCAACCACGAGGAAGCCCCTTCGCATCCACGGGCTGTGAGAACACAAGTTACAACAAAGAGACCGCACAGAGACGCTACTGCTAACTCCTCAACACCATCAGCACTGCTCCTGATGTCACTTCCTCGCTGTGCCGCCTGCCAGGACAGCAGCTTATTTCCCATCAGCTCCCTTGTTCCCCGTGAGACTACCCCTGTGTAGGTCCTTTTGCGAACTCCTTGCGGAAAACTGGAAGACTGATGGCACCCTTGCTGTTGCGTGTAGCTGCTCCCGGCTTGACCAGGTTGGTCTTGTGGCGAAGTGAGAAGACGTGGGAAGACGCCTGCTCGAAGCTGGTACCTTGAGCTTTCTCGCAGGCCGCAACAACGCAGACCCAGTCTTCCCTTGAACCTCCTGTGGAGGTGAGTAGTATTGCCGGATCCTTGAGAATCTCTCGCAGCATAGCAGAAGCTTTCAGCGAGGCGGCTGCGAGGTGGGAGAGACAGCGGATCGTCAGCATTGAAGTTTGCAGAAAAGGAAAAAACAGGTAAAGTAAGGGCTGCGAGCGAAGCTGAGAGGCGATTCACACGGGTACCGTTAATCTCATGGACCTTCCTAACAGTCAGGTTCCATTTGCTGATGTTGGCTTGCCGCTCCAGAACGTATGCATTGTGAAACTGTGTCATGTGACGGCCGTTGCAGAGGTCGCAGGAGAGCGATGGGTACTGCACCAACAGCTTTCTGGTATTGTCAGAAGGGTCCGTGACTGCGTGCCTCCATGGGTCCGTGTCACCCGCATGCGGAACCACCAAACCCTTCACCTTGTCAGTGTCCATGCCGGTGACCGTGTCCTGGACTCTGTGGAAACCAAAACCACTGTTAAACGCGCTCCTCCCTTTCTTAAGCAGCTTAACCTCGACAAGCATCTTTCGGATCAGATCAGGCGAGACACTAGCAGGGACAATCTTCAAAACCACTTCAACCGCTTCCGGGTGCAGGTGACGTTCACGCTTGTAAGCTGCGTTCTCCGGGTGCTGCCAATCCAGGGTGAGTGACTTGTTCTTCCCAATGTCATGCTCGATAGACCGCATCCAGACGAATTCGGCATCACGAGCATGCTTGAAAGTCACTTGCAGCTCGCTGTATCTCTTCTTGGACAACCACGCAACCGGGAGGACTTGGTACTGCGTCGTCTTAAGCACATCCGCGGATAACGAGGTTTTCCAGAAATCAAGGTGAGCAATGACCGTAGCCTTGGTCTTGGGAGTTTCACTCAGAAAATCGACTGGGATTAGTAGAGTAATCGGGAAACAAACTTCTGCAGAAAGCAAGCTGACTGCAACTGGGTCAAACTCATCGTCTGAGTCGCTGTCCCACCACTCATCAACCAACTCCTCCGTACCCCCTTCCTGCTTCTCCGCCTCAGGAGCCTCTGGCGGAGCCGGAGCGTGGGATCTGGATGATGACGGAACCAGTTGAGGCTGAGGAGGGTGAGGATCATCTTTTTTTCCGTCCGCCTGGTTGTCCTTCAGCCCGTTGTCCTTGAGTGCAGAAAGGCGATCAGACAACGTCCCGCGGGTCGCATCATCCAGCGTCGTCCTTTGGAGCACCAGCGGGGAAGCAGAGGCGGAGACCAGCGGACTCCTAGTCAACGGGGTGTTCTCCGCGGTAGACTGGGGAGAGATTCCATCAGTGACATCGTCAGGGATTGCTGTCTTCCCTCCTTGCTTAACATTAGGCTTACGACCTCTTCCGTTGGCCATCGTGCGATGATGAAAGCTTGTTGACAGGCGATGAAAGCCTGATACCAGACAGCTTCTGAGCACATTGAGAGCACTGCTGTCATTGCGTCGCATGTTATAGTCCGTGGGGAACATAGCTTCTGAGCCATTGTTGTTGGAATATTCCGAAATCGGAGTGGATAAGCTGCAATCTGGGGGGTCTGGGTCTCGCAGCCAATCCTGTGCGAGAAAGAGCTTCCTAGGTAGCCATGGTAAAAACGTTGTCAGGCCCTTGATGTTAGGTCCGAGAATCCCTGGAACCAGATAAGAGGTACAAATGTTCCATGTATGAACACTTAGAGAGTATCCTCTTAAAGCTCTGATTAATGCGGATCGATCCTTCGTGGGGCATTCGAGGAGAGAGGTTTTCATTGGCTCGCTTCGGAGCACAGCCAGACAAATCCAGACGAATCAGCGTTTCGTTCAACAGCGAGAAGTCTGTCGAAACATATATGAAGGGTAACATGCCTCGCCTGACCAGTCGCGAACGGATATTCCCGGGGCTGAGGTTTTCGCCCTTACGACACGGTTTGATGAATTCTTTTAGGTTCTGAAATTCAGGACCAGAACAAACCGACGTAGGAGGTAAAGAGAGAGTTCTTGCAGCCGGTGCTAGGCACCTGCACTGCTGCGAGCACCTCCTGACTTACTTACATGCTAGTTGTTGATCATAGAACAGCATCCTGGTTCTACTCTCTCAGTTCCACCGTGCTGTCAAGCGCGGCTCGCGAGTGAAAGGATGTTCGGCGTTTATAGCTCCATCTAGTGCTTTCATCAACTCAAGGCGCGGCTTTGTTTCTCGCTCCTTCCACATCAGCAAAGTTTCCACATCAGCAAGCTAGTACGATAAGCTGATCCACGGCGTACGATCCGCGTCTGCCTGCACGTCACCTGCGCTTCTTCACCATGAACTGACTTGACTGCAAGCGAGACTGTCGCTGGAACTGAGACGGTCCTATATTTGAGTCGACTCAAAAAACAAGCCAGCCGTGCCACTGTTCCAACCAGCTGGGTTCATCCCCCCTCAAATGCTCCACGCGCCTCCCTTTTACTCCACCCAAAAGCGCTCCTGCAACGACCACGCGCTCGCCAATCAAGGCCGTTTTCTCCATGTTTTTTAATCCATCAGAGAATAGACCTCCTGATTACCTGTCAGGGTTTCTTTCTCTAAGTTCCTGTTCCATCACCCTTCTTGTTATTGAAGCGCCTCAAAACCCCCCCTCGTGTTCTCCCGTGCAAGCCCCTTTCTCCATTCTTTCTAATCTTCTTCACTTCACCACCACTTCCTGCCATGGCGTCTCTTGCCAGAAGGCGATGCCTCGCCTCGTTACTCCACGTCACAGGTGACTTGTGAGTCGACTCAAAAGGCACCTCTTCCCAGCTATCACCACCATCCCCCGCCATGGCCTCTCTTGCCAGGAGGAAATGTCTCGCGTCGCTCCTCCGTGCCACAGAAACCGCAGCTGTAGCTTTCAAGCTTCCCATTGGACCTCCCCAAGACCGGTTCCTACCCGTTATGAGCAGCTCCGTTAACCCTCTTTTCTTTGAGGCGCCTCGGAATCTTCCCAGCGGCTGTGTTTCTTCCACGATTGAACGCCTCGCAGCGCCGCTATCAGGGAACGCTGCATGCTTAATCAACCTGTCGTCTCGTGCCAACTATGCTGCGTTGAGCGTTACTGGGCCTCTGCATGCCAGGGTGCTTCATGCCTCTGCGTCAGCAGCAGCAGTAGGTGCGAGCCCAAGCAGTGACCCTGCTACGGGCAACGCGGATGTGAAGGGGCTTCAGCCGTCTCCACCACGTGCCTCTAGTGACCATGCAGGCGAGGGGGGGCGGTCCAAGCTGGTGGAGGCATTTCAGATCCAAGTGAGTGGCTGGCAGATGTGCATGAGAGTGTGCTCAAATAGAAGCGAGTGGCAGGCAGATGTGCGTGACACTCTTCTTAGACTCAACTCACATGACCATGCAGGCGAGGGGGGGCGGTCAAAGCTGGTGGAGGCATTTCAGATTCAAGTGAGTGGCTGGCAGATGTGCATGAGAGTGTGCTCAAACACAAGCGAGTGGTAGACAGATGTGCGTGGCACTCTTCTTAGACTCAACTCACATGACCATGCAGGCGAGGGGGGGCGGTCAAAGCTGGTGGAGGCGTTTCAGATTCAAGTGAGTGGCTGGCAGATGTGCATGAGAGTGTGCTCAAACACAAGCGAGTGGCAGGCAGATGTGCGTGGCACTCTTCTTAGACTCAACTCACATGAGCATGCAGGCGAGGGGGGCCGGTCAAAGCTGGTGGAGGCATTTCAGATCCAAGTGAGTGGCTGGCTGCTTCAGACCCAACCCAAGTGGCTGGCATTTCATGCACGGCTTCATTGTGGCGCTGCCTAAGTCGGAGCTGAGCTTCAAGTTTGCAAGTTTGCAAACTCCTCAACTTCAAGTTTCAAAACTTGACCCGCGCGGCTTGCCACTTGGGACTCGGGCTTGGAGACTCGGCCTTAGCACTTGAAACATCTCAGAACATCCATCGCTTTCATTCTTGCCCTCTCACCTCTCCCACTTCTGGCCCCCCCTCCCTCCAACCCCCCACCCAGGCAGCATCAGACCCCATGTGTGGATTCATCGTGGCTCTACGCAAGTCCGAACTAAACCTTGTGACTGGCCTCGCATTTTGAGACGTCTCAAACGCCACTCTCCATTCGTGCCCTCTCCTTTCCCGCATCTCCCCTGGCCCCCCCAACCTCCAACCCCCCACCCAGGCGGCATCAGATCCCATACGAGGCTTCATGGTGGCACTGCGCAAGTCGGAGCTCGGTTTTGAGACTGGCCTTGCACTCAGGGATCTGCGGGTGGTCATCTCTGCCCTGCAGAACCAGGTGAGGGGATGAAGCGAGTGAGGTGCCAAACCTGGTGAGCGGATGGAGCTGCAGTGATCAGGTGTTTGGAAAGAACGACCGGCCTGCCGCTCAGGGAGCTGCGGGTGGTCATCTCCGCCCTGCAGAACCAGGTGCGGCTGTGAAGCAGGTGAGGCTGTGAACCAGGTGAGGTGCAGAACCAGGTGAGGTGCAGAACCAGGTGAGGCTGTGAAGCAGGTGAGGTGATGGAGCTACACTTATCAGGTCTTTGAAAAAAGAATGCTCGGTCTCGCACTCAGGGACCTGCGGGTGGTCATCTCCGCCCTGCAGAGCAGAACCAGGTGAGGTGCAGAACCAGACCAATCTCAGTGCCAAACCACCATTTCTGTCTTCTCTTTTTACTCCTTAACACTCCCAACTCCCTCCATTCCCCATCCGCAGATCCCCACCATTCTCATCCGTCCACGGGCGATTGTGGTGAGTCTGGCGCACGTGAGAGCAGTCATAACAGCCAACCGCGCATACATCCTCAACACCCCCTCCTCTTCTCTCTTCTCTCTTCCCTATGCTCTCTCCGCCCACCCTCCCACACTTTCCTCCCCCTTCCCCCACCCAACCCGTTCATTGAACCCCAGATCCCCACAATTCTCATCCGCCCGCGGGCCATAGTGGTGAGCCTAGCGCACGTGAGGGCAGTCATCACAGCCAACCGCGCATACATCCTCAACACCTCCTCCCCCCGCGTGAGACAGCGCCTCATCCCCACCCTCCTGCGCCGCCTCTCCGCCTCCCATGCTGCCGCGGCTGCTGGTGGCGGCAACGGCGGCGGTGGTGGTGGTGGTGGTGGTGGGGATGGTGGGTGTGATGTTTGCTCCCCCCCTTCGCCCTCCGCCTCAGCTTCGTTTTCAGGGTCGGATTCGTTTTTCTCGGGCGCTGTGTCGGTGTTTTCTGACTGCGGGGGTGAGCCTCAAGGGAGAGAGGTGCGTGGATTGGAGGGAGGAGGAGAGCGAGGGGGCAGAGAGCAGAAGCCGTTGGGGCGGGGGCAGCAGGAGAAGCAGGAGAAGCAGCAAGGGCAACAGCAGGAGCTGGGGCAGGGTCAGGATCAGGGACAGGGGCAGGGGCAGGGGCAGGCGCAAGAGCAGTGGGTTTCTGAGGCGTGGGGTGGTGGGGAAAGCAGGTGTAGGGAGAGTGGGAGAGAGGTGAGGGGAGTGTGTGGGAGAGGAGAGGATGAGTATGAAGCGAGGGGCCATGTAGAGAGAAGGGAGGAGGTTTTCCTAGAGGAGGGTAGGGAGGGTAGGAGAGGAGATGGGTGTGATGAGATGAGGGATGATAGACGGGATGATGGGGGGGATGGTGGGAGGGATGGTGGGAGAGAGGAGGAGTGGGGACAGGGGTGGCAGGAGGAGGTATCAGAGAGAAGGAGGGAGGAGTGGAGGGCGAGGAGGCAGCGAGAGGAGGAGAGGCGGAGGAACAAACGTTGGCTGGAAGATTTGGAGAAGGAAAGCAAGGGAAGGTTCGGTGAAGCTTCGAATGGAGAGGAGGAGGAGGGGGAAGGGGGGGGGCGGAAGCACGGGGATGGGCATTTGATAGGGAGTGATGGGCAGTGGGAGCGATATGGTGAGGTGCTTCTGCTGGAATTGACTTCAAAGGATGGCGTGCCTTTAAAGCCCGGTCAGCATGGCCAATCAGATCAGCCAGGCCCCTCCGAATCCGAAAAGCCAGACCAGTCCGGTCAGAAGACACATAGGGGGGTGATGGTGCGAAGTGGGGATGAAGGAAAAGGGGTGAGGAGAGAGCAGGCGAAAGGGAAGGGAGGGGATGAGGGGGATTGGTTGGAGAGCGAAGAGGCGTTTGGGAGCGGTGGAGAGGCGAGTGGAAGGGGTGCTGGAGAAAGTAGGATGGACGGGAGTGGAAAGGACACCGGCACCAGTAGCAGCAGTACTGCAAGCAGCAATAGCAGCAGAAGCAGCAGCACCACCACCAAAACAAACGACACGAACAACAGTAAACACCCGTCCCCCAGCACAGCGGCCTTATCCATCCCCAGAGTGGCCCCCACACCGTTCGAATTCCAGGTCCTAGAAGCCCTCTTAGACGAGGTGGGGGTGACTCTGAAGGTCAAGTACGCGTCCATATTCCCGGGCGTGTACCAGGGCCTGAGGGCGTTTGCCGGGGGGCGAGTGCCGTATGAGCGAGCCATGGCGGAGCAAGAGGCGTTCCTGAGGGCCAAGAACGAGCTGCTGAGGCTGGAGAGGAGCGCGAATCAAATCTGCAACGCCGTTCGTGAAGTGCTGTCGAATGATGAGGTGAGGAATTCCGAGTCCTAGAAGCCCTATTGGACGAGGTGGGAGGTGGGAGGTGGGAGGTGGGAGGTGGGAGGTGGGAGGTGGGAGGTGGGAGGTTGGAGTGACTCTGAAGGTCAAGTACGCGTCCATATTCCCGGGCGTGTACCAGGGCCTGAGGGCGTTCGCCGGGGGGCGAGTGCCGTATGAGCGAGCCATGGCGGAGCAAGAGGCGTTTCTGAGAGCTAAAAATGAGCTGCTGAGGCTGGAGAGGAGCGCGAACCAGATCTGCAATGCCGTTCGCGAAATTCAGATCTGCAATGCCTCATAGTCAAATTATGAGGTACGAACAATGGGTGAGGAGGGGATGGGCGCCTTAAGACGGGTTTCTGCGGGCGAAGAACGAGCTGCTAAGGCTGGAAAGGAGCGCACATCAAATCTGCAATGCTGTTCGTAGTTCTGTCAAACGATGAGGTAAGCACAAGAGGGGGGGGAAGTGGGTGGTGCCTCTAAAGGCGTTCCTAACTCCTGAGGGCGAAGGAGCTTCTGCAGCTGGAGATGAGCGCGAATCAAATCTGCAATGCCGTGCGTGAAGTGCTGTCCAACGATGAGGTGAGCACAAGGGGGAGGGAGGGGGTGAGGGGAGGGGTTGGGTGCTGTGAAAGTAGTCATCCCCGAGGGCCAGGAACGAGCTGGTGGTTGGAAGATCTCCTGAGGCGCGTGGAGGAGGTGGTGGTGGAGGGGAGGCGGCTTACCTGCTCCTCCCTTGCACGTTCCGTTTCTTCCCTTCCCCTTCCCTTTACCTCAGGACATGGCAGAGATGTACCTGTCAAGGAAGGCCTCTCTTCCCCCCGGGGAAGCCAGAGGAGGAGGTGGTGGGTTTGGGGGGGAGTCGCCTGATAGGTATGTCTCAATCCTGTCCGTTCACCTCCCTTCCACAACAGGACATGGCAGAGATGTACCTGTCGAGAAAGGCCTCTCTTCCCCCCGGGACCACCAATAGTGCGGAGCACAGCGAGGTGGAGGAGCTGTTAGAGGATCATCTGAGGCGCATGGAGGAGGTGGTGGTGGAGGGAGGGGCGGCTGTTGACATGTGTGTCTTCTTCCTGTCCTTTCCTCTTCTTTACCACAGGACATGGCAGAGATGTACCTGTCTAGGAAATCCGCGCTCCCCCCAGGCACCACCAACAGTGCGGAGCACAGTGAGGTGGAGGAGCTGCTGGAAGATCATCTGAGGCGCATGGAGGAGGTGGTGGGGGAGGCGGAGCAGCTGCTTTCCATGTCCGATGCCACGTCAGAGTACCTTCGAACCGCGCTGGACAGGTGGGTGTGTGGTGATGGGGGATTGAGAGTGGTGTTGAGGAGAGATAGAGGAAGAGGCGGAGCAGCTGCTGTCCATGTCCGATGCCACTTCGGAGTACCTCCGAACTGCGCTGGACAGGTGGATTTATGATAATAGTGGAGTGGGTGGCGATAGGGGAGTGAGAGTGGCATGGGTGGCACTGATAGCGGAACAGGCAGAGCAGCTGCTGTCCATGTCCGATGCCACGTCGGAGTATCACAGGACAGCACATTTTTGTTGTTGTTGATTTCCTAAGAGAGGTCCTTTCTTCCCCTGAGTCATGCAGTGCGCGCAATCAGCTGATCGAGCTCGACGTGCTCGTCAACATGGCGACGTGCTCACTGGCGGTGGTGGGTCCCATCAGTGTGTGATGAGACAACTTCTGAGGAACCTCATAACTTGCTGTTGTTTCTCCTGAATTGGCTCCTTTCTTCCCTCGCTCCATGCAGTGCGCGCAATCAGCTGATCGAGCTCGACGTGCTTGTCAACATGGCAACATGCTCACTTGCTGTGGGAGGCTCCATTGCTGCTGTCTTCGGTGAGCCGTTGTGTGTGTTGAGGTGTGTGCCTTAGCTGATGTCCTTCGCCATGTTGAATGTGTTCATGTATGCGTGTGCATGGGTTGAGGGGAGTTTCATTCACAAGCTCAAGTCTACATGCTTTATGGTAGGAAATTCCATTCCTGCCCTCGTTGTTAAGGCGTGCCGGCATTGTTTGTAGAAACTCCATGATCTGGTGCGAGTCTTTTCCTGTTGTTCCTACCACTCCATGATCGATTGCAGGCATGAATCTGGTATCGTCCTTTGAAGATAGCACATTAGCATTTCCCGTTGCAGCAGCTAGTGTTGCAACATTGTCCGCAGTTGTATTTCTGGCGCTAAGGACATACGCCAGACGGCGAGGTATTATGTAATTAGCTGTTTATATCTTCAAGAATAACGTATCAAGTGCGAAGTTGCGCTTGAAGTGTAGGCTTACCTTCACACAAGCCTGGGAAGTTCAGCGAGGACCATAGCGGTGTCTACGTGTATTGAAGACGCCTCTTCGACCAGCCGTGGGGCAGATCTTACAGGTTGGGGAAGGCTGGCTTGGCCTTCCTTGCGTCAGTGTGTGGTGTATCCGCCGCGGCATTGCCTGGTGGTCTGGAACGCAGCCTGCGGGCTGCTGCTCACGCAAGGAGATAACGAAAGAGCTGAGGACATGTTTGATTGGCACCATTGTACTTAGAAGTTTCAAAATGGGGAGCGTGAGACTGTAACATTTCAGGCTTGCTATGCGGTGCACAATTGCCGTTTCTGGCTTGCAATGCGGTTTTCAAGAGATACGTTTTCAAATCGGAAGTTTGCCAAGTTTAAAACAAGCCCTAATATTACCGACGCGTGTTTTCGGCAGCGGCCGTGCCAGCAGCGCGTGGAGTGTGGACGGAAAACTTCCCAAGTTCCAACCCCAGCCACGAAGCTCTCGACATTATCGAGGAATTTGCCAGGCGAGCACAAGAGAGAAATGTGGACAGCAAGGAGAGAAAAGTCATTTCGGTCCGCTTCGGTTTGCTGTTATCAAAATGGGTTTGGCTGTTCTAGGCTGGTTTGGCCTGATCTATTCGGCAATCTCGAGGCAATTCATGCATGATCAGAGTCCGACGTAAGCCCGCTTCATGCACACAGTCACGCATTTCAGCAACCACAAATCGCCAGCAACCACATTTGCAATTCGCCTTGAGAGTTTTCTGCAAGCCGAGCTCTTAGCCATCCAGCGAGCTCTACCTTACGCCTCGACGCCTAATCAATTTAGGCGGTTTCTCGTAGGCAATAGCTGTCTTTCCCATTTTAGTTTCCAAGGGTTTCTGGCATTGAGAAGCGTTTTGTGCGGCCTCAGTCTCTCCCTTGCAGTCAACTTTTTCCCTGCTGTCTAAAAATGTCTCTCTCCACGTCTCACGCAGTTTCGTCCTCCAGGCTTCCCAGCTTGCCATCGCTTCAGCCATTTTGCTCATCTGTTAAGTCCTCCTCTTCTGCCTGCTTCCGAAAAAGCATTGTTGCCACCCCGTTACACAACGGATGCGTCCAGAAGCTCTCGTCAGCAGCGGGTAAATGCAGCCATGGGAAAAGCAGCGTTAGCAGGCAGCGGCGACGGGTGGGAGGGAAAGGTGTGGTCGCAGCCAGTCCTCCTACGGAGGAGGTGGAGGTGCAGACCGAGCCGTTGACCAAGGAAGACCTGGTCAACTACCTGCGATCCGGCTGCAAGCCCAAGGACAAGTGGAGGTACGCAGCTATGGAGGGAGCGAATTAATGCACAGGATGTCTGAAAATTTCGACGTTTTTCAGGGTTTTAGGTTTTCTAGGTTCCTCATAATCTACTGCGGAAGACCAGTCAATATGCTTCGATGATATCATCCTTATTCCAACTTTTGAGCGTCGCATGAAATTTATCCTACCTCAACGTGTCGCTCGCCTCTTTTCTACTCGAGCCAGGATCGGCACGGAGCACGAGAAGTTCGGGTTCGACCAGAAGACGTTGCAGCCAATGACGTACGAGCAGATCGCGACGCTGCTGGAGCACATTGCGGATCGGTTCTCGTGGGACAAGATTATGGAGGGCGACCGAATCATCGGCCTGCGATCGGTACGCGTTGCACTACACTGTAGTGTCGTTGAATGCTAGACTAAGAGTTCCACAACTACTTATTCCCGGAAACAAAATCATGAAGGGCGACAGGATCGTGCGCCTGCGACCGGTACGCGGTAACGCTGTGTAGTGTCGTCAAATGCCGACTTGTGATGGTTATTGAAAGTTCACAGGGCACAAGGCCATGGAGGGCGATTTGATCGTTGGCTTGCGAACGGTGAGTGGTGCAGAATGTCAATGCTGGTCTACAGAAAGAATTTTGAACGAATGACCAAAATCACGAACCGGAATCTGAGGTTTATTTTGAGACGTGACAACAGCAACATTCGCATGCGCTCGGTGCGTGTGCGCTAGATACAGATACGTACACGCACTGACTCCGATCGAGATGGATGTTCTAACTCGCTTCATTGCCACGGATCAGCGAAGGAGAGAGGAGTTTTTTTATATCCAATATTGAAATGCGTTAGCTCAAACCGAGGTCCCGCAGTGCGGATGGAAGGAAGGAAGCCTTTTCTTCAGGGAGGTTTGTCTCGTATATTTTCTCCCCCTCTCCCTCTCCTCTATGCCCTCTCTGTTCCTACGCCGCACTATTCTTGTTGCAATCTGTTGTTTCTGTATTCCAATCTCCCCTACTCCCCAACCACTCGTGCACACCCATGCGCACCAACGTACACCCATGCACACCCACGCATACCCATGCACACCCACGCATACCCAAGAGCAACCATGCACACCCAATCTCGCCTATTCACACCCATGCGTTCCCTGAATCCCGCCGCCCTTTGCAGAACGGGCAGAGTGTGACGCTGGAGCCCGGAGGTCAGTTCGAGCTGAGTGGCGCGCCCCTGGAGACGGTGCACCAGACGTGCGCCGAGGTCAACGGTCACCTCTACCAGGTATACCCGTTATTGCATCCTACCTTACTGGGTATAGGGTCTTATTCCAGTCAGTTCCACAGAGAGGTCAATTCGAGCTGAGTGGCGCGCCCCTGAATTCAGTGCACCAGACGTGCCCACAACAGTCACCTATACTAGGTATCCACGGGCCTTATTGCAGTGACTTGGGCGGGTATAGCCATGATACGATACAATCACTATTACCAGGAACTTTTAGCTAAGAGCCACAGCCTTGACGGCACTGCAGAGACGTGCGGTGAAGTCAACGCGCATCTCTGCCTGCCACGTGTGTACCCGTTATTGCAATGTACCTTACAAGGCACAGGGTCACATCACATCCAAGTACTGGCTGAGGAGAATGTGTGATTCTTTTGTTGCTGACCTGAATTGTTCTGCTTGAATGTCTGGCTGTGTGGGTGGTGGGTGATGGTGGGAGATGGTGGGTGATGGTGGGAGATGGTGGGTGATTGTGGGTGATGATGGGTGATTGTGGGTGATGGTGGGTGGTTGTGGTTGGTGGTGGGTGGTGCTCGATTGTTGGTGCGTGGCAGGTGAAGTCGATCTGCGAGGAGGAGCACGTGGGGTTCCTGGGCCTGGGCTTTAACCCCAAGCACACTCTGGAGGAGATTCCCATCATGCCCAAGGTGAGCTACATGCGTAGTGTACAGAGCCAGCTCAGAACACACCTGGAGTCGTTTTGCGAGAGGTCTTAAGAGCACGTGGGGTTCCTGGGCCTGGGCTTTAACCCCAAGCACACTCTGGAGGAGATCCCCATCATGCCCAAGGTGAGGCGCATGTGTTATGGTTAGAGTCGAAACAAACACACTTCGAAGTCCATCTGCGAATAGGAGCACGTCACGTGGGGTTCTTGGGGTTGGGTTGGGCTTCAACCCCAAACACACGCTTAAGGCACTCTTCGTCATGGGGAGGGAGGGCGCATGTGTAATGTTTAGAGTCGACTCAGAACACACGTGAAGTCGTTTTTTGTGGAGGAGCATGTGGAATTCCTGGTCCCGTGGTTCATTCATTCAATCAACCCCAAGCACTTTCTGCAAATCCCTATTATACCCATTAAGCCCAAGGCTTGAGATGCTGCCTTCACTCGCTCGCAATGTTCCGTGCCCCCTTCCCTTCCCCACTCCCACCCCCCTCAAAGCCTCTATGGTGGGCTTGTGAGGGCTGGAGTTCCCCCCTGAGAACCCCTTCCGTTTCCCCCCCACTTCCCCCCCTTCCCCCACTCCCTCTTTTCGCGCCTGTTCTCCTTCTCATCTGTCACCCCCTCTCCGCTCCCCCTTCCACCCCCTTCCCTCTCAGGGTCGCTACACCATAATGCGCAACTACATGCCCAAGGTGGGCTCGCGGGGGCTTGAGATGATGTTCCCACTCCTGTATCTCCCCACCCTCCAGCTACCCGTCTTCACTGTTCCATCCCACTCCACTATCACTCCTGCCTCTCCCGCCCTCATGCAGGGTCGCTACACCATAATGCGCAACGGGGCTGGAGATGATGCTCTCACTCTCTTATTCCCCCATTCCTTCCTTCCTGCTTCCTGTCGTCACTGTCCCCCCCCCCCCCCCCTGCACCCCCAGGGTCGCTACACCATAATGCGCAACTACATGCCCAAGGTGGGCTCGCTGGGGCTGGAGATGATGTTCCGCACGTGCACCGTGCAGGTCAACCTTGACTTTGACTCCGAGCAGGACATGGTCGACAAGTTCCAAGTCGGCTTGGCACTGCAGCCGGTGAGCCTCAGGGTTGTGCCCCACCTCCCGCTACAGTCGCTACTTGCGCACGTGCACGGTGCAGGTCAACCTCGACTTCGACTCCGAGCAGGACATGGTCGACAAGTTTCGCGTCGGCCTCGCGCTACAGCCGGTGAGTGCCCCCCTGCTGCTACAGCCGGTGGGGCTGGACGTGCACGGTGCAGGTCAACCTCGACTTTGACTTCGAGCAGGACATGGTCGACAAGTTCCAAGTCGACCTCGCGCTACAGCCGGTGAGTGCTGATTTCTACAATCTGCACTCCTCAGTCACAAGACATGTTGAACAAATTCAAAGTCGGTTTAGGTTTGAACCTTTCCCCTTCCCCCCGTTCGCGGCCTTGCCATGTTCGTCATGCTACAGCCGGTGAGTGCTGATTTCTACGTTCGCCATCCGTTTCGATTGAAAGGGTGTCAGGTTCACTTTTGAGAGGCACCTCTCTCACTCTTTGCTGAAGCACCGTCCTCCATCTCTGCTTCCACTCCCCCATCTACCTACCCCGTCGATCGACCCCCCTCCCCAAACCTTTCTCACTTATATTGCCAGGTGGCCACGGCCTTGTTTGCCAACTCGCCGTTCCTGGAGGGCAAGCCCAATGGGTACCTCAGCTACCGCAGGTGCGGTGCGCTGGTGCAGAGGGGTGGGTGGAGGGGTTAGTAATCACCTGTTTTCAGTCCATATTGCCAGGTGGCCACAGCCTTGTTTGCCAACTCGCCATTCCTGGAGGGCAAGCCCAATGGGTACCTCAGCTACCGCAGGTGCGCTTGTGGAGGGGTGGGGGTGGGTTGAGAGGCAGTCTTTTGTAGCTCAGGTTGGATAGATTTTGAGGTATAGCAGCTGTTGGTATCTGAAGGTTATAATGGACCAGCTTTCTGAGGCACTCACGGCACTGACTGGAAGTGTGCATGGAGGGCTCATGTGGCGGCACAGCAGCACAGTGACTAGCACCTGCCCATGCCTTTAACTCTCATTGCCATCACAGGCCAATCCGTTCAATCTTCTCTAATCATGCCCGTGCTTCCTTGTGCACTGCATGGTCAGAGCATAGACTCCTTTCGCCTGCTGCCCCTCGTTGCCCTGCCCTCCCCTTTTTCTTGGTCCCCTTGCCTCATCGACTCAAAGTTGAGATTTGAGGCGCCTGAATGTTCGTCCTTTTCTCTGTCTCTTCCCTTGTCTTGTCGTTTTGTCTGGCAGTCGAGTGTGGGAGGACACTGACAATGACCGCACAGGGGACCTGCCGTTTGTCTTCGAAGAAGGCTTTGGGTGAGTCTCACCCTTTTTATTGGTTCACTTCACTCTGCTGTTTTGCGTGAGATTTTCTCTTATAACCATGCCCATGCCGGCGGTTAATGCTGATATTGCAGTGGAAGGATCTTTTATTGACACCTACTCTATATTCCCGTTGAAACATTGGATGTACTTGTGACTGATCTTTTGTCATTTGTGTGCATGTGCGTCTGTGCGTGGGCATGTGGGGGTGCATCTGCATGCATGTGTGCGTTTGTGTGTGTGTGTGTGTGTGTGTGTGTGTGTGTGTGTGTGTGTGTGTGTGTGTGTGCGTGTGAATGTGCTGATTGAGTGTGTTCTTCATGAACCAGCTTTGAGCGCTATGTGGAGTATGCCCTGGATGTGCCCATGTACTTTGCATACCGCGACCAGCGATACATCGATGCCACAGGACTTTCCTTCCGAGTAAGTACATTCAACAGATCACATGTATATTCAACAGATCACATGCATATTCAACATATCAGATGCATATTCAACATATCAGATGCATATTCAACATATCAGATGCATATTCAACATATCAGATGCATATTCAACATATCAGATGCATATTCAACATATCAGATGCATATTCAACATATCAGATGCATATTCAACATATCAGATGCATATTCAACATATCAGATGCATATTCAACATATCAGATGCATATTCAACATATCAGATGCATATTCAACATATCAGATGCATATTCAACATATCAGATGCATATCTAATGTCCCTTCGTCCCGCCCCTTGCCTTCTCGGCCCGTGTTTTTGGGACTTTAATGGCAAACTGGCAATGACGACAGTGCATATCCCACATTGAGTTAGCCTCTTCTTTCCCCGCTTCGCCCTCTTTCCTCCGCCCACCTTCTCCCCCTACACTCATGCTTTCAGGACTTTTTGAACGGCAAGCTCCCAGTGCTGCCGGGTGCCTACCCCACTCTCAACGACTGGGAGAACCATCTCACCACCATCTTCCCTGAGGTATGGTGTTTTGAGATGCCTGAGAAAAGCCAACGCTCTGTGTGCTGCCGTGCCGGGTGCCTACCCCACTCTCAACGACTGGGAGAACCACCTCACCACCATATTCCCCGAGGTATGGTGTTTCCTTGAAAGCATTTGGGATATTTTCGATGCGCAGTGGTTGCATGTGAAATCCTCATGTGTTACATCGTCGTGTGTATAATACTCCTGTGTGAATTTCTTTTTGTGAAGTCCTCATGTCATCACACACATGTACATGCTCCCTTTGTTGCCCCACCAACAACCCCTTGCCCTGCCACCAACCCCACAACCCACCCACCCCATCAGGTGCGGCTGAAGCGGTATCTCGAGATGAGGGGCGCGGATGGCGGGTCGTGGAGGAGAATATGCGCCTTGCCCGCTTTTTGGGTGAGTGCATGCCACGTGCGAGCCACATGCAGCAAGCCTGGTGTATTTCGAGTTGATTCAAATCAAAGTTCACCTAGATGAGGGGCGCGGATGGCGGGTCGTGGAGGAGAATATGCGCGCTGCCCGCCTTTTGGGTGAGTGCATGCCACGTTACGCCAGGTCCTCTCTTCTTCTCTGCTCTGCCCTGTTTGTCTCTGTTGTGTGACAGAAATTTCTGTCCTCATCGATTTTTTCTCCCTTGTCTCCTCGCCTCAGGTGGGGTTGCTGTACGACCGACAGGCACTGGACGAGTGTAAGGCAATCATCTCTGACTGGACGGAGCTTGAGCGCTCCGCTCTGCGCACACATGTGAGTCCACACCGCACACATGTGAGTCCGCACCGCACACATGGGAGTCCACACCGCACACATGTGAGTCCACACACTTGTGAGTCCACACCGCACACATGTGAGTCCGCACACTTGTGAGTCCACACACTTGTGAGTCCGCACACATGTGAGTCCGCACCGCACACACTCGTGATGTGAGCCTCGTTGAGACTTGGCCCGCACGTCGAGACAAGTTGGTTTTGAAAATTCTTAAGAACCAACTCCGCCCTGCACACACATGTGAGTCTTCACTCCCTTGTGATGTGAGTCTCACCTCCTCTGGTCAACTTAACTCTCCCCCTCACCACCTCCTCCGTTTGCTTTCCCGCTCTCTCTGATGCCCTCAAAACCCCTGGTCTTTCTGACACCACACATTCCCAAGTCCCAACCCCTCCCTCCTTCCGCCTGTCTGCCCAGTCTTCTCCTTGCATGCATGACCCTCAAAGCGTCCATTATGTTTGCAGAGTTAATTGGCTGCCCTCCTCCCCCTCCTGCCTGCCCTCTTCCTTGCCATCCCTCCTTTCCCTCCCTCTTGATGCTCTTCAAAAGTTTCCATCTTTCTCCCGTCCTTGTCATCCCCCTTTCCCTCCCTTCCCCTCTGCTGTTAGCCCTTCCCTCCCCTCCCTCCTCCACTCCCTTAGCCTCCCCACCTGTCTGCCCTCAAGCCGCACCGCATATCAGGAGCTAAATTGGAGCTAAATATTCCCTTCCTCCCAACTTCGCGCTTTTGCCTGCTCTTCCCATCTGTTCTAATGTGCATTATTCAGGTGCCTCGCATGGCCCTCAAAACGCCCTTCAGGGAAGGGCTGCTGCAGCATCTGGCACAGGACCTGGTCAGAATCAGCAGGGTGAGTTGAAATCGAGTTGACGTTTTGAGTCGACTCAAAAGTCAACTCCCGGCAGGTGCCTCGCATGGCCCTCAAGACGCCCTTTAGGGAGGGGCTGCTGCAGACGTGGCACAGGACCTCGTTAGAATCAGCAGGGTGAGTTGGAATTAATCGGGCTTGTTATGAACAGGGTTATTTGACGAACTGGCAAATTCACCCAAGTTTTCCATTGCATGTTTGGCTGCATTGAAAACTATCTGACTGGATGTGTGGCTGTCGCCTGTTTCTGCATGTTCATTATTTCTGCTGATATTCTCTGTGTTTTTTCTTTTCTCTATATTTTCTTTCTTTCAGGAGGGCTTGCAAAGACGAGGATACAGGGAAGGCAACTTCCTCAAGGAGTTGGAGAACATCGCTGCTACAGGTACAGTATATGTTTTGTGGGTACAGGATAAGTTGTTCCTTATCCTGTCCATGCTGCACCACTTTGACCACCCATGCTCCCCTCTTGTATGCCTTGGGCATCTCTTGACTCGTGTCCTCCAATGTGACTCACACCCTCGTTGTTGAGGCACCTTTGAGCTCTCCCATTCATTGTGCTGGCCCATGCCGCCTATGCGTTCGCCAAATGCCACTTTCCGATTTGCCTGTGCATCACATTTCTCCTTGCAGGCGTGACTCCTGCAGAGCGCATGTTGGAGGCATACCATGGCAGGTGGGGGGAGAGCGTTGATCCTATCTACAAGGAGCTTATCTACTAGTTATGGATAGCTATTCGATTTTCGCAATGAATGCAACTCAACTTTCCATTCTTCTCTCAGAGCCCCAAGGGGGAAGGAGACCCTAGTGGTCTATTGTCGGAGAGAGCTAGCTAGCAGGATCAAGAATAGTTGATACCGTATAGATGGTGGATGTTGAGAGCCGTACCGTACGGTATCGTTACCTGAGAATATCAGAAACTAAAGGGAGTTCAGCTAACCAGAATGTTGCATGGCTGGTGGTGCATACGAGTTTCACGTGCACTCCACTTGGGTTTTGAAAGGTTGGTGAGCAAAAGCAGCAGGAGCAGGTTCAATGGTCGAGTACAGCCTGTCTGTAATGAGAATAAGCGGTACCCTAATGCTTTTGCTATATGCTGCATCATGGTTTCGAAGGTGTAGTGAGTCATGAGCTTGCTATTGGCGGCATCCCGTTTTTGGTATCAAATCACGAGGGCTGCTGTGATTGGCTTTCGCACCTAGCCTTGAATTTCATGTGGCCGTTTAGTTTCGGCGGAATTCCCAAGGCTGGACGGATGGACGAGGTGAACCGACCACTTCAAGGCATCAGCAGCAAAGCAAAGCAAACCAGCAACAGGTTGACTTTCACTTCGCTGATGTTCTTGTGCAGCAGCGCAGCACCACCCTTGACCCTACCAGAAAGCCTGTAAGCTTGACTTCACTTCGGCATTGTCAAATTTCTCGGACACCCGTGAGCACGTTCTACCCGGCGTGCAGCTTACAGCTCCGCTTCCCTCTGGTTGCCTTTTACAGCTCGCAGGCCTTCTTTCACTTACGCAATTGACTGTTTTCCACGTCTTTGAAGCGAGTCCGCAATGTCGTGGATTCGGTCGAATCTGGCCAAGGTGGGGACATTCGCGGGGTCCGTCGTGCAGAAGGCTGGCGATGCCGTCGAGCGAGGCGCCAAGATGGTGTACGAGCAGGCGGAGAGCGCTGTTGTAAGTTACACCTAAAAAAAAAACATATTTTTTTCCCTGCCAGAGGTGGAAATTCTCGTTAGATTGGGTCGGGCTGCAGAAGTAAAGGGAGGCTGTGGAGCGAGGAGGTAGGATGGTCTACGAGCAGGCTGAGAACACAATGGTGAGTTATCCAGTTTATTGGCTCCAGTTTATTAGCTAGGTTAGGGGGTGCAGAAGGCCGGCCGGGGATCCCATGGAGCGAGGCTCCAAGACAGTGTGAGAGCAGGTGGATAGCGCAATGATGAGTAACACCTTCTTCGCCAATTTTTTCATCATTTTGGGAGGTAAGAGTTCTTGCTAGGTTGGGGGTACGGAAGGCTCGGGATGCATTGGAGCGAGGCACCTAGATGGTGCACGAGCAGGCAGCAACGACGCGCAAGGAGCCTCTTTCTCCATTTCATTTCCTTTATTGGAGTCACATTTGAGAATTATCAAAAGTGGCTCCAGGCAGCAGCAGTGCGCAAGGAACTTCTTCATTCCTTGCATTTCCTCTTATCCCTCTCCCATCCCTCTCCCACCTCTCTCGCCCCTCCAGGTGGGTCGGCCGCACAACAGCTTCCGGCATGCAGTGCGGCGGATAGAGGAGGTAGCGTCGTTGGCACGAGGCAGCGAGCGCAAGGAGGCTCTGGCGCGCTGGCTAGCCGCGCTCTCAGACATACAGCAGGAGAACGACCGCCTTCAGGCGCACTTCCAGAGGCGCAAGAAGAGGCAGGAGAAAGGGGAGAAAGGCGGGAAGGGGGAGCGGAAGACGCAGGAGGAGAACCAGCAGGAGGAGGTGACGGCGGAGTCTGCTGCTAGTGCTGATGGTTCTGCTGCTACTGGGGCTGCTGGGGCGGCTGCTGAGGCTGGCGCCAGTGATGCTGGTGCTTCTGTGAGCTCAGGGCGAACGGAAGGAGTGGGAGCGGAGGGGGAAGTGGTTGATAGAGCTGGTGACGAAGGCAAGGATCGTGCCAGTGTTACAGAGGGTAACCAGGCCAAAGCGCATGGGGAAGCAGAAATTGTGGAGGCAGGATTGTCACAGATGCAGGCAGATGGAGCAGAGGGGAAGACAGAATCAGTAGCAGCAGAATCAGGCCGAGAATCCAAGGATGGCGTTGTGGGTGTTGGAGCAGAAGCGGAAGCAGAAGCAGGTAGCAAGTCAGCAGAAGCAGGTGATATTGCGGCAGCAGAAGAAGAAGCGGAGGAGGTGGCATCGATAGGAGATGGATCGTCGCAAGATGAGGCAGCACCGTCACTGACAAAGTCAGCATTGACTGGACGGGCTTCCATGGTGAGAAAAAAAACGCCCTGGGAGAAGTGCAGTGCACTGCAGTGCAGTGCGGTCTTGAGGTGCAGTGCAGTGCAGATATTTCTGAGAGTTCTTCCTGACTTGGGCAACAAAGTGTTCAACTTCAATCAAAGCACGTTATTCCTTCTCCCCTTGCCCCCCTTTCTTCCTCTCCCCCTCTCCTCCCCTCCCACACTTCCTCCCAGGTTCTTTTCTACGACCCTGACGCGGGCAACGAAGCACTCAACTTCAGGGACGTGTTTCTGCGCTCTAGTGCGCTGGAGCTCATAGTGGCGTCGATGGTGGTGGCTCCGGGGGATGAAGACGAGATGGCGCTGCTGAGAGGGCTGTTCGGGTGAGTACCTGGGAGGCTGGGAAGATTGTAAGGGAAGTGCTTGGGTTGTTTCGGGTGAGCATGGCGCTCTGGAGCTCATAGTGGCGTCCGTGGTGGTGGCGCCGGGGGACAAGGACGAGATGGCACTGCTGAGAGGGCTGTTTGGGTGAGAAACATGGGAGGGGGAGGGGGAATGAGAAGGAGCGGGAGGGAGGGGGCGTGCAAAAGTTTTTGGGTTGTTTCGGGTGAGCATGGCGCTCTCGAGCTCATAGTGGCGTCGATGGTGGTGGCGCCCGGGGGATGAGGACGAGGTGGCGCTGCTGAGAGGGCCTTTCGGGTGAGAACTTGTGTAGGAAAGGGAGGAATGAGGGAGGCGTTTCAACCCGCTCACTGCATGGGAATGGGGAATGAGGGAAGCCAGTCGTTGACACATTGCTTCACTGCATGCTCCACCTGCCCTTCAGTTTGCAAGCCAGTTTCATTAGTCACCCAGCCCTTGCTCTGCTGCCAATCCTGCCCCCGTGCACCCTTTATATTCCCCTTTAAACCTCTCCAAACCTCTCCGAATCTCTCCGAACCGCTCTGAACCTCTCTGAATCCCTCCACACATTCCCAGACTCCTCCTGGCGTTCTGGTCCACCCAGTGCAATGAGCTGCTCAGAGGCCCCATGCTCCTTCTGCTGCCAATTCTGTCTCTCCATACCATACCCCCATGCACCCTTTTGTATCCCTCTGTACCCCTCTCTACCCCTCTTCACCCCTCTGAACCCCTCTGCACCCTTCCACGCCTTCCAGCTTGTGTTTAAACCTCTCCACGACCCAGTGCGATGATCTGCTGGCAGCCCTGCAGTCACTCGGCTCCTCCCTCTCTGCCTACTCCGAACTCAAGGTGCGATGAGTTTCTCAACGAGTCTTTGAAGGGTGGGGAGAGGTGGGGTGAGAAAGGGTGGGGAAGGGTGTGCACGGGAAAAATGTTTGGCAGCAATTTATATACAGTCGTTTTAAAATTTCCTCCTTCCCTCCCTCCTCCTTCCCCGGATCCCGCCCCTCCCCCCTCACCGTCACTGCCACTGCCAGCTGTCGAGTGACGATTTGGCCACGATGGTGGCAGAAGCAGTCACAGGGCTGAAGGTCAACCCCGAAATTGAGAGGTGTGCAGTGCGGTGTGGTGGGATAGGGTGCGTTAAGTTGATGCTAGGAAGGAATGGTGGTATGAAGAAAAAATCACTGGGCTGAAGGCCAAACCTGAGAATGGAAGGTGTGCAATGTAGTGTGGTGGTGGGATAGGGGCAGCCTTGATAAAATTGTAAGAAGGAACGGTGGCTGGCCGAAGCAATCACAAAGAGGAAGGTCAGCTTCGGGATGTAAAGGTGTGCAGTGCGGTCTGAGGTATGCGCAGTGTGGTTTCGACTTTGGCAAGGGATGGTGGCAGTAGAAAAAGCACAGGGCTTGCGGCGAAGTTGAACTGGAGCCTACCATCAACTTAGTCGAATTGGAGCTGTGTTGTTGCAGCTGCTTCCCCTGCACCTGCAGCACACAATTACGTTGGAGTCATTTTTGAGAATTCTAAAAAATGTCTCTGCACCTGCAGCACACAACTACCCCATATGCACCAATAACCATGCAGTCTCCCATCTTATTTTTGAGACGTTTCATAACCCCACTCGAGCCAATTACCATGCTGAAGCCGCTTCTCTCAATAACCTCTCCCTTTCCATCAACCCTTCAGGGTTACCTCTGAGTCGGCTTATTGCAGTAAAGAGCTGTGGCTCATTGCAGGCGCTGCCTTATCATTTACCTGCTTTATCTTTCAGCCTCAATGCACCCTGCCTTATCCCTCCCCATGCACCTTCCCGAGGGTTGACCTGGAGTCGTGTTGCCTGCAGCAGCTCATAGCCGAGGCTGCCTCGGTTGCACAACCACTCTCTTGCCTCGCATTGAATCTGCTGCATTCCTCACCTTCAATACACCCTCACCTCCCTCCCTCCCAACTACCTCCCCTCCCCAGGGTTGATCTGGAGTCATGTCGCTTGCAGCAGCTCATAGCTGAGGCTGCCTCGGTTGCCGCCTCTGTGCCTGCAGCATACCAGCGCTCCGCCTCCTTCTCTGCTGCCCTTGACTTTGACGACCTTGCTGCTGATGCCACTGCTGCCGCTTCTGCTGATGCCGGTGCGTCTTCTGACATTGCCGATGGTGCTGCTGCCGGTGCTGCTGCCGGTGCTGCTGCGTCTGATGCTGCTGACGCTGCTGACGCTGCTGATGCAGCTGCTACCGGTGCTGCTGCTGCTACTGGCAGTGGTGATGGTGATGGTGGTGGTGCTGCTGATGGTGGTGGCACTGATAGCAACGGTCAGGCCTCGAGTGATGATGCTGCTGGTGGTGATGCTGCTTCCTCTTCCGAACCTGCTGCACCTGCCGAAGCTCATGGAGTTGCCGCCGAGCCTGCCACGACTGCCGAACCTACCAACACTCAATCAGAACCAGCAGCGAATACAGCAGCTAGCCCACCACCACACACAATAGCTAGCCCAACACCACACACTCGTGACGCGGTAACGCACGTGAACGAGGTGGTAACCGCACGCTCGCGCGACGCGCTTCGCCTGGGTCTTTGCCTCCTAGCCTTAGAAAAGAAGAAAGAGGCGCTGTTACAGCTGGGGGACACGCCGGGGGACAGGGCGCTGAAGGTGGAGCGGGTGAGCTGTCTGGCAGCGGAGTTGAGTGAGGGCATGGAGGGGCTGAGGAGGAAGGCTGAGGAGTGCCGCCAGCAGCGCCAGGAGGCTCTGGCGTACCGCAGCAGCAAGGCTCAGGAGGCCCGCGAGGCAGAGAAGGTGAGCACAAGGGGTTGTTTATTCTTCCTATTCCCCTCAATCTTTCCTCGAAACCCTGCTTCTTTTGGCTTTAGAGAGAGAGAGGAAGAGAGAAAAGCAGTCGCTGCTGCAGGTGAGGTCGCGGAGGCAGCCGAGTTGTGTGGTGTGTCGGTAGTTGTATCGTAGCACCCACGCTTGCCCTGCGTTTTTCTCCACACAGGGCACAAGAGGCCTGGGATGCCGAACCTGAGGCCAAGCAGATTCGAAGCGCAAGGAGGAAGGAAGGAACCCACCCTGTTTCCTTCCCGACTCCCATCTTCCTGCTTGCTCCCCGACCCCCGGCCCCACCACGCACACACACCAACACCAGGTACTTCTGGCGGAGGCCCAGCAGGTGCAGAAGCGAATGGAGGAGCTTGGAGAGGAGCTGTCTTATCCTGCTTCCTTCCCACTTCCCTGATCCTCCTACTAGTCCCCTCCTCCTGGACCTCCCCTCCACCTCTGCCTCCCTCTCACCCAGGTTCTTCTGGCAGAGGCGCAGCAGGTGTCGAAGCGAATGGAGGAGCTGAGGCAGGGTGGAGGCGGCCCTGCTTCCTTTCCTATTCTCGTTTTCCTACTTACTCCCCCGCCTCCATCACACACACCCCACCCCAGGTACTTCTCTCGGAGGCCCAGCAGGTACAGAAGCGCAAGGAGGAGCTGGAGGAGGAGCTGACCCTGTTTCCACTCATCTCATACCCCCCACTCCTCCCCCTTGCACGACACACACGACCGTTCGCACCAGGTACTCCTGGCGGAGGCCCAGCAGGTGCAGAAGAGAAAGGAGGCACAACACACACATTTTCATTGTCCTGCTTACTCCCCCCCCCAACTGCCCCCAACCCCCCACCACACAAAACACAGGTACTCCTGACGGAGGCACAGCAGGTGCAGAAGCGAAAGGAGGAGCTGGGACGGTGCATGCGGCTCTGCTTCTTCCCCCATTTTCATTGCCCTGCTTACTCCCCCCCGCACCCGCCCCCTACCCCCCACCACACACACCCCAGGTACTTCTCTCGGAGGCACAGCAGGTGCAGAAGCGCAAGGAGGAGCTGGAGGAGGAGCTGCGGTGTCACTGTTTCTTTCCCTGTTCCCATCTTCCTTCCTCCGTATCTTTTCCCTTGCACACCCACATACACAATAGGTACTCCTCTCGGAGGCACAGCAGGTGCAGAAGCGAAAGGAGGAGCTGGAGGAGGAGCTGCGGCGGGTGCAGGCGGCTCTGGACGGCGTGAATCGGCGGCTAGTGAAGCTGGAGGAGGAGAAGGACCTCTTCTCGCAGGCCAGCACTGGGATCGAGGCTCACCTCTCTTCCGAGGTGAGCGTAGATGCTCAGAATCAAAGCCCGAATAGGGATTTGTAGGCTTTGAGTTCCTCCGGAGTGGGTCAGTTACGCATGGACGAATAGTGAAGCTGGAGGAGGAGAAGGAGCTCTTCTCGCAGGCCAGCACTGGGATAGAAGCGCACCTCTCTACAGACTTGAGCACAAATGCTTAGCAGCGACAAACTTAAAGCCTGAGTAAAGAATGGTAGGTTGCGCTTCAAGTGCCCAGAGAATGGTCATTGGTAGCTCATGAATACGCGTCATATTTGCGGATCTGAACGCTCCTTGCCCTCCCATTCCCAACAGGAAGAATCCCTCACGCACTCCCTATTTGAACATGAGTAAGGCGCCAATGAGCAGGGTGGAAGCAGTTACTGCAGCAGCAGCCGTGGGTGTGAATTACCCAGCTCCCATATACATCAAACAACAGGAAGAATCGCCCGCGCACTCCCTGTTCGTACACGAGGAGGACGCCAACCAAGGCCCTGGTGGGGTGGAAGCAGTTTCTTCAGCAGTCAGTGCTCTTAATTGTGGAATCTTAATCTTAACTCCCCCTCAACAGGAAGAATCCCTCACGCTCTCCCTCTTTGAACATGAGGAGGACGCCAAGGCCCTGGCAGGGTGGAAGCAGTTTCTGCATGCCTGCCTGCCACTTACCAGCTCCAATTATCTCCACACCTTTGTCAAGCAGCAGGAAGAGTCACTTACACACTCTTTGAGCATGAGGAGGACAAAGGTGACTCTTCCTGTTTCTGCAGGGCCTTTGTTCCGGAACACGAGGAGGACGCCAAGGCGCTGGCGGGGTGGAAACGATTTCTGCAGCAGTCAACATTCCCAGTCACTCACTTGTACAACTTGGTCTTAACACTCTTTACCCTCCCCTCCTCAACAGGAGGAATCCCTCACACCCTCGCTGTCTGAGCATGAGGAGGACACCAAGGCGCTGGCGGGGTGGAAGCAGTTCCTGCAGCAGTTGTGGCAGCTGCAGCAGTCAATGTTCCTAGTCACTCACTTGTGAATCTTGTTTGTAACGCTCTATTCCCTCCCATCCCCAACAGGAGAGGAGTGAGCGCAAGAGCCGGTTCTGGGATATGGCTCAGGGGCACGTGCGGCTGTGCAAGATGCGTGCACTGCTGCATGCTGGTGTGTTTCTTTCAATCTTTGAGACTATAAGGAGCATTATAGAGGGTTGGAGCAGCAAGGTGTAAGTGGCTTTAGAGTTCACTCACAAGTCACCTCCGTGTGAAGAGTAGGAGCAGCAGGCGAGCATGGAAGGCAAGGAGCGGCAGATGAGGGAGGAGATGAGTGACCGCAAGAGCCGGTTCTGGGAAATGGCTCAGGGGCACGTGCGGCTGTGCAAGGTGCGTGCACTAAAAGTTGAAGACTTTCTTGGAAGACTTTCTTGGATAAAGAAGTGGTTTGACTTGAGTTGAGACCCCAAGCCAGGCGAGCTGTAACAAGTCCCTTGAAGGTTTCCTTCTCCAAAAAAGGTGCTGTTGCTGCCCACTAGGCATGCCTACTGCCCACTAGGCATGCCTACTGCCCACTCCAATGTACGAAGCTGTTCTTTCCTGGATCACTCTCATTCATTCATACTTCCGACCGCTCCTCCCTCCTTGCTCGTTCTGTCATATCATTGGCTGCGTTCTGTAGGCACGCCAGAGGGGGGGGAGGCGGTAAATAGGAACCTTCCCCCACCTTCGTTTTTTGGTTCGAAAGGGCGGTCAGCCCGGAAAATGGTTCCGAGCCTCCCATTTACCCTCCGAACCTAAACGAAGGTAAATGGCAACAGAACAGCCATTTACCCTGGAGGATATGAGGTCGTAGGAAGCCGCCCATTTCCCCTCCCCACCTTCCTGCGCTGGCAAATTTTGCCTCCTTCTCCCCGCCCTACGAAAGCTGCTTTTTCGGGGTGGTGCGATGGAGGTGGGGGGGAGGCGCTGGGATAGGGAACACCACACTGTTACCCTATAAAGCAAACAACCCTATCCTCGAATATCCCAAACAGGGACGCAGCAACACTAGCAGGTAAAAAAATCATCAAGTTTTGTGTCTTGCAGGTGGGTGTGCTGGGGGTCGAATTTCTTCCATCTGATACCCTTCTCTCAACTTCAACCCTCGTTCTGATTGGGCGAAGCTCTATCTACCCATGAAGTGTGCGTGCGAAATTGTTCTTGTCTTTTCGTCATTTACCTTCAGAACCTTCCACCCGAGAATCCGAAATTTCCCACTTTCGGTTGTAGCAGGGGGGGTTTGATATCGAAGGGGAAACTGCTTAGGAACCCTCGTCATTTACCTTCGCCCCCCCTCCTCCCTCCCTCGGCGTATGCCTACAGAACGCAGCCATTATGCACCCATGGTTGGGCAGTCAAGGCTGGAAGCCTTTTGGCAGTCGGGAATGTAAGCCTTTTGAGTCGGCTCAAAAGTCACTCCCTTCACTCCCCTCTACCTCCTTGTGTCCTTCCCTTGCCTCGTTGCGCATTCATTTTTGGGCAGTCGGAGCTGGAAGCGTTTGGGCAGTCGGCCAAGTCGATAGTGGAGAGACTTGATGGTATCAGAGCCAAGAGGTGAGCATGCAGGCCTGCCGGCATGCCGGCACGACAGGTAACCGATCAAACCAAGGCGGGTAGTAGCACACTCATCCTTCATCGATCATCCTGAGCTGGAAGCCTTTGGGCAGTCGATTACGAGTCGTGAAGAATTTTCAAAGAGCATTGTAAGATTGGTTTTTTTTGTTTCTAGGGAGCAGAGGAGGGAGGCCAAGGATGGGGCGATTACAGAAAGCAAGCACAGGCGAACTTCTCTGTTCGCCCTGGTCCCATCCCAATCCCCTCTTTCTTCACTCTTTCCTCCCCGCTCCTCTTCCTCCTTCCCTCCCTACCTCCTTCCCCGGTCCTCCCCCGGTCCCTGGTTGGTGCTTACTATCCAACCAACCTCATGCCCCTCTTGCTTCACTCTTCCCCCCCACCCTCCCACTTCCTCCTCCTTCCCTCCCTACCTCCTTCCCCACCCTCCCCGGGTCCCCCAACACCAGGGAGCAGGCGGAGAAGGAGGGCAAGGACGGGACAGTGTCAGACAGCAAGCACAGGCAGTCTTCTTTGCTTGCCGCTCACCCTTGTCTCGCTTTACCCTCTCCCCCTGCCCTCTCTTCCTCCCTCCCTCTCTCTCCTTCCTCCCCCAACACCGTTCAACACAGGGAGCAGGCGGAGAAGGAGGGCAAGGACCGGGCAGTGTCAGACAGCAAGCACAGACGGCTGCAGTGGGAGGAGCGATACATGGCAGCTGAGATACAGGTGGGTGCAGTGCGGTGCAATACTTCGCATTTTCCCACGCCTCAACTTGATGTTTATGTGTGTTTCATCCACATGCCATCCACATGCCATCCACATGCCATCCACATGCCAAGCATCATGCACCCGACCATGTATCCCCACAGGTGAAGGGGAGGCAGAAGTAGCCATGCGGGAGATCAGGGCCTGCTGCGTCATGCACGCCCCCATGTGGCCCCAAGCCCACTCATCCCTCGCTCATCACCGCTCATCACCGCTCATGACCACTCATGACCGCTCATGACCATGTGCCCCCATGCCTCCCCACAGGTGAAGCGGTGCATAGGGGAGGCAGAGATAGCCATGCGGGAGATCAAGGGCTGGCTGGATACTCTTCCCCCCAGGTAGCTTCTTGTCTGACTGAAGGTTCTGTCTCTCCCCTCCAGGTAGCACCTTCTCTGGCTTAAAGTTACCTCTCTAACACCCAGGTAACCCTTGTCAAACATTGTGCTCTCTCTTTCCCCAGGTAGTGCCGTTTTCTTTGCTCATCCCTCACCCTTCCTGTGGTAGACTATGTTCACATGGAAAATCGTCAACTTAAAATTGCTCAATTCTGGAGTCCCGCTGATCAACCCTAGTCGCACACCCTGACGATTCTCACCCCATGTGCGACTAGTCTTTACCATAGTGGTGCCTTCATGGTTCCCTGAATCCCATCCCAAGTCTTCCATGATCTCACGATTCCCATGAACCTCGTGACTCGTATGACTTGCATTCCTCCCTCCCACCACACATTCTCCCCAGTGAGGATGCTCCCAAGCAAGCTCAAATGCGCTCTCTACTCGCCGAACTTGAGTCTCTCGTAGCTTCGGTCCGAGCCTCCGGCCGCCCGGTCCTGTCTCTGGACCACCCAACAGTGCTGCGCGTGCAGAGGCTCGGCAAATCCCCGGACTCATGGGCCTCTGCCGAAGCTGCCGCTGCAGGCAGAGGTTCGGCGTTTCCTGGTACGGTGGTGGTGGCCCCACTCTCAGGCTTTTCTGGTGCAAGTTCAACTGCTGCTGCTGCTTCCACTCCTGCTGCTGCTTCTGCTGCTGCTATAGCTGGTACAACGGCAGCAGCAGGAGCAGCAGAAAGGCCTGAACTGGATGTTGCAGCTGCAGCACATGCAGCTGAAGTTACCGAGTCTGGTAAACTTTTGAAGAAACCAGCACTTGTGATTGGAGGATCAGCAGCTGCAGGGACAGGTGGCGTGGTGCCAACAGGAACAGAAGAGAATGTTCCCCCGACGCCTTTTGTCATTTCGGGCGGGGTCCGTCGTCCCGTAGCGCCCGGGTTCAAGGATAAGCAAGGCAAGTCAAAGCTGCTGCCTGCTGGTGAGAGTGCTCCAGTGGAAAGAAAGCAGGGGAAGGAGAGCGACGAGGTCAAGGAGAGCGCGGGTGAAGAGAAGGGGGAGGAAGGCGGGTCTGATGCTGCAGCTGAAGCAGGTTCTGCAGGGGAACCATAATCAAACGCCCGAAAAGAGTTTTGTCCAGTTTGGTTGGACCAGCAACAGAGGAAAAGTGGTTGTGGCCAAACAAATGTATTGTAGTATAGATTTGTTCATGTAGCTCTAGTTGCACTTCATGGGCTTTTGCTGTAGAATGTTTCCTCAAGTAGAGCCATAGTCAGCTATGAACAAGGCATACGGTACAGCTGTCAGCTGTCAGCTGTCTACAAGGTTCCCCAAACCATTCCAGACATGATGTAAAAAATGCCAAAATATACACATGACATACAAATATCAACAGCAACAGCTACACGAGCAAGGCGAGGCCACGATCCTTTATTCTCCTGCTGCACGGTTCATACGGGAACGCAGCTAGGGAGTTGCGACCAACTGAGACCAATTCCGGACCACAAAAAAAAGCTTGAAAGACTGAAACTACGGAGTACACTTATCCTCCTCCCCATCAGCCTCCCTAAACGGCACCCAGATCTCGTTCGCTCGTCCAATCAGCTCAAACGGCGAGTTATACTCCGCAATGCTGTACGCCTCTCCTCCCACAGGTGCAGTAACATTCGCCCACGCCGTATTCGCCAGGCTGTCGCCAAGATTTGCCGCTTCCTGCGCAACATTGAAATCCGTCGCGAATCCGGAGAAGGATCGCACGGCGACGCAGAGGGACGGCGCGCGACGGATATGCAGGTTGAGCGCAAAATCCGGCTTGGGGGGATATTTGGCGATGTTGTACGGAATGAGGACGCGAACGAGAAAGGCGGACGCGCAGAAAGGGCCGCCGGAGGGTTTGATTGTGGTGAGCACGGGAGCAGTCATGGCGATGGGCATGCCTTCGCTGTTGCGACCCTGGATGTACTGGAAGAGCCTGAAAAAGAAGGGAGAGGGGGAGTGGCCCGAGAAAAACAAGGAAATGGATACGGAGAAGGTTGTCCTTCGCCGAATTCAGTCAGGAAGCCAGGAAAAATATACGGAGTCAGAAACGTAAGCTGGAAAATGCTGGAAGGGTGAAAAGGGCTTAGACCTGTTGAAGCCGGCGTAAACGGCCTTCTTGAAAGACACTTCGTTAATAGGGTCCGTCTCAGCCAACACGCTGCTATCGTAGCGGCGAATCTGAAAGCCCGACTCTTCATGCACTAACTCGTACGGCGGACACTCGATGCGAATGCATGAAGACGACGGTATGGGGCCATCCGGATCCCTGTGAGGAAGGAATTTTTTGGAAAGACCGAGACGAAGCGACCCTGCAGCGTTGAAAGCTGAAGCAGTAGGGACGAGGGAGACGGCCACGGCGAGGACTACGAAGAGCACGACGAGCGAGACGCGAGCCATGGCAAAGTGCAGCTTCAAACAAGAGAAATCTGCACCAAACCCAACTTTTGCAATTTTGCCAGTGGCAGTGCGCACCTTAGACAGACGCAGCCAAGAGAAATTTAGGCTTCTGAAAATGCTATGCGCCTCGGCTTCCGAAGACTGCTGTCCAATGCGCCTCTGTGACTGCTCTTTGAAAAAACCCGCACTCGTGAAAAATCAGCTCACGGGTCACACACATCCATGCAGGACCGTGCTTTCTCGACACCCGTCGTCTGACACTGACACTGGCGTGGATGCATGGCATGAAGCATCTGGTCTGGAAGGATCAAATTTGTGAGGTTTGGTGGGGAGATGATGTGGGCGACGTCGGACGACGATTTCGAGGCGTGTGCGAAAAGCTGGGCTGGGCATCGCAGGTGGAATTTGTGTCTGATAGGCATGTCCGCTGCGACGAATGTCGTCGCCACTCATGCGTGGCGACGCGAAGCAGAGGTTTCAGGGTGTGCGTTGGCTGCGGAAGAGTGTCAGTTATTGGTGTGTGTGTGTTGTGTCTGGAGGATCGAGATTCTGGAGTCAAGGAGCCAGTTGTACAGAACAGTATCAGACTGATGGAGCCCACGTGGCAATGGCATGTCGGCTATATTTTTGCCGAGTGCTTTTGCTCATTGGTATTCACAGCCTGCAACATTTCCTGGAGTTGAATTACCGAATCGATCACTTTAGTTCATGTCATTTCTTTTGCCTACCTGGTTGAACAAACTGCTGTTCCAGTTCCTCCTTTGGCTCGGCAGGACAGGCTCCTTCAGAATTGGCCTTGACGCATCTGCTTCACGGTTCCCCACCAACCTTCTTCCCCCATCCCCGCCGAACCTGACTCTCCCATAATCCCATTCCCCCAACACTTCTTTTGGGTCAACATTTCCGCATTTCAACTCTGTAACTCTGCGTGATTCAAGGCGCTTACGCTGCTGCTACTGCTGCTGTCACCTACGTTACTAACCATACACTTTTTTAACGTCGTCTTAGCTCGAATGCACTTACCACCAACCCAACCCTCGGACCCATTTGCAACGGCCCTGCCATCGGGTATTACTTTAATAGCCATCTACAACAAGTGGGTGGGAGGAAGGAGGAAATAGTAGTAAAGACCTAATTGTCAAATCCCTATGGCAGAGCCAAGTGGTCCTGGTCTTCTCGCTCCACCTAAGTCTCTCCCCGGTGGCTCCAGCGCACCGCCCATTAAAAAACCAGTCATAGCGGAAGAACGACAGGCGAAGGTTAGCAAACCCTAGTTTCCAAATGGTTTGTCGTTTCTCAATGTGGCTGATTCTCAATTTGGTGGTTCAACGTTTCTGGGCTGTCACAAAACGGACATCATCTTTATCATATTACTCTTATTTGGAGCTCTGCTGATCGTGCTATCCTGGACATATCGACGCTGCTTATTCAACGCTCTTTTAGACTTCCTTCTGCTCCCCTTCTCGCCTCCTCAGGGTTCTATCCCGCAATTCGGGCAGTTCGGTGACAACAATGTCGGGTACACGGGTGTGTTCACACACGGTCTTCTTTGCTCCCCTCTTGCTTCCCTCACCCCGCACCCCTCTTCATTCCCTCCCTCTCCACCCTCCCCACGGTCTCCCAACACCAGGGAGCAGGCAGAGAAGGAGGGCAAGGACGGGGCAGTGTCAGACAGCAAGCACAGAAGGCTGCAGTGGGAGGAAAGATACATGGCAGCTGAGATTCAGGTGGGTGCAGTGTGGTGCAATGCTTCAGTTTGATGTTTATGCGTGCTTGTATACCATCCATCAGCCATCCACATGCCCTCCATCAATTATCCACATTCCATCATGTGCCATCCATGTGGCAAGCATCATGTGCTCGAATGTCTGCCCCCGTCACTCTTCTCCCAACAGGTGAAGCGGTGCATTGGGGAGGCTGAGATAGCCATGCGGGAGATCAGGGCCTGGCTGGACACGCTTCCCCCCAGGTAATCCCCTTTCCGGTTCATTACTCTCTCTCTGGTCAAGTATTCTCGGCTGATTCCTTAGCCCCCTTTTTCTTGGTCCTGCACACTACTACACCCTCGTCTTACTATCTCTATGATTCTATTGTCCCACGCCCACCATTGTAAGCCCTATTCGCACAGAAACCCTTTGATTTTCACGAACCCCATGACCCCATACCCCACAGTTCCCATGACTACCATGACCCCATAACGCCCAGCACCCCATGGATCTCATCATTTCATGGTTCCCGTGACCTCTCTACCACCACACATTCTTTCCAGTGAGGATGCTCCCAAGCAAGCTCAGATGCGCTCTCTGCTCTCCGAACTCGAGTCCCTCGTAGCTTCGGTCCGAGCCTCCGAGCGTCCGAGCCTGTCCCTGGACCTAAGTGGCAAAAGACGCGTCCTGCGTCCTGGACGCATGCGTCCAGACGCAGCGTCCAGGACGCAGGACGCAGAATGTGGGCCTTTGAGACGCAGCAAAAGACGCAGGCCTGGGCAGGGCAAAAAAAACCCCCGGACAGCCCAAAAAAGTTCTTATAGGGCACGGGAAGGGGGGTTGAGAGGGTTGGGAACTTGGGATTCACAATTTTGTATGAAGGGGTTAGAAAGGGGTTAGGTGGCTGTTTTTGTAGGTCGAAATGGTTTTGGGGGGTCGAAATTTCGCAAAAATGGCATTCGCGTCGAAATCGCGACCCAAAAAAAAAAAACAAATCGGTCAGCCCGAAAATTTTTCTGGGTTGCGTCCTGCGTCTGGACGCGCGTCCTGCGTCTCTGCGTCCGGACGCTGCGTCCGAACGCAGGACGCAGGACGCCCCCTGCGTCTTTTGCCACATAGCCCTGGACCACCCAACAGTGCTGCGCGTGCAGAGGCTCGGCAAGTCGCCTGACTCGTGGGCTTCTGCCGAAGCTGCTGCTGCAGGCAGAGGTTCGGCGTTTCCTGGTACGGTGGTGGTGGCCCCACTCTCAAGCTTTTCTGATGCAGGCTCAAGTACTGCTGCTTCTTCTGCTCCTGTTGCTTCTATTGCTGGTAAAAGGCAGCAGCAGGGGCAGCAGAAAGGCCAGAAGTGGCTTCTGCAGCTGTAGAACACGCAGCTGGATCTTCTGAGTCTGGTAAACTCTTGAAGAAGCCGGCGCTTGTTATTGGGGGATCAGCAGCTGCTGGGGCAGGTGGTGCGGCATCAACAGGAACAGAGGAGAATGTTCCCCCTACTCCTTTGTCATTTCGGGCGGGGTCCGTCGTCCTGTAGCTCCCGGGTTCAAGGATAAGAGCGTATTCCTATCCTCGTATCAAGAAAACCTCATATCAACCTCCCACTGAAAATTCCCCTAAACCCAAAACCTCTCGCTACTTTTACCAGGCAAAAAGTACAATCTTGATATGAGGTTTTCTTGATACGAGGATAGGAATACGCTCTAAGCAAGGCAAGTCAAAGTTGCCGCCCACAGGTGGAAGTGGTTCAGTGCAGAGCAAGCAGGTGGAGGAGAGCAAGGGAGGTAGGGAGAGCACGGGTGAAGAAAAAGGGGAAGATGGTAGGTCTGATGCTGCAGCTGAAGCAGGTTCTGCTGGGGAACCATAATTGCATGGCCGGTTTAGCCCAGGATGGACCAGCAATACACATAGCAGGAGTCAGGTGAGGTGGTTGTATGTAGAGAGATAATGTACCAGAGTTAGGTAACTGGTTTTTGCAGAGTGTAGGTTGTGTAGTCCAAGATAGGTACCAAAGATGAGCACTATATACTGGCACGAAAAACGAAGTACCAAAATGCATCATTCATCGTTTCCCCCCCTTTTGATGCCACACAGCTGCAAGTATTCACATGTTTGGAAGACTTTGGAGAAGTCCAGAAGGTACAGCTCTCTTAGAGCAACCTCAGAATAGCAAGAGCAACAGTTACACAAACATGAGGCCACAAGGTGAAGCCTCGTACGGGGTTGCGGTATCTGCTGCAAGGTTCAAACAGAAACACAACTAAGGAGTTACGATACGAGGACCACCGAAGGTCCAACGAAAAGGAGTTAAACTACGGAGTGCACTTATCCTCCTCCCCATCAGCCTTCCTGAATGGCACCCAAATCTCGTTCACTCGTCCAATCAGCTCAAATGGCGAGTTATACTCTGCAATACTGTACGCCTCTCCTCCCAGAGCTGCAGTAACATTCGCCCACGCCGTATTCGCCAGGCTGTCGCCAAGATTCGCCGCCTCCTGTGCGACGTTGAAATCCGTCGCGAATCCGGAGAAGGTTCGCACGGCGACGCAGAGCGAAGGCGCGCGACGGATGTGCAGGTTGAGCGCGGAGGACGGCTTGGGGGGATTTTCGGCGAAGTTCTTCGGAACAAGGAAGCGGACGAGGAAGGTGGAGGCGCAGAAGGGACCGCCGGAGGGTTTAATGGTAGTGAGCACGGGAGCAGTCATGGGGATGGTGACGCCATCGTCGTTGCGACCCTGAATGTACTGGAAGAGCCTGAAAAGAAGAGGGAGGAAAGGGAGTGACCCGGGGAAATAAGGAAAGAGGAAAGGGATTCCGAGAAATCCAGGAAATGCAACAGAGTTAGGTGGAGGCAAGACTACGAGGTACGAAGAAATCCAAGATAGGTATAAGGGAGTCAGAAAATACGACTCAACAGATGACCAATTGAAGAATGTTTCTAGGTACCTGTGGAAGCCGGCGTAAACGGCCTTCTTGAAAGACACTTCGTTAATAGGGTCCGTCTCGGCCCAGACGCTGCTCCTGTAGCGGCGAATCTGGAAGTCCGACTCTTCATGCACTAACTGGTACGCCGGACACTCAATGTTCTTGCATGAAGACGAAGGTATGGGGCCATCCGGAGCTCGGTGAGGAAGGAAGATTTTGGAAAGACCGAGACGAATTGATCCTGCAGCGTTGAAAGCTGAAGCAGTAGGGACGTGGGAGACTGTCACGGCTAGGACTAAGGCCAGGAGCACAAAGAGCGAGACGCGAGCCATGGGTCTGGACGATACCAGCAACTTCAAACAAGAAAACTGGCGGTGTGGAGTTGAGAAGGACGCAGCAAGGGAAATTTAGGCTCCTGAATGATGCTATGCGCCTCGGCTACTGCTGCTGTCTATGAGACGTCGCTTGAGGGTGTGATGTGACTGCTCCGTGGAAACTCCACACAAGGGTAATTAGCTGACAAATGACTGTTTATAGCGTGGCGTAGCGTCCATGCATGCAGTCGCATGCTTCGAGAATCGAGACTAGACAGTGTCGCTGTACTTCTGCAGTGGATGGACGAATTATCTGGAAGGATCGAATTTCTGAGGTTTGGAGAGCAGACGACGATGAGGGCGATTTCAAGCGACGCGTGGGCGAAACGTTTGACTGGGCATCACAGATGGAATTTGTGTCTGGTTGATATCTCCGCTGCGACGAAGGTCGTCGCCATCCATGCGCGGCGACGCGACCCAGAGGTTTCATGGTGTGCGTTGGCTGTGGAAGAGTGTCGGTCATTGGTGTCGAGGGAGTCGAGATTCGGGAGTCAAGGAGCCAGCTGTACAGTATCAGAGTGATGAAGCCTACGTGGCAATAGAATGTCGGCGATATTTTTGCCGAGTGCTTTTGCCCATTGGATAGCGCTTTATTCATCAGAGCCTGCAAGTTTCCCCGAGTTTGGGAAATCACCACCAGTATCGCTGGGATGTATACCTAGGATGCACACTGAGCTACACTGTGCTTATTTGGTTGAGCAAACGACGTTAACAGGAAGAGATATAAACCGAGTATCCGATTGTACATGGTTTAAGACTGATGGCGTGAAGTTCTTCTCTGTAACGAAGATGTCGCCATAAACCAACGGTTTCGATGCTTTTCATAGACCCGTTGACGGACCCTTGAAGCACGTCGAACGACCGACGTCCCTCCGCCCAAGCTCACCATGCTCCCCGTGCTCCCCAATTTTCGAAGCGCCATGTCAGCCACCAACCACACGGCATTTCGCGCTTGGCTGAACCTCCCGGCTTCCCATACCTGCTACAAAGGTTACCTCGCCCCGTCATGACGCGCCAGTTCACCCCTCACCCACCCCTACCACTTTCACTTGCCAAACTACTAGCTTCGGCATCCGCGCACAACACCGCACGGCATTCTCCAGGGGTGTGCTGTGCCGGTTGCCCTCTTGGCTCGGCGGCACTGGCTGCTTGCCGCACAAACTCAATAACCCTGAGTTTTCTGTTGGCCTTGGCGCATCTGCTTTACGGTTCTCCTCCTCGCCCTTCTTCCCCCATCCCCGCCAAACCAGACTTCCATTCCTGCAACCGCAACACTTTACTACTCCTCAGGTCGTCCTAACCATATCAGTTTTTCGGCATTTCTGTAATTATATATACAGCTCTGCGTGATTCAAGGCGCTGCTGCTACTGCTGCTGTTACCCATTCTACGAACCGTACATTTTTAAGTCGTTACAGCTCGAACGCACTCACCACTAACTTAACCCGCAGACCCGTTCCGTCATTCGACAACGGCCCTACCATAGTAGACTAAATTAGTACCCATTTACCACAAGCGCGTGGGAGGAAGAAGGAAATATCAGTGAAGAGCTAACTGTCAGATCCCCATGGCAGAGCCAAGTGGTCCCGGTCTTCTCGCTCCGCCCAAGTCCCTTCCCGGTGGCTCCAGCGCACCTCCCATTAGAAAACCAGTCATAGCGGAGGAGCGACAGGCGAAGGTCAGCAAGCCCTAATTTCAGGATGTTTTGTCGTTTCTCGTTGTTTCTGTTCCTCAGTTCGGTGGTTCAACGTTTCTCAACGTCACAAAATGGACATAATCGTGTTTATCACCTCCCTCTTGTTCGGAGCTCTGTTCGTCATGCTTGTTTGCAGATTTCACTGCTGCTTTTTCAAAGCTCTTTTAAACTTCTCTCTCCCCCTCACGCCTCCTCAGGGTACTATCCCGCAGTTCGGGCAGTTCGGTGACAACAATGTTGGGTACACGGGTGTGTTCGCTGTGAAAAAACAACAACGAAGACAAGGCGACGACGACTTGTTTCCGGAACCTCAGCCGATGGGCACTTTTGATCAAAAGCCCGAGGCGACACCGGCCGCTCCAGTAAGTTGCTCTCTAATTAAAATTTGGCTTTTCCGGCGTCAAAATTTCACCGAACCGGTTTGTGATGGCACGCGAAGGTGTGACGTATTGTGCTTTCCAGCCGCCATTTGTTCGTAGGCTTCGGACATGAAGACGATTCGCGAATTGCTAAGGTTCAGCTTGCCACACCCGTCTGACGAAGGCCTGATTAGTCCAGGTTGAGGCTGTACGTCCCGAGTAGTTGACGTCAATATGCACAACCCGAGATCAACGCTAGTCAGAGAACGATGCATGGACAACTTCTCTAGGTTTGCGGCTTAGCATGGGTTACTGCTTCAGCTATGTCGAGCATGGGCTCTGCAGTTGCTTTCTGACTATTAGATAACATTTCGGTTAACGAAGCGGTTTGTGGGATATCAGACGACCGTTTCCGCCCTGGTCATTAAGAAAACGAGAGGAAAGAACGGCTAAGTTGGATGCAGATGGGGTTTGCTGTGGTCGGCAAGTATATTGGTGTCATGTTGGTGTCTTGGTTGTTGTTTCAGGAGTCATCAGAGTCATGTATTTGTTGTTGTTTCAGGAGTCATCAGGGTCATGTATTTGTTGTTGTTTCAGGAGTCATCAGAGTCATGTAAATGAAAAGTTCCAGACTTTAGAGTGTCAAGGGGGCGGTCAAGCATCTTGGCGTGGTGCAGATGTTGGCTGTTGAAAGGGGTGCATCTTGGTTTCATGTTTTCTTGATCTCCTAGTTATGAACCGACACCTGTCAGTGTCTGCGTTTCTGAAAGTGCTTTGTTGTCTCTGTCCTCTGATCCGCTAGTGGTGCCTCTCTTTAATTCCATCGCTTTCTTCTTAACGTCCTCCTGATTCCTTCCCATTGCTTGTTTTTGTCTGCAGGCCGATGCGGCTCAACAACACTGTTGCCTCATTCTATAAGAGAAACGAGAATCTGCTGCCTCAGTCATCTCTCATTCGGGTGATCCCCACTTGTTCAGCTCGTGAGCTCTTTCTGTTGCAAGGCACTGTTGCATGGGACTTGGAACCTTTTGGTGGTCAAGGTTGGTGGTACCATAGAGATGCCTGTGCCTTTTTGGTAATGTCAGCCATCTGGCAGGTTATGACCTGGTACTGAAGCCAGGTCGCACGTTATGATCTGGTACTGAAGCCAGCTGGCACGTTCTGACCTGGTACTGAAGCCCGCTAGCATGTTAGTAGAACCACTGGTGACTTCAAATTGTATGAGTTTTTTACCGAGCTGTATTTACTAGGACATGTAATGCCCTTTCTGTTTGCTTCAGATGTACACAGTATTTAATTTAGTTATCTGTGATTGTAGTGTTTTTGCAAATATGCAAAAGAATTGTCCAAGTGTGACTTGTTCAGTGGTTCAAAAGTTAGTAGACTAAAAATACAGAGTAGGAAAAAAACAAATCAATCAATTTTCAAAGATAGAGCAACGCAATGCAGCTCCATCAGTCATTTGTCAAAATCTACCATACACACCATACCAGTCAGTCAAGCATACGGTACATAGGAATGTATCACCCCTTGCGAAATCCCCCTTTCTATTCCCCTGGTCCACCAGCTTTATCACCACATACTCGTCCCATCGCATCCCATCACACAGCACCGCGGCGAATCACTTGCGCATCTCCACCAGCTTCATCACCAGGTCCTCCAGGTCTTTCGGCCGAATCGGCTTCGTGAGAAAGTGGTTCATGCCAGCTGCGAAGCACGCCTCTCTCTCGAAGTCAAACGCGCTGGCAGTGAGCGCTGCGATGAACTTGGGCGGCCGGCTGGGCAGCAGCTGCTCTGCATTACGGATCTGCCGCGTGGCTTCTAGCCCATCCATCTCAGGCATGTGACAGTCCTGGGAGACAGAAGAAAAAGAGGGGAGAGAGGAGGTTGGGAAAGGAAGAAGAGGGAGGAGATAGTGAGCTGATGTGTGAGCGAAGGTCGCACTCGTATGCAAAGCCATAGCATAACATTTAAACTCCGAAATGAAACAGGCTACAGTACAGAGTACTCACCATGAGGATGAAGTCGTAGTGGTTGCTCTCGCACGCGTGCAGCGCCTTGAGCCCATTCTCAGCCACCTCCGTGGCAATCCCAAGGTTCTTCAGCATGCGGGTAACCACCATCTGGTTCACCGTGTTGTCCTCCGCAACCAGAACCTTCCACGACTTCACACACTCGGGCAGCTTCTCGGGCAGCTCGTCCGTAAAAACTTTCTTGTGCCCGTGCCCGTGCCCGTGCCCATGCCCCCCTCCTCCGCCTTTCCCGGCATTGACAAGTGAGTGGGCACTGCCAGTTCGTTTCACAGAGGCCAGGGGGGAGGTGAGAGGGATGGCTGGGGAAGATTTGGAGCAAGGGGAGCGAGGAGGCCGCTCCTGTGTCTTGCACCTTCGGGGGGTAGGGCCGGAGCAGTCTTGTAACGAGTGAGACGTGAAGGATGAGGAGGGTTTAGCTATGGCGATCGACACTCGTCGCCCATTGCTGCCGTTTCTGCTCGTGCTGCTGCTGCTGCCGCTGCTGTTTGTCTTGTCGTTGGTTAGTTCCTTGAGGTTGGCTGTGCTGCTGCTCCTGCGAACACTGCTGCTGCTACTGCCGCTAGTGCCACTAGACCTCTCCGTGAAGCTATTTGTGCTCCTGGCCCTGTGGATACTTCTGCTGCTGCTGCTGCTGCTGCTGCTGCTGCTGCCACCGCTGCTGTTGCTGTTGGTGTTGCCGCTGCTGTTGTTGTTGCTGTTGCTGTCTGCACTCCTGTCAGCACTCCCTCTGCTGCTGCCTGCGGTGTTTAGGTTCCTGGGTTTACTCTTGCTGCGGGTGAGGAATTTCCCCTCCGTTGCACTCGGTTTCAGCAAGTAATTATCGCTTTTAGACTTGCTGAACAGGCTTCTCACAGCAGAGATGGCGGCAGGGCTGGGAGGAGGTGGGTATCTAGGAGCAGCAGGAGCAGCGGGAGCAGCAGAAGCAGCGGCAGCTGAAGCAGGAGCAGGAGCAGGAGGAGAAGGGAGTTGATCAGCAGGAGAAGAGGCAGAAGTGGTGGGAGGCCAGGTGAGAGTGGGTGAAGCAGGGATGGCTGGAGCTGCTGGTGATGCTGCTGGTGATGCTGCTGAGGAGTTAGGAAGCCGGGATTGACACACAGATGAAGTCACCGCAGCACTGCTAGTGCTGCTGCTGGTGGTGCTGCTGCTGGTGCTGGTATTGGCAGGTACGGCAATGGGCAGAAAAATCTCCTTTGAATCTGCCCGGCGCAGGGACTTCTTGTGCCGAGGGGTCGGGCTGCGGTTGAGTCTCCGACTCCCAGCAGACCAGATGGACCTAGAAGAAGTGGAAGAGGTAGGAGTTGTCATTTGGGACCGAGAAGTGTCAAATGTAGCATCACTGTCGCAGTCCATGGAATGATGTTTCTCCACATGGCCCCGGTGTGTTGTTGTTGCTTCCTTGTTCCCTCCCTTGCGAGACCGGGACTTCCGGGACCGGCCAATGGCGATCTCGGTCGCCGCCCGAACCAAGTGCCTCGCCCAATGCTCGTCTTCGTCGTCCGTTTCACTCTCCGACATGCTTCCCTCTCCTTCCTCTCCGTCCATGTCCGTATCACCCTCCATCTCTTCTTCATCCTCTTCGCCCAGCTCATCCCACTCCTCCTCTTCCTCTCCCTCCTCCTCGTCCTCAAAGCCAATGCTTTCTTCCCCTGCACTCTCTGCGTCACTTGGAGCGGGTTCTGTAACCCCAAGGCACACAGTAAAGAAGAAGGACGACCCCTGGAAGAAAAAAAAAAAAAAAAACAGTGTCAGTGAAACGCGTAACAAGGGATGCATCATCGAATACATTAGGCAAAGATACACGGGAGGGAAAAAAGGCTAAAAGGAAAAAACTCACTTTTCCCTCTTCGCTTGAAAGGGTAAGTTCGCCGCCCATTAAGTTGACAAGTGCCTTGCAAATAGCTAAGCCAAGGCCTGTTCCACCAAATCGGCGACATGTAGAGTTGTCAGCCTGGATAAGATCGATAATAGGTACAAGACATTGTTAGAAAACAAGCAACATGATAGCAGTGAGAGGTTAACATGAGTCAAAACGGTAATAGGATGTTTAAGAAAGTAAATTACCGACTTGTAGTGTAGTTTATTGTGACGAACCTGATTGAAGGCTTGAAACAGATTTTTCTGCGAGTGGGGGGGAATTCCGATTCCCGTGTCTTTCACTTCGAACTGCACCACCACCTTATCCATTCCCGAGTTTTCTCTTAGCGGCTCCAAACTCGAGAAGGACTCGCGCCGCTTTCCGCAGCCCGGAGCGTGCGGATCCACGAGGCTGACGCGCACCGACACGTGTCCCCCGGCCGACGTGAACTTAATCGCGTTGCTTAGAAGATTAGTGACCACCTGACGAACGCGCATGCAGTCTCCGAAGACCTCCATAGGGACGTCCTTATCGACTCGCGCTTTAATGCGGATGTTTTTCCCGTGCGCGGATCCGCGGAACAGCGCGACGCAGTTGCTCACGTTCTCCCGTAACCGCCAGTTGCTAAAATCGAGGACCATCTTCTCGTTCTCGATCTTGCTTAAATCGAGGATGTCGGAGAGGATGTGTAGGAGGCCCTCGGAGGAGGATCTTAGGGTTTCGAGCAGCGAGCATTGTTCCGAAGAGAGCGGCGTCGCGAGCATCAGATCAGCGACGCCGATGATTCCTGGTGGGAGGGGGGAAGGGGGCGAGGGGAGCGAATGTGGGGGGAGGGGAGGAAAGGGTGGGTGAGTAGCCTGCTCAGCAGGCTCCGAGGAGAGCGGCGTCGCGAGCATCAGATCAGCGACGCCGATGATTCCTGGTCGCGGGAGAGGAAGGGAAGACGGGGGAAGATACGGCGGGAAAGGAAGGAAGGGGAAAGAGGGGCGGTGAGTCGCATGTTCGGCATGCCTCGTGTGCGCGATGATAGGTTCTTACAACGGTGGAAAAGGTACTAGGAGAGAAACGGGAAAGGAAAATGTAAATCTCACTGTTCATGGCCACGCGGGAAACGAAATCTCACCGTTCATGGGCGTGCGGATCTCGTGGCTCATATTCGCCAAAAACTGCGTCTTCGCCTTGCTCGCCTTCTCCGCCTCCGCCTTGGCGCGCCGCAGCTCCGCCTCCTGTTTCCTTGCCTCCGCCATGTCGTGCCACACCATCAGATACACCGGCTCGCCAAAGAAATTCACCATCTTACATAGCACCTCCACCGGTACGTCCTGCCCCTCCTCATCCTCGAACAGCCAATCAAATCGGTACCGCTTCTCCCCTCCGACCGCCGACGCGCCGCTTAGCACCGTCGCGCCCGAGCCTCCCGCCGAGCCTGCGGGCGCGGGGACGTTGTTGCTGGCGGCGAGATCTTCGAGAACCGCCTTGAGGAACGCGGAGCGCTGGCCTGAGGGTTGTTGCGGGCGGCAGAGCTCCCAGGGGGTTTTCCCGAGGAGCGACTCCTTTGTGCCGCACTTGAGAATGCGGATTGCGGACTGGTTGCAGTCGAACACGCGCCCGTCCTGGTTCAGCAGCAGCTTGGGATCCTGAGGTGTGAGGGAAGAGGGGAAGACCGAGACAGAGAGAGAAAGAGGGCCAGTAAAGGTGAGAAACGAAGCGCATGCACTTGGAAGGAAGCTACGGATTGCGTGGAGGATTCAAGCGAGAGGGGGAGGGGGGGGGGGGGGGGTGATTTTGACTGGGGCAGCACGTACCGAGGACAGCTCGAAGAGTATGCGGAACTGGAACTGATTCTTGCGACTCTCAGTAATATCATTCACGAGCCACACACGCACCTAACAAGGAGAGCTCTGAGGCAAGTTGCAACAGCCGTGCACATGCAGAGAGACCGACAGAGGCAGCACGTACCGAGGACAATTCGAAGAGCATGCGGAACTTGAACTGGTTCTTGCGGCTCTCCGTGATATCATTCACGAGCCACATCTCCCCCAAATCAAACTGGTACGTCGTCACATCCACCACCAGCTTCGACCCGTCCTTCTTCTTAATCTGCTGCACCGTGTTCGTCACGTCCTTGCTGCTCCCAGACACGCGCCGAGCCTCGTGGAGTTGCCGCGCGCGGCGCGCCTTTTCGGCGTAGAGTGTAGTGAACCACTTGTCGACGCTGTCTATGGAGCCCTTTTCGCAGCCCAGCATGGCCTCGAGCGTGCTGTTAACGAGGATGGTTTCACCCTCCTCGCCCGCGTGGGATATGAGCACCGCGCCGGCTGGGAAGTGCTCCACCATCATTCGGTAGTTCTCCATGTGTTGCTCCTGATGAGGGTGAAGAGGGGTTGGTAAGATAGGAGCAGGGTGAAGAGGGGTTGGTGAGATGGGAGCAGGGTGAAGAGGGATGAGGGTCGGTCGGGCGTGGTGAGAATGAGAAGAGTGAGTGCCCATCAGCCGGCAGGGAAGTGCTCCACCGTCATTCGATAGTTCTCCATGTGTTGCTCCTGAGAGTGGTGAAGAGGGGAGGGGAAGAGGTGGCGAGGTCGCGAGGAGGAGAAGGAAAGGTTGGGGTGAGAGGGTGAGGACGAAAGAATGCCCATCAGCCTGCTGGGAAGTGCCCCACCATCATGCGATAGTTCTCCATGTGTTGCTGCTGAGAAGAGGGGGAGGGGGGAGGGGAGGAAGTGAGGGAGGGAGACGTGGCAGGGGGAAGATTGGGAGTGAGCTAGAAAGGACGACCATCAGCCTGCTGAAAAGTGTTCCACCATCATGCGATAGTTCTCCATGTGTTGCTCCTGAGAGAGGAGAGGGAGGGAGGGGAGGAGATGGGGGACGAGGTGGCAGGGAGAAGTTGAGGTGGGGGGAGAAGGGAGAGTTGAGGTGAGTGAGTGAGGACGAGACATACCACAGCACAGACGGGTGACTCGTGGGACAGCTCAACCGCAGAGTCACAATGCTGATGCCTTGTGTCACAATGCTTACCAGGGCCTTCTGTGCGCTGATGTCTTGGAACATGCACAGCACGGCCGTGTGCTCTCTCACTGCTGCTCTCCCCGCCTCGCTCCCACTCGACCCGCTCTCGTGGCTGCTTGTTCTGCTCATATTGCTCGTCTCTGTGTCCCCAGCAGCAGCAGCGGCAGGAACGGCAGCGGCAGAAGCAACACCGGCAGCAGCAGCACCGGCTGCACAGGGAGCACCAGCAGCAGCTGCAGCGGCTGCAGCCGTTGCAGCACCAGCGACAGTGGCAGCAGTAACAGCAGGCGGGGTGGCAGCAGGCGCAGCAGCGGAGGGAGCAGCAGCAGAAGGGGCAGCGGCAGAAGGGGCAGCGGCAGACGAGGCAGAAGTGGAGAGGCTAGTCATAGTGATCCGAACTGCCACTGTGGTTCGATCAATCTTCCTCAGGCGAATCTCCTGCTGCGTCCACTCCTGCACACCCTGCTGCACCTTGCTGTACTCCTCCTGGATTGTTTGAGAAAGTGGGGAAAAAGGGAGAGGTGAGGGAACGGAGAGGGTAAGGGGAGGGAGAAAGGGGAAGGTGGGGAATGGTTAGATGTAACGAAAAAGGGACGTTTGTAAAGCGATAATTGGAGGCATAAACGAGAAGGGGATGTACGTAAAGAGTGGCGGGAAAAAGGGAGAGGAGGAAGAGAGGTGATTCCATGACTTACAGCAAAGGTAGCCTTCTCAGCTTCCGTTACAAAGTGTTGTAGCGTCTGGCCCATAATGTACGGCTCTGGGAATCCGAGAATGGTTGTTGCGCTGCTGTTACAACTGGTTACCACACCGTATACACCCTCCAGAACAACCGTTCCCAGACCAGCGTAGTTCTGTAACTGCAGCACTGCCTGTGCCTGCTGCACCTCCCGCTGCTGCTCGGCGTGAGACTGGAGGACTTGCACTGCAAAGCATGGGGGGATAAGAAGGATAATCACAAAAAGGAAGTGAGAAGCGCTGAGTTGATGCAAATTCCAACTAAGAAGATGGACCTTGAATGAGGTTAAGAAACCCAGAAAAGAAGTGTGCTTCTGCAGCTGTAGCATTTGCTTGTGCGTGCTGCACTTCCTGCTGATGCAGGGCGTGAAGAGAAAGTGTTACAAGTGAAATGTAAGTCAATATTACCTGTCGCAACAAGGTCCTTGGAGGAGTTAAATTGAAAGAACTGTAGCTCCACTGTGACTCGCCGAAAGTCACCGGACTCATCCACCTCTGCTGTACTCATCCTCGTTACAAAATCAGCTCCCCCCGACATTTCCCCCTCCTCCCTCCGCGAACAATCCTCATCCATGCGCGTATCTGCCGCCTCCGCTTCCCCTTTCGTCACAATTTCGAGTCCGCCAGTCGTGTTCCCCGCCCCTCTGACACTGCCCCCCTCCTCCACTTCCCCTCTCCGCTTGACCGAATTTGACCCAAATAAACTCTTCAGATTTTTCCGCCATTCCCTCCCCCGGCCCGCTGGCCTCTGCTGCGGGGGCTTGGCGGCGTGCATAAAAACGCCTTCCGCCGACCCTTCCGACAGAGCTGGCTCTCCGCGCTGTTCCCCGTCGATTTGCATCCGCTCCTGCTGCTGCTGCTGCTGCTGCTGCTGCGGCGCACCCTGCAAGCTCAGTTCGCCAGATTCGCTCCCCGTTGCACCTTTTCCCCCACGTTTCTCCGTCTTCCGTCCTCGGATCGCCATCATCCTTGCAGCCCCCCGCCGTCCCGCGCTTGCGCCGCCTCCTTCGCTGGGCACGGGCGAAACAGCGCTGTTGGCCGTCGTTCCGTCCGCTTCCGGCGGCGAGGGGAGAGCTGGAGTGGGCGCGCGCGCAATCATCAGATTTGCGCCCAGTCGGCCTGAGCCAACCGCGTTGGGAGTTCCGCTCATGGCGGGAAGACAGTTCCCGATGATGCTGTTCGGGGAGGGGGTTGGCGGGGAGGCAAGGCCGCCGTCCCAGGGGCTCGAGCCGCTGTGCTGGCCGCCGTGCCGGCCGCTGCTGCTGCTGCTTCGTCCACTGCTGCTGCTGTCGGTCGAATCCGTCGCCGGAAGAAGCGGCGGGAGGGACGACGAAGACGGAAGCTTCTGCGACGCTTTCGGAGACGCACGCAATATCCGAGGGATCCGGTCGTCAGACGAAGCGCCCTCTTTTGAGGCTCCTTCGTTGTACGCACTCGCCGCGTGTTCTGCGCCCCAGACGGGGACGGGAGCGTCAGTTCCGGCGCTGTCCCCGCTGCCGTTCGCGCTGCCACCATTCTCGGGGATTGCTTCGTTGCAGGAGCCCGCTCGACCAAACGACGCAGTCCGTATTCTGCGGGGATACGATCCGCGACCCGCACCAGAAGAGTCGCGCCGCGCGGCAGCATCTGTGGAACTTGAGCCACCACTGCCACTGGATGGCACTGATGGTGGTGTCGGGATGGTCTTAGGAATGTCGATTTCCGGTAAGTCGACTTTAAAGACATCGCTGGGTCGAGCGGAGTTTCTACCACTACCGGTGGCCAAGCCGCCATTAGCCGGACCTGCGGGGACTAACCAATCGCTGGTGGCGCGGCTCGCGGCTGGGTCAATCGCTGCCGTTGCAGTTTGTTGAAATGAACGGTCGGATGACGACGGCCTGGATCCTCTCGGAGTAACTGCCGTTGATCTCCTCGGAGTTGCCATCGACGCAGCTGCGGCCGCTGATGACGTGGACAATCGCATGGACATTCGAGGTTGTTTGGCCCGAATGATCCCGGGCAGGTGAATCTTTTCCACCTTCCCGCGACTGAGCTGGCGAATCAGATGCCGCCATTTGTTTTGCGAGAGGAAGGTGATATCGAGGAGAGACGTCTGATCATTGATAGCGGGGCCCAGTGTTCGCGACGCGCCTTTACTCGAGCCGAGAATCGCGGCCGTGGTCGGGTCGACGAGGAACTGAACCGCCATGGATTGCTGCACGAATGCCGCCATCCCCGTAGGCTTGGGTGCGGCTACCACGGCGAGACCTGCGGCGCCATTTGCGCCGACAGAGCCGCCTCCACCAGCCATTGGAAAGTTCGGCTGGCCTACTTAGAAGATTCTCAGTCCGCCTGAAATGGTCCTAGTAGGAGTGGCGGAGAATAGTACGAAACTAATGGGATTACAGCTCGGTGTCAACTGTTCCTGCATGTTCGATCATTGTCAAGTCTCAAGCGACTTAGCAAAAGGTAAATAATGGGGTCGGTCGTAACGTCAGCCAGTCAGCGTGTTAGGAGCAGGACTATTAAACAATGGAGCTGTAACTATGTCGTAGGATTTTGAAAAGACAAGGAATCTTGAGGTGATTTGCCGTGTCTAGTCTCTTCTAGAATGCTCGTCGGAAAATTTCTACAGTGGTAAGAGGCTTTGGATTGTCCCTCAGGTTATTGCCAAGCAACAATCCCTAGGGGATGGATGCAGATTCGGAAGGCGAGGGCCTGAGCTGAACCAACCAGGCTGTAACTCCGCAGAGCTCCACCGTGACTCTTCGTGAACGTGGAGCGCCAATTTGCGGCCACAAGTTCTTGAGCTATTGTGGGCCGTGTGTATGTAATGCTGCGTGGGGTTGCGACAGGAGTGAGCTGAGCCCAGCGGACTCACGAGCCAAATGAGCTTCGGGCGCGAGCAGGAGCGAGTGAGAGAGGGAAGAGATGATAAGCTGGAGTGCAGAGAGGGTGTGTGTAAACTGTACAGCGCACGACAGGACAGCACCGGACAGTGTAGACGTATCTAAGCTTTAAAAGAGAGGTAAGGTACATGCGGGCCTAGGCTCCTCTAGAGATTCACTGGCAGCTTCTCGGTTCACCAATCGCCGCTAAAATTTCTTCCTTCCATGGCGGTAACGATCATTTCGTCCGCTTGATTTATGGATGATATATGGATGGGGTTGAAGCTGCCACGACAGCCACAGCCTAGGAACAGCATTCTTGAATGCAGATATGATGCAAACGACGTTCTTTTGCCTGTCAATAAAGCCTGAGAACAGAAATGAGAGACCAGAGACAAGTCACTGATTGCAAGCAGACGGATAATAACAGGCATCGAATCGAAAGACGACAAGCCAACAGCAATTCGAAGAATCGATGGTGTAGGATACACGCGGCGCGTGCCAAACGGGAGGGATGTCTGTCGAATGTCTCCTGTCCTTTCGCCACACCTGTCTTATTTTGTGCTGCTTTGCATTTGGCCACTGTACATAAAAAGCCATGACGCAATAAAAACAATACGTAATTCAACACGTTAGAGCTGCTCCACTCCACGAACGACGCTCATCTCAACCGAGCACCTTGCCCGCAGCTCGAAGAAAATTTGCGAGGAGCAGTTCAACGAGGCGCGCACGCTTTGGCCACGTAGGCTGGAGATTTGTTAGAAATGCTTTCTCATGCACTGGGACTTCGCGAGAGATGCAGCTAGAGCGTCTCTGGGCCAGAAACTCCACGTGGTAACATTCTGGGCTGATGGTTGAGGGAGAGGTTTGAGATTCTGCCAGCCCACTTGTGGAGGTGATTGACCGAAATGGGAGCCGTTTCTGGTGGTGGATAAGCAACGAAGCAGTTCATGCCACTACATGCGCATTCCATATCGGGGAGATTTTTGCGTCAGATTCATCTCGCCTGGATTTTCTCCGTCATCAACGACCATTTTCCCGACGTGGGCTGGCCACAAAAATCCAACGACCATTTTCCCGCCCATGTACGAATTCCAGGAAGCGAGCCAAATTCAGGGTGCTTCGGGCTAATGAAACATGTAAACCCCTTCACCAAAACACCGATTACGTTCGGTACGCTTTGTAATATTTTACAGACTGCTCTAGCTCAATTACCCAATGCATTACAACGAAGTAAAATCAGAATAGAGGAACATAAGTTTCATGGTACTTCAACAGAAGCATGGTCAAATTATTGCAAACGAAATAAATTACCAATGTAGCCCTGTATAATACAGCCCACAGCTTTTTGGACAAGTAGCTCCACAAACTGGATTTCGTAACAATGGGGAGCTAAGGCTCCATACGCATTCCATTAGGTTCATTGTTGTCAAGTGGACGCTCCTCACTCCTGCAGGACACAGCCAAAGCAAGAGCACGAAGGAAATTTCATCAACCACTCTAAAAGGTGGAACGTGCCACAAGGAAACCCACAAAACACAGCAAAAAAAACATTGGAAGCGATTCTTGCAGCCTTGTCCCCGAGTAACCTCTCACGCACCAATTCCAAAAAAAAAAACACACACACATAAAAAAGAAAACAAAAACAAAACAAAACCAACAACAACAAAAGGCATGCGTAAACTTACAGCATCTTGGAGAGCTGGTTGGTGAGGCGGCCCTCGCCGGGGTAGAAGCACTGCGCGCCCTGCAGCCAACGCATGGAGCTCTTGCGCGTCTTGGCCGCCTGCCTCACCGCCTTCACCAGCTCTGCAAACAGCCGCTGGTCGTCCACCGTGCTGGTGAGGGGAGATGCACGGGGGGGGAGAGGGGACAAGGGGGGAAGGGCAAGTGTGAGAATATGGAAGGGTTGCGCTGGGTGTCACTTGGTGGCCGCCTGCCTCACCACCTTCACCAGCTCCGCAAACAGCCGCTGATCGTCCACCGTGCTGGTGAGGGGAGATACACGGGATTTGGAGGGGGGGGACGAGGAGAAGGGCGAGCGTGAGAGGGATGGCACGGTCGTGTTGAGAATCACTTGGCCGCCTGCCTCACCGCCTTCACCAGCTCTGCAAACAGCCGCTGATCGTCCACCGTGCTGGTTAGGGGAGAGGGGGTGGAGAGGGAGGAAGAGGAGGAAAAGGGGAGCTTCAGAGGGACGGCAGGGTCTTGTAAAAATCCCTGTGCAGCTCACTTCTGAGTCGTTTCTTCACATCCTTACCTCCCCACACAGCAGCACCACTCACCTCCCCTTGCAGCTTGCACCTTGCACCTTGACCTTTGCTCTTTGACTTGTCCCTAGAACCACACCACTCACCTCTCTTCACTGGTGAACCAGCTGAGGATGTGGTAAGTGGCCTTGGAGTGGATGATCTGCCTTAGCGCCTCCTTCTGCACCTTGCCCCATGCCCCTTGCCCACTGCCCACTGCCCCTGAACCTCACCATAGAAAAAGCACACAGACAGCACCAAAACTCACCTCTCTTCACTGGTGAACCAGCTGAGAATGTGGTAGGTCGCCTTGGAGTGGATGATCTGCCTTAGCGCCTCCTTCTGCACCTTGCCCTGTCCCCCTTGCCCATTGCCCCACACCTGACCATAGAACCAGAGCTTTAGCAGCACCACTCACCTCTCTTCACTCGTGAACCAGCTGAGAATATGGTAAGTGGCCTTGGAGTGGATGATCTGCCTTAGCGCCTCCTTCTGCACCTTGCGTTTCTTCTCGGCCTTCACCAGCAGAGCCAGGTTCGACTGGAAAGCAAACGTGAGCTCAGCCATGTCCAGATTCGCCTGCACCACCTCCATCCCCCCCACGCCCGCCCCCCCGACTGCCGCTCCTCCCGCACTCCCCGGTCGGGCTATCGCCCCTCGCATGATCCCTCCTCCCGCTCCTGGCGTTCCTGCTGTTCCAGGCCTGCTCCCTCCTCCTCCCGCTCCTGCTCCTGCTCCCGCTCCTGCTCCTGCTGCTGCTCCCTCTGTGTCACTGTCGTCTCTATCAGACAGCTGCCTGAGAAGCCGTTTCTTCGGCTTTGAGTCTCCATCCCCACCACCGTTAACAGCAGCAGCAGGCGCAGGGGCAGCAGCAGGGGTAACAGGAGTTTCAGGCATGCCAGTCGGGGTTTCTGGGGCGGCAGGGTACGGGGTTCTAGCCTCCTCTCCTCCTCCCCATCCCCCTCCTCCTCCCGTAGGAGTCCCAGCCATCCCACCAGCACCCATCCTGCCGCTCCCGAACCTCTTCGTCGCAGCAAGAGGGTCGAATCCCGAAGCAGGGCACCAATGCACCTTCCTCCCCAGCTGTGGAGGCCAGCTCTTCTCAGCAATCTTGAGGGACTTAGCAGGTTTCTCCCTCATGCTGGCCCCTCCAGGGGTGTTAGACCCCCAGCTCACCATCCTCCTCAACCCACTCCCAGGTGTCTCCGGCCCTCCCTCTCCCATCCCTCCCCCGAACGAAACCCGGCTGCTCCGGGACTTGGTCCGGCGGTTGGTTCGGCGCCGAGCCGCCGCAGCAGCCTGGGCAGCCGTGCACGCCCCGTCCGCATGCCAAACCCCGTGCAACAGACAATACACTCCCTGGGGCGGTAACCGCGCGACGGGGATGTAACCCTTCTTGTTTCCAAGCAGAATCTGCGACAGGCCTGCGTACTGCTGGGGCTTTTTGAGCTGCTCGATCCACTCGACCTCCCCGAGGCCTGCCAGGGAGCAGGCTTGCACACGGTCGCGCACCCTCAGCAGCAGGTCAATGCCCTGGCGGTGGTGCAGGAACTGGAAGAGCGCGCGCGGGCGGAACCACCCCCCGATCTGGACAGGTAAGGGTGAAGCACGGGAGGGGAGGCAGGGACACAGGGAGGAACGTGGGCTTGGGTTGATGCCCTCAGCAACAAGTCGATGCCCTGGCGGTGATGCAGGAACTGTAAAGGGGTCCGTGGGCGGAGCCACTCTCCAAGACGACTTTTGAGTCGACTCAAAAGTCACCTGGCGGTGATGCAGGAACTGTAAAGGGGCCCGCGGGCGGAGCCACTCCCCGATCTGGAAGGGCGTGGAAGGCGGAACGAAGTGTCTACGGTCGCTTACCCTCTCAGCTGCCAGCCCTCTCCGCTGGTTCTCCTTCTCTTCTACTCCAAGACACAGGCACTCACAGGCAGACACATACATGCACCTAACACAGACATAATCACAGCCACCATCCCACCTGCGTGAGCTGCACGATCTGGTACGGGTCCAGCCCACTGAGCTGGTCCTCCCTCTCCTTACTCCAACACACGGGCACACACAAACAGATATATACATGCACCAACACAACCACCCACCCACCCACCCACCCACAGCCACCATCCCACCTGCGTCAGCTGCACGATCTGGTACGGGTCGAGCCCGCGCAGCTGGTCCTCTCTCTTCCCGCTCTCCTGCTCCCAGATCTCGTCCAACACACTGTTGTTAAACGCCTCCATTCGCTTGCTCCACACCTCGTAGCTGATGGCCACAATGGCACATACAGGCACTCTCTCTCTCTCACTCCCTCTTACCCCACTCCCACTCTCTTGCTGACGGCCACGACCACCCTTATACACACTCTCTCACTCCCTCTCCCCCCACTCCCTCTCTCTCACTCTCACGGGCACCCACCCACCTGTGTGAGCTGCACGATCTGGTACGGGTCGAGCCCCCTCAGCTGGTCCTCCCTCTTCCCGCTCTCCTGCTCCCAGATCTCGTCCAACACACTGTTGTTGAACGCCTCCATTCGCTTGCTCCACACCTCGTAGCTGATGGCCACCAGCGCACATACAGGCACTCTCTCTCACTCACTCCCTCTTGCCCCACTCTCACTCTCTTGCTGACGGCCACGACCACCCATATACACACTCTCTCACTCCCTCTCCCCCCACTCCCTCTCTCTCACTCTCACGGGCACCCACCCACCTGAGTCAGCTGCACGATTTGGTACGGGTCGAGCCCACGCAGCTGGTCCTCCCTCTTCCCGCTCTCCTGCTCCCAGATCTCGTCCAACACACTGTTGTTGAACGCCTCCATTCGCTTGCTCGACACCTCGTAGCTGATGGCGACGATGGCGGGCAGCAGCATGAGGACGGTGCTGATGGCCATGATGACCTCTGAGAGGATGGACTCGGACGTGTAGTTGAAGATGAGCAGAGACAGCGTGAAAAACACCTCGCCTAAAAAACACGGGGGAAGAGAGTTCATTCAACAAGGGGTTGCGTGGGGTTCAGAGGGGTAAAAGGGGGGTTCGGAGAGGCGTTGGTTGGGAGGGGTTAGGAGGGGTTGGGAGAATGAAAAACACCTCGCCTGGAGGGGACGGATGAAGGGGGGGGAGGGGGTAGGAGGGGAAGGAGGGAGGAAGGCGAGGATCGGGATGACGACAAGGATGATGACGATGATATTCAGAATACATAGAAACCTATAGATGCAGATACGTACCGAGGTTGAGGGTGGCCTGAAGGTACTCGACAGACGAGGAGGTGAACGGTGCAAAGCGGTACTCGACGACGATGCGGAGGATGTGAAGGACAACGAGGATGATGATGGCGATGATACTCAGAATACAGAGAAACCTATTGGTGTGGATTCGTACCGAGGTTGAGCGTAGCCTGAAGGTACTCCACAGAGGAGGAGGTGAACGGTGCACAGCGGTACTGTGCATGATTACCTTTCAGTTCCAGGTGCAGAAATGCGTTACTCACCGAGATTGAGGGTAGCCTGCAGGTACTCCACAGAGGAGGAGGTGAACGGTGCAAAGCGGTACTCGACGACGATGCGGAGGATCTGGAGGACGACGAGAATGATGATCTGCGCCTCGGGGTTCTCATAGAGGAACACCAGGATGCATCCGTACAGCACCCGAAGGGACATGTTGAGGAGGTGCCACCTGGGGGAGGGAGGGGGGGAGAGGGAGGGGGAAATGGGGGGGGAGGAGGGGGAAATGGGGGGGGAGGAGGGGGATTGATGATCTGCGCCTCGGGGTTCTCGTAGAGGAAGACCAGGATGCAGCCGTAGAGCACCCGGAGCGACATGTTGAGCAGGTGCCACCTGGGGGAGGGGTGGTGAAGAGGGGGTGTACATAGGGAAAGCGGAGGGAAGGAGGTTAAACCTCGGGGTTTCGGTAGAGATACACGAGGATGCAGCCGTAGAGCACCCGGTGAGACATGTTGAGAACATGCCACCTGGTCCTGGAGGGTAGAGGGCGAGAAGGAAAGAGGGGAAAGGGGAGTACCCACACCGGAAGCGCACACACACCAGCAGCACTAGCTCCTGATCTCCCGAACTACACTAAACGGTAAAATCTGCGTGCGAATCGCTCGGTGCGAAAGGCAAACTTGTCGTCAAACTAGCAGCTCTCTCACCCCCTACAGCATCAGCAGCAGCAGCAGCACACTCACCAAAATCAGTATCCTTCCCCCCAGAAGCACCCTCTCCAGTAGCAGACCCTTACCAGTAGAACTTGCGCGCGAATCGCTCAGTCAGGAAAGCGTATTTGTCGTCAAACTCGGGGGTGAAGAGAGTGCGATTCCACTTGGCTGAGAAGAGCAGCCACGCGTAGAGCAGCGGCAGGGATAGCAACACCCCCACCCCCAGCAGCACCAGCACCAGCAGCAGCAGCACCAAACTCACCAGAATTAGCACCACACAACACCCTTGTTCCCAGCACCACCAGCACCAGCAGCGAAAACCTTACCAGTAGAACTTGCGGGCAAATCTTTCAGTCAGGAAGGCGTATTTGTCGTCAAACTCAGGGGTGAAGAGAGTGCGATTCCACTTGGCTGAGAAGAGCAGCCACGCGTAGAGCAGCGGCACGCCCGCGAGGTAGACAATGAGGATGATTATAGAGGGGATGAGCATGCCCATGTGCGTTGAGGATAGCCACTCGATCTCTGGGGCGAACAGCATCACCTGGAGGGGGGAAAGGCAGGGGGCAGGGGGCAGGGGGCACGGGGCAGAGGCATTGGGCCTAGCTCAAGACGAGGTTTCGAGTAGACTCGCAGGGAGGGGGATGGAGGGGATGAGCATGCCCATGTGCGTTGAGGATAGCCACTCGATCTCCTCGAGTATACTACAGCACTATATAGCACACACACTTCCAGCCAGCTCGCCACTCCCCCCCCCAACCAGTCCACCCAACCTCCAATCACATGCACATTGCACACCATACTACACACGAGCACCGCACTAAACAGCCACACAGCGTACCTGGGTATCCCCAACCATCTGGCTCTGGAAGACGGGCAGCACGCGCGCGAGAATGCCCATGTAGCACACGTCCAGCCAGCTCGCCACTCCCCCCACCAGCCCGTTGGAATACTCCTGCCGCCGCTGCTTCGCCGCCGTGCTGCTCCGCTGCCCCACGCCCAGCCTCCACTCACACCCAGCCTCCACTCACAAGTGTACCCCAGCCCAGCAAACCTTACCACACATGTGCACCGCACCGCACATACGGACCAAACTAAACACCCCTACACCACAATTAACACCTCCACACCGCACTAAACAGCCACACAGCGTACCTGGGTATCCCCAACCATCTGGCTCTGGAACACAGGCAGCACGCGGGCGAGAATACCCATGTAGCACACGTCCAGCCAGCTCGCAACACCACCGACCAGCCCGTTGTAATACTCCTGCCGCCGCTGCTTCGCTGCTGTGCTGCTCAGCTGCCCCACGCCGCTCGTCTCGCCGTTTTCGGCCGCCCGCTTCGCCTTGAGCAGCTTGATATGCTCGCGCAGCAGGAAGAGGCACCAGTGGAGCGCGTAGACAACGAGGCCGACGAGGAAGATGAGGATTCCAAACACGAACTGCTGCGGGAAGCGGTAGGTCAGCACGCAGTTGGGTCCCACCACGTCCTGGGGATGAGAGGGGAAGGGGGAGGAGGGGGTGAGAAGGGGAGAGGGGGAGAGGAGGGCAGAGGGAGGGCAAGGGCGCAAGGGGGAAGCATGGGGAGGTGAGTAGGGTGAGTAATGCGTGGCTGCAACATTACGATTCGTAGACCTCAACACCTGATGGTGGTATAGCTTGAGATTGAACGCGGATTTTACTCACAGGGTCGAAGACGGAGAGGTTGTAGATCTTAAAGGGACGGTGCACATTTGCCACCCGAAACCCGAAACCCTGGCGAACTGTTACTGCGGAGGAAAAGTGTCCGCACGAAATCCAGGTTTTCGCCAGCCAACACTTTCGCGCTGGCTTTTGAGTCGACTCAAAAGTCACCGCGCTGGCAAGGCTGGTTCAAAACAAAAACTTCTGAACCTCCGCTTGGCAAATGTGCACCGTCGCTTTAATGAGCCATCCCACCCATCCAGTGGGCGAGTTCCATGCAACACAGGTTCAGTGCATGACAAGGCTAGCTTGGGGAACTCACCGGGTCGAAGACGGAGAGGTTGTAGATCTTGATGAGCCACCCCACCCATCCGTTGGGCGCTGCTGGCGCGTTCAGATTAATGGAGGCCACGACCGTGAGGTATTGCACCTGGTGGGGTGGAGGGAGCAGGGGGAGGGAGACATCAAGGGGTGGGGGTTGCATCCAGCGCTCAGGTTTATGGAGGCCACGACCGTGAGGTATTACACCTGGTGGGGTGGAGAGGAGGGGAGGGGAACCGGGTGGGGGATGTTAGAAGAGAGAAGGGCTGACAAAGATTGTCTCACAAGTCGTACACGCCACCCACACCCCGATCATGAGGACTTTCGGGACGTCTCAAAGACCGTCTCACAAGGCGAACACACATCTATGTATCTAGCATGGAGCGTGGAGTGTGGAGCGTGGAGTGTGGAGGTACCTCAGTGAGAAAGATGTCGATGTTATCGTAGTTGTTGGCGAGCAGGAACATGGCCACCCACACCCCCACCATGAGGATGAAGAGCAGCGGGAAGAGCTGGGGGGGAGAGGGGAGGGGAGGGGGGTGCATATAGGTGCAGAGGTACAAATAAAGACACAGGTGTGACTGAGAGCACGCAAATAGTTGTTGGCAAGGGAGAACATGGCCACCCACACCCCCACCATGAGGATGAAGAGCAGCGGGAAGAGCTGGGGCGGAGAGGGGAGGGGAGGGGGGTGGGGGGTGCATAGAGGCACAGAGGTACAAATAAATACAGAGGTGTGAGCGTGAGCACACAAGGGATTGTCGGCGAGCAGGGACATGGCCACCCACACCCCCTTTTGAGGCGCCTCAAAAGCAGGAACATGGCCACCCACACCCCCACCATGAGGATGAAGAGCAGCGGGAAGAACTGCGCGGGATGGGGGAGGGGGGGATGGAGAAGGGAGGAGGAGGAGGGGGGGGAGAACTGGTGGGTGCATGCAAGCACAGAGGTGCGGAGCAACACACAGGTGTGAGTGAGAAGAGAACACAGGTGGTTGTTGGCGAGCACATGTTGCCATGCCAGGAGTTACGTCGTGAAATCACTTTTGAGAATTCTCTAAAGTGGTTTCAACATTGTTGGCGAGCAGAGCACATGTTGCCAGGAGGAGTTACGTCGTGTATTGAGTAGACCCAAAGACAGCAGCAAGAAACACTCAGAGACAATGGTTGGTAACTGCGTGCGTACCTTACGAGTTACAGCGTACCTGTTTGAAAACGCCGCCGCAGGAGTTACAGTCCCCGAGGAAGGAATAGTAGTCGTTGGCGCACAGACAGCACATGCTGTAGGGATGGAGGGACGGAGGAACAGGAAGGACAGGGGGGATGCAGAAGGGGGGGTGGGGTGGGCCAAGCGGAGGAGAGATCCTTGAGATGTAGAATCGCGGACAGCACATGGCGCAGGGAGAGACGGAAGGACCGAGAAACAGGAAGAAAGAGGGGCAAGGTGGGGGCAAGGTGGAGGGGGTGGGCGATGGGGGAGATCCTTGAGATGTAGAATCGCGGACAGCACATGCCGCAGGGAGAGACGGAAGGACCGAGAAACAGGAAGAAACAGGGGCAAGGTGGGGGCAAGGTGGAGGGGGTGGGCGATGGGGGAGATCCTTGAGATGTTTCAAACATGTGTGGCCCATTGGTGCACTACAGCGGAGGGCGGAGGGACTAAGGAGCATGATAAAGGAAGGGAGATGGAGGGGCCGAGGGCAGCAGCACACTCACGGAAAGGAAGTGCAAAAGGCACCACACTCACTCGAGGAGAGGAGGGGCCAAGGGCAGCACACTTATTGAAAGGAGGGGCAAAAGGCAGCACACTCACGGAAAGGAGGGGCAAAAGAGAGGGTTTACGGTGAGGAGGCCCCAAAGGGTTGTAAACAGTGCTTACTCTGTTTTCTGAGAATTCTCAAAAACCAGATTCGGCAAAAGAGGGTGTTTACGGTGCGGAGGGCCCAAAGGGCCGTAAACAGTGCTTACGGCGAGGAGGGGTCGTAGCCGGTGGGGCAGATATCGACGTCTGCGGTGTTGGTGGTGAGGTTGTACTCATACAGATGCTCCACACACCCGTTGGTGATAATGCAACTGTACGTGGTGGGCGTGTCATTATACGTCCTCGGATCCAACCACGCCTGTGTTGCCACCCCCTTGACTCACCCCATCCCTCGACGCACCTCCAACCCACACCCACGGCAAGAGAGGGGCCAAAGGCACCACTACAGTCCCAGGGAAGGAAGGGGAGCCAAAGGCAGAGCACTCACGGAGAGGAGGGGTCGTAGCCGGTGGGGCAGATATCCACATCCGCGGTGTTGGTGGTGAGGTTGTACACATACAGGTGCTCCACACACCCGTTGGTGATAATACAGCTGTACGTGTTGCCACCACCTTGACTCACCCCATCCCTCGACGCACCTCCAACCCACACCCACGGCGACAGAGAGGGACCAACCAACGGCAGCACTACTCACGGAGAGGAGGGGTCGTAGCCGGTGGGGCAGATATCGACGTCCGCGGTGTTGGTGGTGAGGTTGTACACATACAGATGCTCCACACACCCGTTGGTGATAATACAACTGTACGTGGTGGGGGTATCATTATACGTGCTCGGATCCAACCACGCCTGCGTCGCCACCGTCAGTGCGCCGCCCGTGCAATCCAGGTTGTCATCATCACACGCCACGCATTCGTCGGCGGTAGTGGCGTAAGGGTAGAACGTGAAGCTGCCGTCGTCGCAGGGAGTGGAGGGTTGCCCCGCCTCGCACCAGCTACCGACAGGGCACGGGTCACAGGTTCCACTCCCAGTGCTGCTGCTGCTGCTGCTGCTGGTACTACCGGTGCCGTCCCCCCCGGCTCCATCTTCGGTGGTTGTGTTGAGAAAGGTGCCCGCGGCGCAGAAGTCTACAGTGAAGGTGTGTGTTATATCGGGGAACTCATTAGTGGGGCTGGAGACGGTGACGAGGAGGCGGAAGGGCGTGGCCTGGTCGGGAGTGACCATGACGGAGACCTCGGGCAGCTCGGCCATTCCCTGCACCGCCGTTGCTCGGAGCAAACCGGATATGCGGCGATCGGGAGCGACTGCGACGAAGGAGGAGTTGTCCTGAAGGGGAGAGATGGGACGGTGGAGGGAGGACGGGGGACGGAGGAGAGGAGGGAGGGTAGAACGGGAAGGTGGCGTTTGCATGGAGTCAAGAAGGGACAGATGGTGCGAGAGAGCAGCCTCCAAGCAGCAGAGTGCAGCTGGAAGGGTGGCCACCGTCAGCCATGCAATGGGCGTCCCCCAGCCATATGCTGCTACCATTGAAATCACCTGAGCACTCACCTGAACAACAGTGTTGTTATAGTCGTCCACGATGACCACAGTCAGCCCTGCGATGGGCGTCCCCACAGCCGTGAGAGCCACAAATGACGGCACTGTGCTGAGGCCGTTGGATCCCTCATCCATGCCTGGCAACCTCTATCATCCGCTCACCTGAACAACAGTGTTGTTGTAGTCATCCACAATGACCACCGTCAGCCCAGCGATGGGAGTCCCCACAGCCGTGAGAGCCACAAAGGCCGGCACCGTGGTGAGGCCGTTAGCCCCCTCATCCATCCCCGCGAACGTGAAGTAGAAGTTCTTGGGGATGCTGCCAATGGTCTGGCTCTCCTGCTCCCGCACGCACTCCTCGCACCCGATCCGCACGGCTGGGTTGAAGGAAGCTTCGTAGAAGGCCACTCCTTGCGGGTACAGGGCCTCGTTCTCACTGAACGTCAGGTTGGCACACACCAGCGGAGCCAGCTCAGCCTTTCCCACACCCATGCTGCTGCTGCTGCTGCTGCTGTTTGTGTTTGTGCCGCTCACAGCAATACTGGGAGGAGCATTCGCTGCTGCTGCAGCAACCACAGCAGCAGCTGATGCTGATCCTGTAGTCGTGCCGGTAGAAGAATTGCCAGCAGCTGCAGCTCCAGAGGAAGTAATCCCGAGAGTCTCTGCTCGCTTCACGTACACCCCTGCACCGCCCACCACCGCTTTGTTCCCAGTCATCCACGCCCCCTTAAATAACCCGTTTGATTGGTCCAAAAACGCCGCCGCCCCCCCCGCACGGCTTGCGCTGTTCCCCACGAGCGTCAGGTTCCCTGCCGAAATTTTCGAGCTGCCCGCAGCAGCGAGCGCCGCGCCGGTAACCGCGTTGTTCCCCTCGAATCGCGACGCATCCAGAGTCACCTGCGCAGACCCTTCGGAAAAGATTCCGCCGCCCGTGACAGCCGTGTTGTTCGTCAGATTGCTCGAGCGAACAGTGAGAGAAGTTTCGGCGGCTGCCCAAACGGCCCCTCCGGTGCCCTGAGGGGCAGAATTGCCCGAAAAAAGCGCCTGAGTGACAGTAGCCTGAGAGCTTCCCCTCATAAGAACAGCCGAAGCTGAGTTGTTGAGAAACGAGGAGGAGGTGGAGGTGAGAGTCGCATCTGTATCCAGAACCATAGCACCGCCTCTCAGCGCCGAATTCGACCCGAATTGCGACGACAGCAGCTTCACAGTCGCGCTGTGAGTGGCGAAAACCGCGCCGCCTTCAAAACTCGCCTTGTTACCCGTGAAGCTGCTCCGAGTATCCTCCACCACACCCTCCATCTCCACCCAGAGCGCGCCACCTGTCGGGCTCTCATTGGCTGCTACCTCACACCGGGTCATCACCAGCCTACCCGAACCAGACACCTTCCCCACGCCGCCACCACTCCCCGCCCGATTCTCCCTAAACTTGCTCCCCTCGGCAGTAATAGTCGCGAAATCCGTGACCAATAGGCACCCGCCGGCTGCGTCCGCGGCGTTCCCCTGGCAGGAGGAGGATCGGAGGGTGAGGGAGGAGGTTTCCTGGGCGAGTAGGGCCCCGGCAGCAGTGCTGTTGTTTTCGGAGAAGGTGCAGTTGGTGAGATCTGCGGTGCAGTTGAGGCTGCACAGGAACGCGCCTCCCCCCACTGGGGAGGTGTTTCTGGTGAAGGTGGTGTTTGAGAATCGACCCAAGGTTGTTGCTTCTGCGCCTCTAGATCCCTCCACTGAAGACAGAAAGAGTGAGAGGAGGGAGAGAGAGGGGAATGGGGGAGGGAGGGGGAGGGGGAGGAGGAAGTGGGGTTTGAAAGGTGGGACAGAGGACAAACAATGTCTTGGTCTTCTGCTGGGGAATGGTGGCGAATGGTGGGGAATGGTGGGGAATGGTGGGGAGTGGTCTTTCACTTGCAGCAGTGACTTATCCTCCTTCCTCTCACGCCCCCCCCTTTGCGCTGAACAAGGTGCAAAAAAACGACCGAAATATTGAAATTCTGGCGTATAATACGCTATCGTATTTTTCGGCCGTTTAAAGCCAGGATCTCAAGTAGTTTGGCTGTTTTGCAGTTAGTGAATTGTGTTAGGCTGTGATTGGTTGACGAGGTAGAGTAGTTGACGAGAGCTGAAACGAGGGATGCGAAGCAAACAAAAATCGCAGTGAACTTCCGAACCAACTAGGCACGGAAATCTGGTTGGGTTCCGAAGCTCATTTCCCAGCAATGTGTCTCACTTGCCGAAAAATCTCATGCACAGCAATTTGTTTTGCAATTGAGATTCACGGGCAAATCGGGGATCAGTCGCACACTGAACCTCCAACCCAACCACTCGATTTCGCCTAAACAAACAGGGTGACTCGAGCTGCAAGTGTTTTGCAATTGAAGCCAATTTCTCTTACTTGAGATCCTGGCTTTAAAACGTTTTAAAACGCCAAAAAGTGGTAATTCTAATGTGGTGCAAAAAAACGGCCGTTTTTTACAGCAGGAATCTTGAAACCAGTTGGTTTACACATATTTTCAAGTATTGGTTCCAACCATGGCCCTCGATCGGATGAACCAGCCATGAGGAAGACAAAGGGGATTTATCAGTGGGACTGTAGTAGAACGGTGACTCCGGGGAGGAGAGGATGAAGAGTCTGGGGGGGAGGAGGAGGAGGGTTGAACGAGCGCAACCTAGACACTTTGTTAGCATTGTATTGCTTCTTTGCTATCCTGGTCAGGAGCGGAGTCGTGTCTACTGTCTTAAAAAAAAAAAAAAAAACTGTCACAAAACCTCTAACAAAAAAACGGCCAATTTTTTTTAAATCTGACCGTAAAATACGAGCGTAAAAAACGGACGTATTTTACTTTTGCCGAAATTTTGCACCTTGGCGCTGAAGATGGCATGCGACACAGTAACATGCCTAACACTTCATTTATTATGAGACGAAACTCACTTAGACTGAAACACCCTCCCTTGTCATGTCACACTTCCCTCACCTGTGACAGCGCCGCCCTTGAGGTAGGACCAGTTATCGTCAAACAAAGAGTCTTCCACTTGCAGCAGCGACCCCCCGCTGAAGATGGTACCCCTCCCTGCCTCCATCCCCCTCTTCTGTTCTAATACACGTTACATACACAACACCCCACTGCGCCCCTCACCTGTGACAGCGCCGCCTTTAAGGTACGACCAGTTATCCTCAAAGAGAGAGTTGTCCACTTGCAGCAGCGACCCCCCGCTGAAGATGGCAGCCCCTCGCGAGCTGTTGGCTCTGTTGCCTCTGAACGTGCTGCCCTGCACTGTCACGTTGCTGTCCGCCTGTGGGTGTGAAGGGAGGACGGGGATTGAGAGGAGACGAGTGCATAGGAGAGGGAAGCGAGAAGAGGGTGGAAGGCGAGGTGAGCTGTTGGCCCTGTTGCCTCTTAATGTGCTGCCCTGCACTGTCACGTTGCTGTCCGCCTGTGGGTGAAGGGAGCAGGGGGAGGGAAAGAAGGCAGAAGCGAGGGAGGGAGAGCAAACACAAGGCGTGCAATGAGCTTCACTCACCGCAATAATGTAGCTCATTGCGCAAACACAAGGGGCGCCACCGTCCTTGAGCTGCACGGAGTTGGCAGTGAAGGTGGACCCCACGATCTGCAAGCAAGCACCCCGTGCCCTCGCTGTAGATGGCACGCCTCACCCAACAATGCCGTACCACAGTGGCAAACAGAGCACCTACTGGGATGATATACAAAGCACTCACAGCAATGATGTAGAGCGCGCCCCCGTCCTTGAGGTGCACGGAGTTGGCAGTGAAGGTGGAGTCCACGATGCGCAGGTACCCCGTGCCCTCGCTGTAGATGGCTCCTCCCGACCTGCCCATGATGCTGTACCACAGTGGATAGCAGAACACTCACAGCAATGATGTAAAGAGCGCCCCCGTCCTTGAGCTGCACAGAGTTGCTGGTGAAGGTGGAGTCCATTATCCGCAGGTACCCTGTGCCCTCGCTGTAGATGGCTCCTCGTGACCAACAATGCTGTACATACCACAGTGGATAACAGCGCACGCACTGCAGTGACTGCAGTGATGCACGTAGCACTCACGGCAATGATATAGAGCGCGCCACCGTCCTTGAGCTGCACGGAGTTGGCAGTGAAAGTAGAGTCCACAATGCGCAGGTACCCCGTGCCCTCGCTGTAGATGGCTCCTGCCCTGCCCCACGATGCTGCCCCACAGTGGATAACATAACAGAGCACTCACAGCAATGATGTAGAGCGCGCCACCGTCCTTGAGCTGCACGGAGTTGGCAGTGAAGGTGGAGTCCACGATCCGCAGGTACCCCGTGCCCCCGCTGTAGATGGCACTGGTCGTATGCCACACATACCACAGTGGATAACAGAGCACTCACTGGGTGGATAACAGAGCACTCACCGCAATGATGTAGAGCGCGCCCCCGTCCTTGAGCTGCACGGAGTTGGCAGTGAAGGTGGAATCAACGATGCGCAGGTACCCCGTGCCCTCGCTGTAGATGGCTCCGCCCGACCCCGACACACTGTTGCGCTCAAGCGTGCAGTTCTGCACCTCCGCTGTCACCAGCGCCAGCACTGGTGGCGGTGGGTGGGGGAGGGGGGAGGGTGTTGGGGGGAAGGGGAAGGGGGAAGGGAGAGGGTGGTGGGTGGTGACGCACTGTTGCGCTCAAACGTGCAGCTCTGCACCTCCGCTGTCACCAGCGCCAGCACTGGTGGTGGGGGGGGTGATGGTGGGGGTGCGGGGAGGTGGGGAGTGTGAAGATGGAGAGGTGCTCGTGCGTGTGAAGATTGACTCGTGGCCGTCCCACACAGGCAGGCAAGGTACCCTCCGCTGACCCCGACACACTGTTGCGCTCAAGCGTGCAGTTCTGCACCTCCGCTGTCACTAGCGCCAGCACTGGTGGGGGTGGGGGGTGGGGGAGGTGGGTGAGCGTTGGGGGGAAGGGGGAAGGGAGGGGGTGGTGGGTGGTGACGCACTGGTGGTGGCGGGGGAGGTGGGGGTGCGGGGAGGGAGTGAAGAGATGGGGGGAGAAGGGGGGGGAGAGGGGTGGTAAGGGGGGGTGGGGGTGGGGAAGGGGAGATGAAGGGGGAAACGGGAGGGGAGAGGAAGGGGGAAGGAAAGGAGTGTGGGAGGGAGGATTTTTTTTATAACACCGTGATGGTGAAGGTGGCGAATTGACCGTTTCAAAAGCCCCAACCCATTCCCCCTGATCCCCAACTTCCCCACCCAACACCACCCACACCATCCACACCACTCACACCACCCAGACCACCCCTTCGGCCCCTTCCCTCCGCATCACCCCACTCACTTGCGCCTCCCAGCTCGCCGCCCCCATTGTCTCGAAACACCGTGTTGGTGAACTTGGCGACGCCTCCGTACTGGTAGAAACCCCCGCCGCCCTTCGCCTGCGCGGGACAAGTTGGAGCGAGGTGGGAAGCAAGGCAGAGAGAAGGGGACGGGAAGGTGGAAAGGAGATCTGAAGCGAGCAGGAGGGAGGTGCACACAGGACGGGAGATAAAGGACGAGAGCAAGACCTGGAGGGAGAGAGAGAGCGTGGGGGACGGACGGACGGAGGGAGGGCGGGAGGGAAGAAGGGTGGGAGAGGGAGGGGATAGAGCGTCGCCATCATGCCCGCCACCCGACATATACACGCGCCCCTCTCTCTCCCCATTCTCTCGATCAGCAAATGGCGCTTCCCCGTTCTAGCCCAGCTTAGAGAAGGGAACCAGGTCACAGAAAAGGACGCACCAGGTTACGAGAGAAGGTGCAGGAGATGAACTCCTGTGTGGTTACCGTCGACTCGCCATCCTGCCCCACATACACTCCGCCACCATACCCATCCACCGTCGCCGCATCCCCCATCATGATCCCCACGTTATCCTCAAACACCGTCCGCTCCACGCGCGCTGACGTGGCGCTCAGCGATAGGCCGGCGCCCGAGGGCGCGCTAGAAACGTAGTCCATGACATTGCGGGCGAAGGTGGAGTCGGAGATCAGGAGGACGCCCCCCGTGGCGGACAGGCCGCCTCCTAGGTATGTCGCATAGCCGTCAGAGAAGGTGCACTTGGTTAGGGTTGCCTGCACAGTGGAATGAGAAGTGGGTGGGAAGGAGGAAAAGGGGATTTGAGACGTCTTGAAACGAGAATGTAGTCCACTCCACAACGCTGTTGTTGAGGGGCCTCAAAGAGGGGGTGGGAGGGAGAAAAGGGGGATGTGGGACGCCCGAGGGAGCGCTGGAAACGTAGTCCATGACGTTGCGGGCGAAGGTGGAGTCGGAGATCAGGAGGACGCCCCCCGTGGCAGACAGACCTCCTCCTAAGTATGTGGCATAGCTGTCAGAGAAGCTGCACTTGGTTAGGGTTGCCTGGGTAAGATCAAATGGACGGAAGGGATGGGGGGCGGGAGATGAGGGGGTGAAAAGGAGAGAGCAGACAGAAACAGGAGGGGATTCAGTTGGTTGGAGACGCCTGCGTTGTTCAAGACGTCCCGAGAAAGCTTGATCGCTACTCAGATTATGAGGACGAGAAAAGGAGGATGAGGCTTTGGGCGTGGAGATCATGAGAGCATCCGGGCACGGAGGCATGATGGCGATTCCGTGGAGCAATTCGGTGCTAGGGAATTTGGACGACGGAGGTGCCAGACCCCCATCCGCCTCATCACCATCACAGGCCCGTCTTCCCGTCGTCCAAATTCCCTAGCACCGAATTGCTCCACGGAATCGCCATCATGCCTCCCTGCCCGGACACTCTCTAATCTCCACGCCCCAAGCCTCGCCCCTCCTATTTCCGTCCTCATAACAATGCATCCACAAGCCTCGTCCTCAGAACAGCCACTCGAAACAGAAGTCAGCCACACATACCTGGTGACTGTGAACACCCATGCGCCTCCTGACTCATATCCGTGACACTCTTGGTGGCATGGCATGGCACTAACGAATGTCCTCTCATAATGCTTACGCAAGCACACAGGTGCATACCTGAGTGACTGTGTACACCCACGCGCCTCCTCCCTCGTAATCCGTGACACACTTGGTGGCAATAACGGATGTGACTGTAACCGTCTGCGTGGCGTGCACTAATGACCAATCTGCCCTCATGATGCTTTAGGCTGCAAGAGCACAGGTGCATACCTGAGTGACTGTGTACACCCACGCGCCTCCTCCTTCATAGTCAGTGACACACTTGGTGGCATTTACGGATGTGACTGTAACCGTCTGCGTGGCGTTCAGCGCCATACACCCCCCGAAGCCGTAGCCTGCCGCGTACACGCCAGCTGGCAGCGTGCCATTGGAGGAGCAAGCGGTGAGCGAGGAGGAGGAGAGGGCGTAGGAGGAGGAACCCTCGTCTGCGATAGCCCCTCCAAGGACAGCCTGGGGGGAGGTGAGTGAGAGGGAGGTGTGGGAGAGAGAGAGGTGAGAGATACTAGCAGGGCATTCTCCTCTCACCCAATAATCAGAAACAAGCATCCCACTCACCAGTCCGTTGCTGACTGTCAACCCATCGATTGACACACTCGAGTACATGGTCGCAATCGCCTCACCTCCCACCCTCCTTGACAAGCCTCACCACCAACACACACAAGAAGTAAGAATCCCACTCACTCACCAGTCCATTGCTGACAGTCACCCCATCCATGAACACACTCGAGTACATGGTCGCAACCGCTCCACCACCCGCCATTTTTTACAAACCCCACCACCACACACCAGAAGCAAGCACCTCACTCACTCACCAGTCCGTTGCTGACAGTCACCCCATCAATCGACACACTCGAGTACATGGTCGCAATCGCCCCGCCCCCTCCCCACACACTCACTGTCACACAACCACTGTCTCACCAGAAATCAGCATCTCACTCACCAGTCCATTGCTGACAGTCACCCCATCGATGGACACACTCGAGTACATGCTCGCAATCGCCCCGCCGAAATACGCCTGGCACCCGGACATCTCCCCTCCATCCACCTCCACCTTCACATTCCTAAACAGCAGCGCCCCTCCCGCCCCGTTCTCCGAACTGCACCCTGTCGCCGTCACCCCGGACAGCTTCGCCCGCACGAGCCCGCCTCCCGCAGCCGCGCCTCCCCCAGGTGCAGCCGCCCCTGGGTCTGGCCCGGAGACGCTGATAGCGCCGCCCCCCGAGTTGTACATGTAGGTGAGGTCTGAGCCGGGCGCGGAGCAGGCGGAGAAGGAGGCGGAGGCGAGGGTGAGCGACGCGCCCGCGCCCTGCACTGCCACTGCGCCGCCCAGGTTGGTTGCCGTGCAGCGGGAAAAGGCCACGTTGCTGCGGGGATGGGGGGTGGACAGGGGATGGCGGGAGGAGGGGGAGGGAGAACGGGGGGAGGAGATTGGGGGAGAGAGGCGGAAAGACGGGAGAGAAGACGGGGGGAGGGAGAGTCAGTTATCTGCGCAGCAGGCGCCGTGGTCTTGGCCCCAGCCCAGTGGCGCAGCGAGCACCGCCTCCCGTGTTTTACATGCAGGCGAGGTGGGGCACACACACTTAAGTGCGCGATATACGAATTCCTATTTCGTTTCGACTGCCATACATCAACCATGCCATGGTGCCTTCGACTCAACGGTCGGCGCACGAACAGCATGGCATGGCACGGAATTCGTAATCTTCCTCCATACAGCCATCGCCTGGGGGCCTACCTAGGGGAATACTCACTTAATAACCAGGCCCTGCCCTCGCACATCCACGCATCCTCCCGAATCGGCCGACACGCCATTTGTCAGCGTGAACAGCGCCAGCGTCAGCACCACCTTGCTCCCCGCGCCGCACCCCGCGCCAGCACACGTGGCGTTCAGGCACGGGCCGCCGCCGCAATCGAGCGTGATAGCAGCGGGAGACGCGGGGGTGGATGCGGGAGGGGCGCCGGTGATGGTGAGAGATTTGCCGCCCAGCTGAACGGCGGATTTGGTCGGCGAAGATTTGATTGCGGATGGGGGAGAGCCGGCGGGGGGCGGGAGGAGGGTGATGGTGGCGGAAGGTGCCGCCCTGGCTACCGCTGCTTGCAGGGTGGCTGCGGGGGGGGAGACGGGGAGAACGGGGGGAACGCGAAGGAGCGGCGGGAAGCGGGAGGACAAGGGGGAATCAGGGGGAAATATGATTACGGGGAACAAGGGGGGAGTGAGGGCTGAGGTGGGGAGTGAGGCGGGGAAAATGGGGGGGAAGCGGGGAGGAGAAGAGATGGTTCGGTGGATGGAGCGGGAAAACGGGGCGCCAGGCATGAGGACAAAGCCGACAAGGTACAGATAGGACAAGGGAGAAGCAGACGAAGTGCGGAAAGGACAAGGGAGAAGCAGACACAGTACGGATAGCAGACGGGGAAGGACAAGCAGCGAAGGCAGAGCAGCGTACCACAGGGTGCGGTGGTGGGGTCGCAGCAGCCGGTGTCGCTGCCTTTGAGACGTCTCAAGGCCGACACAGACAAGGTACGGATACTACACGGGCAAGGAAGGACAGGCAGCGAGGGCAGCGCAGCGTACCACAGGGAGCGGTGGTGGAGTCGCAGCAGCCGGTGTCACTGCCCGTGCTGGCGACGTAGAGCTTGGCGAGAGAGGTGCACGACGGCGGGATCTGCTGCGACGACGCTGCTGGCGACAGAGAACGAGAGAGAGAGGGAGACGGCGGGAGGGAGAAGAATGGAGAGGGAGTTGGAGGGGGGGGAGGGGATGGGTGAGGAGGGGATGGTCTCGAATGTGCTGAAGAATGGCGGCTGGGGAACGCCGGAACGAAGGTTAAGTCAACCGTCAGCCGCTACTTTGGTGACCCAGCAGGCAACAAGACGGCCGTCCGCGAGTCTCAAGCACAAGAGGAGGCGAAGGGGTTAACAGGTGACAGATAATTTGCTCAGCTTTTCTCCGTGTATCGACGTGAATTTTTTCCCGTGTATCCGCACGTCACCTAACTGACCATTCCCAGCACGCCATAACCTAGGGAATTCAACAGCAAGAAACAGCAACAGTAGGGCTTCGAGGGCCACTGCTTCGCGGAATGATTTGCAGAACGAGCTGTAACGAGAGGAGGAAACTGGTGCGGTAGCGGAGCGAACAAACTCGTGCTAGGGAAGCGAACGAAGCTAAGGTTCCCTTTGAGTCGACTTAGAAGTCACCTCGTTTTAAGTCGAGTCAAGAACAACTACTTAGCGGGAATGACTACCTGAGCGAGCCGTGACTGCGAGTAAACTAGCGAGGCAGCAGAGCGGATAGAGCCGAGGTTCTTTTTCAGCCGAGCTGAAAGTCACCTTGTTTTGAGCCGACTCAAAATCAAGCTTCTCGCGAATGACGTGCAGTACGACCCGTAACAAGAGTGAACTAGAAGAGCGAACAGAACGAAGGTTCTTTTTAAGTCAACTCAGAAGTTGACTTCGGAGCACGCGTTTGGAGCAACCTTAGCTCCCAAGTCAACCCAAAGCGAACTGCGGTACGAGAAGTCACGACAGGGAACTAGTGAGGTTGAGGAGCGAAGAGAGGTAAGATTCCCTTCAGGAGGCACGATGGCATTATCTTCTAAAAGGACGTCAGAGCGTTTTCGCTTCGTGTACCGTCGTATGCATGGCGTTAGGAAGCATTGCAAGCATGGGGTGAGGTAACATCGCAAACAATCGCTTTAGGAAGCGTCGTAAGCATGTCTTTTATATAACGAGAGCGTGAGCGAGAACACGCACTTCTGGAGATGCTGGTGAAGACTAGGATGGCTAGTAAGCAGGATAACCGTCTCGTCGCCATTGTCGCTCGCCTCGACGATGCTGCCGAAGCTACGTGAAGGCTAGTCATGAGCTCACAACATTTGAAGCAGCGGTAGCAACAATGTGGGAGATGGCGGTTGTCCTACTCCAGAAAAATAGTTGCGATATAATTTACAATAAATAGTCTGGAAGCAAATGAAGGGTCCCCTGAAGCGAACGCAGCGGCCCGGGTCTTTTGCCTGGGGGAAACGTAACGCTTCTCGCGACTACTATACAGATTCCAGCCCCGAGCTATGCCGTATCATAGACAACCCTAAAAGCTTCTCGGTCTATGATGGGTTTGCTGTTAGGTTAGGACGGAATTCTTCAAGTGGTCACTCTGTCTGTGGGAGTGACTGCCTGTGGTGGTAGGTGGTCTGTTCTGTACGTTCAGAGTGCTCGGTCAGTACGGTAATCTCGAGAAAAAACAATCCCAGTGCTGCTCTCTCCTCTCAACTATTTCCAAGGACTTCACGACGGTGTCTGTTCCACACTTACGCGACACAAATGGTTTCTTGCGATTGTCGTGAATGTCCTTGCAGTGGTTGAGCTCTGCGAGCCGTTCGCGAATTACAGGTTGCGACGGACGGAAGACCGAGACCGTGTTGTCAGTCGTCCTCGTGACAACCGGGGGGGAGTTGGCCATTAGGGTTAGTGGCCCACTGGAGGCGGAACAGCCAATAGTACACATCGAACCCAGTCGGTACGATAGCGAAGCAGCACTAATAACGAAGATCATTGAGAAAACGACACAAGAGTTGAGGCCGTGACTTGTCTTGTTGGACCTACCTCAAACTGTTCGTACTTTTCACGCGGCGAAATTGCACCACTGCAGACTCCGCGTGTAGGGCCGAAATGCTCGTTCAGCGATCCGTTATTGCACTCCAAGCAGTGACAGCGTTGAGGTGTACATTGGCACCCTTTTTGGACAACCTGAACTGTTGTTCACAAGCTAGGCCAACAACATTACAATATGGTTTGAGTATATATGTGCATCTGGCTTGGGTATTTTGTATGGATTATGTCTGCACACTTTTATGCACCATGTATTTTGAACACAACACCATCAATTTATAGTGCAATGCATATATGTATACCCAACGAGCCCTTCACTCGGTAGGTTGAGATGCTCTCAATGCATTTGCTATGTGGATATCAAGCAAGAAGCATATCTCGTCGCCCTGCAAGACGCGGGGTGCCATTACATTAGCGATACGTTTGCATGACACCACACACTGCATAACCATAAAACGACATTTACTCACCCCGGTTGTTGCAAACTCGAACGAGTGTAGCTCGTCTTGTAGAGTCATGCTGAAGAATATTCTATCCGGCTGCCCTGCATACTCGGCGAGCTCTCTCAGCTCTGCTTGGTGGATGACCGACCGAATCTCTGCATCCAGAAAATGCAGCTGCCAACCATTCCAATCCAATGCAGGGGAAACACAAGTAGCCGTCAGATGCCAGAGGAAAGGATTGTAGGTTCTGAGGATTTGAAGTGCATACATTTCTGCGGATGGCAATTTCAGATTTTAAACATTACATGTGGAAGTATAATGAAAAACAAAGGAAAAGGCATAAAGCTCCGCAGTGACATGGAGAATGCAGCTCACCCCGTTGTAGTTGTCCGCCACAATGACATGCTTTGGGAAAGTAACAGGCCATGCGCTTCTCGGTATTCTCAAGACTGAGAAGACTGAGCCTCCCTGAGGGATTTTTTTCGAGTATTCTCAAAGGGAACTCAGCTCACCCCGTTGTGGTTGACTCCCACGATGACATGCTTGGGGAAGTAGTTTGCCGTGTCCTCCTCTGTACGCAGGTCAAAGAAGACTGACCCGCCCTGTGGGATCATGTTTAAGAATTTCCCAAAAGTCACACAGCTCAGCTCAGCTCACCCCGTTGTGGTTGACTCCCACAATGACATGCTTGGGGAAGTAGTTGGCCGTGTCCTCCCCCTTACAAATGGCCAAAGAAGACTGACCCGGCCTGAGGGATCTATGTTGAGAATTCCCAAGAGCAACTTAGCTCACCCCGTTGTGGTTGACTCCCACGATGACATGCTTGGGGAAGTAGTTGGCCGTGTCCTCCTCTGTGCGCAGGTCAAAGAAGACTGAGCCGCCCTGAGGAATCTCCAGCAGAATCCGCACAAACTCGCGCATCGTGGCTTCGTGGTCCAGCGACCACTGCACAGGCACGGGAAGCACGTGCGAGGAGGGACAACAGTTGGCGATTTGAGTTGAGGAATGCCAAGACTGATCTCCAGCAGGATTCGCACAAACTCCCTCATCGTGGCTTCGTGATCTAGCGACCACTGCACAGGCATGGGGGGGATGAGAAGCATGTGTATGCGGGGACAAAAGGAGAGCATAACAAGCACGCAAGAAAGGACGCTGGTAAACGAGGAGAAGCGCATCATGGCTACAAATGAGAAGCACTTCTTGCACAGCCAGACAGAAATGAGGTGTCTTTTGAGTCGGCTCAAACGTCAACGCATACGGCTACAAATGAGAAGCACTTCTTGAAGAGGCAGACAGAAATGACTGTGACAGACAATCGAGATAGGAGAAGAAAAAATCTGGGAGAGAATGGATGCATGGGTGTGACGAGGAAAATGTTGTAGTATCACAGTATCACCTCAACAGTAACGTTTCAAGGGTTTATTAAAAGCGTGTATGTGTGCGTTTGTCTGTGCGTGCTTCCTTGTCTTTTACTGTAAGATAAACGGTGGTTCGTTACCAGGGTTCTGTAGGGTTCGAGGATGAGGTTCATCCACTCGTCCTTGGAGTGCAGGCGCGACACAATCTTTGGGATAGACCTCTTCATCTGTATGCTCCACTCCCTGCCGTATATGGGCGCGCAAGCAAGGACCAAAAGCATGCGAAGAGGAAACGCAGGGGACAGAATGTATGAGGGTTCTGTAGGGTTTGAGGTTGTGGTTCATCCAATCTTTGGGACAGACCTCTTCATATGAATGCTCCACTCCCTGCAAGGCGAGCATGCAAGGCGAGCATGCAGGGCATCAGCCGAGGAAAGCTTGTGCTCACCAAAAACGCATAACTTATACCTGACTGAGAAGTAATGTTTTCATCAGCCAAGGAATGTTTCCATTATGGCTGGGTTGGGTTGGCATTCTGCTTACAGGGCCGTTTCAGGGTTGGCGATGACCCCGATCTCCCCGGCTATTTGCAGCGCTGCCAGCACCACTGCTCCCTCCACTGTCACCAGATAGTGGTTTGTGAGATAGTCGTACCGGAGCTGGTAGGGACGGGTGGGTGGGAGGGTGGGAGGGGGGAGGGAGGGGAAGAGGAAGCAGCACCCTTTGAGCTGCCAGCACCACTGCTCCCTCCACTGTCACCAGGCAGTGGTTTGTGAGATAGTCGTACCGGAGCTGTTACAGGTGGGAGGGTGGGAGGGTGGGAGGGGTGAGGAGGGAAGGGAGGGGGAGAGGCAGGCAGGCCGCACCACTCAGAGCACGACAGATCCCTCAACGGTCACCAGATAGTGGTTTGTGAGACAGTCGTAGCGGAGCGGTTAGAAATGGGTGAGTGGGAGGGTGGGAAGGGTGGGAGTGGTGAGCAGATAAGAGGGGGGAAGAGGCAAGCGGGCAGCACCCTTTGAGCTGCCAGCACGACTGCTCCATCCACTGTCACCAGGTAGTGGTTCGTGAGATAGTCGTACCGGAACTGTTAGGAATGGGGGGGTTAGGAATGGGGGGATGGGGGGTTGGAAGGCATGGGGGGTATGTGAAGGCAGCTGTGATGGCGGAGCTGTTAGGAATGGGGGTTTGGAAGGCATACGAGGAGGAGGGTTTCAAGGACCATGTTGGCACAGAACGGTGCGGCACATGGATGATGGGGCGTGTGGATGATGGGGCGTGTGGATGATGGGGCGTGTGGATGACGGAGCTTTGTTCCCCGCGTGTGTGCCACGGCAGCTGATATGCATACCTGCGCGGGTGCGCGTCTCACCCTCACGCGGTCACATGTTTCAAAACTGAGGATTCTACTACCCACCTGTGCGTAGCTCAGGACCCCACACCACACACCCCCACCGCCCACCGCCCACCACCCACCCATCACCCACCACCCACCCATCACCCACCTGTGCATAACACAGGCGCACGTGCTGCAGGTCGGCAGCGAGTGCATCGTCTGTCTTGAAGAATCGCTTCTTCAGCAGCAGCTTGCACGCCACTAGGCTGCCGCGTGCCGCTTTCACATACTCCGCCATCACATCCGATACATAGGCCTCTGGGTCCAACGGCACATGGTCTGGTGGGGGCAATGGGAGGAGTGAGTGAGGATGGGAGAGTATGAGGGCATGGTGGGAGTGCAGCAGCGTGCACGCCACGAAGCTTCCCCTCGCTGCCTTCACATACTCCGCCATCACATCCGAGACATACGCCTCAGGGTCTAACGGTACATGGTCTGGTGGGTGTGGGTGTGGGGGGACGGGGTGGGAGAGCATGTGGGAGTGCTTCAGCTTGCATGCCACCAGGCTGCCGCGTGCCGCCTTCACATACTCCGCCATCACATCTGATACATACGCCTCGGGGTCCAACGGTACATGGTCTGGTGGGTGTGGGGGGACGGGATGGGAGAGCATGTGGGAGTGCAGCAGCTTGCATGCCACGAGGCTGCCCCGCGCTGCCTTCACATACTCCGCCATCACATCTGATACATACGCCTCAGGGTCCAACGGTACATGGTCTGGTGGGGGCAATGAGAGGAGTGAGTGAGGATGGGAGAGTATGAGGGCATGGTGGGAGTGCAGCAGCTTGCACGCCACTAGACTGCCACGCGCCGCTTTCACATACTCCGCCATCACATCCGAGACATATGCCTCAGGGTCTAACAGTACATGGTCTGGTGGGTGTGGGGGGGCGGGGTGGGAGAGCATGTGGGAGTGCAGCAGCTTGCATGCCACGAGGCTGCCCCGCGCTGCCTTCACATACTCCGCCATCACGTCTGATACATACGCCTCAGGGTCCAACGGTACATGGTCTGGTGGGGGCAATGAGAGGAGTGAGTGAGGATGGGAGAGTATGAGGGCATGGTGGGAGTGCAGCAGCTTGCACGCCACTAGACTGCCACGCGCCGCTTTCACATACTCCGCCATCACATCCGAGACATATGCCTCAGGGTCTAACGGTACATGGTCTGGTGGGTGTGGGGGGGCGGGGTGGGAGAGCATGTGGGAGTGCAGCAGCTTGCATGCCACGAGGCTGCCCCGCGCTGCCTTGACATACTCCGCCATCACGTCTGATACATACGCTCGGGGTCTAGAGGCACGTGGTCTGGTGCAGGGAGGAGCGGGGGGGTGGATGGCATGGGATGGGATGAGAGAGCATGGGAGCACCAAGCATCATGTGCGTCGGAAACGCTGCCTTCACATGCTCTCAGCCATCACGTCTGATCTGACACATAGGCCTCGGGGATCGGGGTGCCTTTTCAGTTGACTCAAAAGTTGCCTTCACATGCTCAGCCATCACGTCTGATCTGACAAATAGGCCTCGGGGATCGGAGGCGCCTCAGCATCAGCACCAAAGAGACGAGAATTGAGAATCAGCACCGGACCCAGCAGCAACAGAAATACTAAATCTCAGATCCGCAGCAGCGCACTGACCAATGGTGGGGTCGCTGTGAGTGGCCCCCATGGATTTGTAGATCCGACAGGTGAAGAGGGCGATGGGATGGGATGGGATGGGATGGGATGGGATGGGATGGGATGGGATGGGATGGGATGGGATGGGATAGGATGGGATGGGATGGCATGGGATGGCATGGGATGGCATGGGATGGCATGGGGTGGCATGGGATGGGATGGGATGGGATGGGATGGGATGGGATGGGATGGGATGGGATGGGATGGGATGGGATGGGATGGGATGGGATGGGATGGGATGGCATGGCATGGCATGGGATGGCATGGGATGGCATGGGATGGCATGGGATGGCATGGGGTGGCATGGGATGGCATGGGGTGGCGTGGGATGGCATGGGGTGGCGTGGGATGGCATGGGATGGCATGGGATGGCATGGCAAGGGAGTCAAACTGACCAATGGTGGGGTCGCTGTGGGTTGCCCCCATGGATTTGTAGATCCGGCAGGTGAACAGCGCGAATGAGGTGGTGTCTGTCACTTGTAGCCTCTGCAGCAGCAGCTGCATATCAGAGACAGGAGTAGAGGCGAAGAAGCAAGGGATGGGGAATTATTGGATGGGAAATGGGGTGATAGAGATTTGCTCAAACCACCAAGGACACAAAGGACGGCCAAAATTCGTCCACCTGGGAGTGGCCTCTCCATTAGTGCGCAGCACACTGCTCATTGCTCATCGTGAGGGGTGCGCACAAGCCGTGAGTCACGGCACTGCTGTTGTTGTTGAGTCAACACACAGGAGACCTCAAAGCGGCTCACCTGCATGGCCTCGCTAATGGTGGCAACGGCGCTGCTGTGAATGACATGTCCTCCCTCCCACCAATATCACTCACTCAAATACACCGGCAGGCAGGCACCATCCGAGGCGTGTGCTGCTCACTGCTCACTGCGCTGCCGTGTTGTTGAATGAACACAACAGCCGCTCACCTGCATGGCCTCCCCGATGGTGGTAACCGTGCTGCTAGGAATGTTCTCCAGGGTGTCGTCGCACAGATACACCGGCGGCAGCAGGGGGTGTGTGCTGCTCACTGCTCCTTGCCTATGCTGCTCAGTGCTCAGTGTGCTGCTGTGGGTTGATTCAACACAAAGGACGGCCCAAAGCGGCTCACCTGCATGGCCTCCCCGATGGTGGTCACTGCGCTGCTGGGAATGTTCTCCAGCGTGTCGTCACACAGATACACCGGCACTGACAGGGGTGTGTGCTGCTCACTGCTCACTGCTCACTGCTGCTCACTGCTGCTCGCTGCTCGCTGCTCGTTGTGCTGCTGGGTTGTTGAGGGAACACAAAGGACGGCCCAAAGCGCCTCACCTGCATGACCTCGCCGATGGTGGTAACGGCGCTGCTAGGAATGTTCTCCAGCGTGTCGTCGCACAGATACACCGGCAGCAAAAGAGGCGTGTGTATTGAGACACCTAGACACTCAACGTGCCACAAGAGGCGTATCCTCTTCTTCTCACTTGCATTCCCTCACCTGCATGGCCTCCCCAATGGTGGTGGCGGCGCTGCTGGGAATGTTCTCCAGGGTGTCGTCACACAGATACACCGGCACTGACAGGGGTGTGTGATATGTGAGCCGCTCTCTCCATCACTACCAGCATCTCACCTGCATGGCCTCGCCAATGGTTGTCACTGCGCTGCTGGGTATGTTCTCCAGCGTGTCGTCGCACAGATACACCGGCACTGACAGGGGTGTGTGCGTCAGCAGCGAGAGCACCTGACAGGCACACACATGGAGCGGGCAGAGCGGGGGGAAGAGGATCACTCGGAGAAGAGAATCAGAGGTGAGCATTGCATCACTTCCGCATCCCAGCACAACAGCCTGTACCCACTCATCTGGCCCGCATCACTTCCCACCTCGTCCTCCCCTCTTCCCTCACCTCATCTTGCCCCGGCACGCATCTCCTTGGCCCGTGCTTCAGCCCGTGGTCCAGCGCCTTCCACACAGCTAGCACCGCCTCTAGAACAGCCTCGTCCCCGCCTCGTCGGCTACAACTAGCCCTACCCACGCATTCTCACCACCTCACCCTCTCCTCTGCTCTCACCTCATCTTGCCCCGGCACACATCTCCTAGGCCCGTGCTTCAGCCCGTGATCCAGCGCTTTCCACGCTGCCAGCACGGAGTGCCAAAGAGTACTTAAAAGTACCAAGGTTTGATGCATATCAATCGTACCCACCTCGTCCTGTCCTGGCACGCATCTCCTGGGGCCGTGCTTCAGCCCGTGGTCCAGCGCCTTCCACACAGCTAGCACCGCCTCTAGAACAGCCTCGTCCCCCGCCTCGTCGGCTACAACTAGCCCTACCCACGCATTCTCACCACCTCACCCTCTCCTCTGCTCTCACCTCATCTTGCCCCGGCACGCATCTCCTGGGGCCGTGCTTCAGCCCGTGATCCAGCGCCTTCCACGCTGCCAGCACCGCCTCTCGAACAGCCTCGTCCCCCGCCTCGTCTGATACGAGCGAGGAGAAGTACTCTGAAAGAGGCCCCGCAACGGTGGTGGTGGGGGGGAACACGCCCGCACACAGCCGCATCAGCTCCCACACCTTCAGGCACGACGCTCTGGGGGAAGGATAGTGAGGGAGGAGAAAGCGAGGGAGAGGCAGGGAAGTGGACGGTTCAGGTGGTTGAAATCAAAATAATCATTGGCAGAAGAATCATCATGCAGCGGCTCTTTCCCTAGGTCCAGAAACGCGCGTGCCACCAGCGCAGCGCCACCTCCTCCGCGCCACTCGCACCACTAGCAAACTCCTGATGCGCCTCAAAATACTTTTGAGACGACTTATAAGGCGCCTAAAAAGTCGTGAGGCGCCTCAAAAGCCACCTCCTCCGCGCCACCCGCACCACTAGCAAACTCCTGAACTGAATCAAGAGCAGCCTTTCTGAGAGCGACCACGACCCCCCGGCCACGACCCCCCGCCCACCCACCAGCCACCACCCACCCACACTCATGCACTCACTTGTACTCGTTCCCTCGTGTTTGCTTCCACAGCTGCACGAACAACTCATCCCGCAGCGGCGGCTCCTTCCCCAGGTCCAGAAACACGCGCGCCACCAGCGCCACCTCTTCGGCGCGGGAGAGCATCTTGCCCTCGTGCACGCCCATGAACCGCAGCACGTCGCTGAACAGGCGCGTCGCGGGCTCGTGCAAGACACCGCTTATTCGCAGCATTGAGGCTGGAATGGCGTCCTGTGTGTGCGGGGGGGAGCAAGGGGGAGAGAGGGGATGGGGGCAGGCGAAGGAGTGGGGAGGAGGGGATGGGACTCGTGGGAGGATTGATAGGAAAGGCACCAGCACCAGGAACCCCGTGCAAGCAACCAGCGCCACCTCCTCGGCGCGGGAGAGCATCTTGCCCTCGTGCACGCCCATGAATCGCAGCACGTCGTTAAATAGCCGCGTCGCGGGCTCGTGCAAGACACCGCTTATTCGCAGCATGGCGGTTGGGATGGCGTCCTGTGCGGGGAAGGGGAGCCCGGGCGGGGTGATCGGCGGGGGGAGGAGGGAGGGGGAGGGGAGGAGGAGCAGGCGAAGGAGTGGGGAGGAGGTCACAGGAGGGAATCCCCTAGAAGGCACCCCCTGCAAGCAACCAGCGCCACCTCCTCGGCGCGGGAGAGCATCTTGCCCTCGTTGAACAGCCGCGTGGCGGGCTCGTGTAATGTGCCGCGCAGCCGTAGCATGGCTGTGGGGATGGCGTCCTAGGAGGCGAGGGTGGATGGTGGTCATGGTGGGGTGGGGAGGGTGGGGTTAGAGGGGATGGGGGGGAGTACCCGCAGGGGAGATAGGGGCGCGGGGAGGGGGCCCAGTGGGGCCCACGGGGAGTAGGGGGGCGGGAATCATGGGCAAGATTGACTGATTAGGCAGCGGGACCAGGAAATCGCTCAATCAGGACCAGCATCGGTACTTTCTCAGCGCAGATGAGCATCTGGTTGAAACGGTAAGTGCATGAATCCGTACCTGTTGAAACGGTAAATGCATGAATCCGTACCTGTTGAAACGAGAAGATGTCTCGGACCGAGGACTGCTGCTCGGCCTTTGTGGTTATATTTGGAAATCATGAGGCGCGTCTATTGCTTCGAGGCGCCAACCGCTCAGCCCTCAAGGGTAGCTTATCTCCCTATCTCCGTACCTGTTGAAAAGAGAACATGTCTCGAACCGTGTACTGCTCCGCCTTGGTGGTACCCGGGCCGACGACGCCCAGCAGTCGTCGCCTGGCGACAGCGGTCGCACGAATGTCCAGCATCGCTGCGACGAATGCCTCCACGTGGCAGATGTCGTACAGCTCCTGCACGGCCTCGAGAGTACCGCCGGGAACCAGCCTGGTTCGAACGGAAACATTGGCAGGAGTCGAGGCGGTTTATAAGTAGCGTTCGAAATAAATGGCTGGGTGGGGTGAGTATGGGGATGCTAAGGACTACGATGGTTCGAAATTTGGCGGCTGTTTTGAAAGGAGACTCAGCCTGAACGAGAGGAGGCCGTATTCCTAGAGCTATCTTACCGCTAGAGCGGATAGCGTCAAATTTCTTGTGAAATAAAGCAACTCGAGGAGCCTATGAAGGCTGCTAGCCCGTGACCACCTAGATTCCGAAGCAACTACCTGTCCATCTTCCCCATAATTTTTTTACGCCGGAGAATACGTTCACACGAAGAACGAGTCCGTGTCCGGAGGTTAAGGGTACTCACATGACGTCTAGAAACGCCTCTTTGTAGTCCATTTCTGGCGCGTCTTTTAGAGATATCGAGCTCTCCATCATGGCTGCTCTTGTCGTCGCCACCACCATTCTACTTTTGAGCTTTACAGGCTAATGATGCCAAGAGCACGCGCTCAGTTCGAGACAGGTTTTAGGTCGTAACTTGTTGAACTGGAATCCAACGACTACTGATTTCCTGTTCCACAGTCACTTGTGCGTTGCTGCTATATTTTTCTTCCTCAACAACGACGTATTCTAATACTTGCGTCTCGGCGTGAGGTGAGCACAGAACGCCTCGTTCCAAAGCTTTCGAAGCCTTTGTGCACCAATTCCTTCGCAGGTTGATCCAAATACCTCAGGCGCTCAACGAATTCTCTAGAATGCGTCTATGCATATTTTACGATGGAGTTGAGAAGCTGAGAGAGAGGGAGAAGTTTAGTGGCCAGTAATCCCAAGGCCGACATACACCACCACGCCGAGCCAAACCCAGCCAAGCCAAGGTTGCCAAATTTCAAGTTCCAAGCCCAAGGCGTGTCCGAACCGAATACACTGATTCAGCGACTCGGCTCGGCTCGCCAGAGAATGACGCACAGATGAACGAATCTGCGTGTAGACCCTGTACCGTTCTAATTGCCTAATCCACCACGCCGTACCCTCAGTCGCATCACAAAAGGTCACACCACCATGACAATGCCGCCCAACACATCCCGTCCCGTGACCGAGGGGAGCACGGGCAGTCCCAAGCCAAGTCGCCAGATGTTAGGCGAGCTAACCAATCGAAAGGCTTGATTGACTGCAGTTCAGCAACCAACAGACCGCCCTCCACAGAAGCTTTCTGGAAGATTGTTTCTTGCACCTCGAAATGTTTTCCCGCCACAAATGTTTCTGAAGCCGAAGCGCTCTTGTTTGCTCTGCGTCGCCACTTTTGCTTGAGAGCTGTCGTGGTGCGATGGTCAATGCGTTCGAAAGATTGACATCATGCACAAAGTTTCAGTGGAAATTGTGCAACCAGTACGATGTATTTATGACAAACAATGCACAAACAAATGGCCCTTATGAACTACACCTTACAAGTGAAGCCAAACTAATTGACGTAATCAAGAGTTCCCTCAAGAGTTTCAAGTATTTCTGGATTAACTCCATTACCTGGCCATATCATCCCCTTGTCCTTCCCATCTCAGCCATAAGAAGGGGGTCGTTCTCCGAACGAACGTTGTCCTGCAGGTGAGTATAAAAAGGAGAGAAAATAAGTACATGGAGGGAAGTGGGAGAAAATGGTGGAATGTGATGGACAGCTAAGCAGGCAAGAAGCGAATACATATACTGAGCAAAGGAAAGACGCTTAAACTCACAGTTTCGCGGTCACTGTCATTGGCCTTCTCAAAACTTAAGCCACCCGAGGGAGGAGCTGAAATCTATGTTCGGAGCAAACAAAACAGGCCAAGGAAACAAAGCAGGACACGTGAGGTTCAGACAGAAAACAAAAACGTTGACTTCAACACGACTGAATAACAACCTTGCACGTCCGTAAAGCACAGATGCAGGACCCCCTAACACTCAGAATCAACCAAACTTGCCATGCAGGCACCAAAACCATCTGAACCACCTGAACCACCTGGGAGCGCACCTGAGCGTCTCTAGACTTGGCCTCTTGGATTTGCACATAGGAGTAGAGAACCATGCCGACCAGAGCAACCAAGATGCCGCCCGCATTGCGCCAGCTGAAGGGGTTGTTCAGCACGAGGTAGCCCAGCCCCAGCACGAGACACGTCTTCAGGTGGCCTAGCACCTGGCGCGAGGCAAGGGGGAGAAGTGGAACAAGAAAGGAGCCGAGCTGGATGCATTGCGCCAGCTGGATGCATTGCGCCAGCTAAAGGGGTTGTTCAGCACCAGGTAGCCCAGCCCCAAAACGAGACAAGTTTTGAGGTGGCCTAGCACCTGGGGGGGCATGGGGGAGGGGAGGTCAGGGAGAGGAGGGGGCGAACACATGGGCATACCGCGGGAATGGTTGTTTTATTACAACAATGTGACATCTTGCCACTATGGCGACATTACAGTATGACCCAAGAGTATGACCCAAAACGAAGGTTCACTCTAGAAGAAAACCTGGAGGTTTTTACAGCCCACCCACCTGGTGGTGTGATGAGAGTTTTTTTTTACAGCAGTTTAAAACTCACTTATACGCTGACTCAGTAACGAGGTATATTGTAAAGGTCCTGAAGGAGGTGTGCTCCTTAAAGCCCACCCACTCACCTGGTAGGTGACTGGCGATGTCTTGCCGATAACAAGGAAGGAGCTGAAGTTGACAGCCACTGCAATGAAGCAGGACAGCAGGATGAACGACTGGCAGGTGTGGGATGGAGGGGTTGGGGAAGGGGCAGGAATGGGAGGGAAAGGGGTATGAGAGCTTGAGAAAGAGTAGGGTAGAATGGGGGGAAAGGTCAAAGCAAGTAGGTCGGAATTGGAAAAGGAGCTGAAGTTGACTGCCACAGCAAAGAAGCAGGACAGCAGGATGAAAGAATGGGGGGGAGGAGGGCAGAAGCGGGGGGGAAGAAGAGGGGAGGGGCCAGAAGGAGGGAGGAGAAAGGGGGGGGAGGGGGCGGATGAGGGAAAAGAGGAGGGAGGGGCAAGAAGAGGGGGATGGGAATGGGGATAAGGGGGGTTGACTTGATGAATACAAACACAGAGCTGAAGTTGACACCCACGGTGATTAAGCATGACAACAACCAAAGGTTGTTCAAAGGGCTCGAAACACCGAGAAGCACTGGAGTTGCTGAACTTACAATGACGTTGAAGGTGTAGTCGAAGGCAAAGACGTTGTGGCCCGTGAGGTAGGCGTCGACGAAGGGCCCACAGCACTCACCAGCACACTCACAACACTCGTGTATCGCACTTGTGTATGCCACTCACAACGACGTTGAAGGTGTAGTCGAAGGCAAAGACGTTGTGGCCCGTGAGGTAGGCGTCAACGAAGGGCCCCGAGAGGATGAGGATGAGCGCCTGGAAGGGCGACGACTGGTACAGCAGCTGCGTGCTGCTCACCTTGTACCCCTTCTGAATCGTGTTGGTCATCTGGGGACGGGGAAGGGGCGGGAGGGGAAGGGGATGGGGTAGGGAGTGGAGGAAGGGGAGGGGGAAGGGGCCAATTGATTGAAGGGAGAAGGAGAGAGGCACGAGAGGTAGGCGTCAACGAAGGGCCCCGAGAGGATGAGAATGAGCGCCTGGAAGGGCGACGACTGGTACAGCAGCTGCGTGCTGCTCACCTTGTACCCCTTCTGGTTCGTGTTCGTCATCTGGGGACGGGGAAGGGGAGGGGCAAGGGGAAGGGCAAGGGCAAGGGCAAGGGGAAGGGCAAGGGCAAGGGAAAGGGAAAGGGCCGGGGGGGTGGGGGAAGGGGCGGGGGATTGTAAAGGGGAAGAGGGAGGAGAAAGAGAGAGACGACGGGGAGGGGGAAACTGAAGGGGACGGGGACGGGCGGGGATGAGGAAGGTGAAGGAGAGAGGGAAGGGTAATTTGTAATAGTAGCACAATCTACCCCGGCCGGTCAGCTGCCACGTTGACGGTGCGCACTACAACTTACAATCTGAGCAACACAGGTGCTGACGATGGCGAGAGCGGCCAGAACGGTGCCAACGAAATTGAGCTCCAGGTCCGTGACAGTGGCGATGCCCACGCCCAGCAGTAGCACCAGTAGCGACGCCTGCACCTGCAAGCTGGAACACAAAGAGAGAGGGGGGGGAGGGAGGGGGGAGGATTTGAGTGGTGGTGGGAGAACTGTGTGATGGAAAAATAAGGCGGGGGGGTGGGGGAAGGGAGGGAGGGGGCGAAGGAGTGGTGCGGGGATGAGGACTAATGGAGGACTAGGGGCCTCAGATAGGCCCAAGCCTAGCAGCCACAGGACCAGCAGGGACCATAATGGTGTGGTGGGGGGATGGACAGCTATTTTAGAGGGGCCTCATAATGGTCATCCCCATCAGCAGTGGCAGGATCGAGCGATTCTGGTGGGTGAGATCAGATGATCACGAGAGTTGGTGTGACACGAGTCACAAGGAACAAAGAGCTGCTTGCAACGGTGGCAAACGTCTGTCAAACTCACGAGCAGCACCAGCCGGTAAGTTGGGTGTGGGAATGTGGTGATAGTTCGCATTCCAGGCAGACCGAGAGGAAGTGACATGAGGCTTGCACAACGAGCAGAGGCTTGCATCGCAGCGGTGCCCTGAACATGTAACGCGAGAGAGCAGTACGATCTGGGAACACGGGATCATGATGCATGATGCACGCACGTACCTGAATCTCATCTTCAGGAAGAGGATTTGCAGACAAACCGTGCACGGGATGATGGCGAGCTTGGCCATCTGCGAGGGGTGCAATGCAATGGGCAACACACCGAAACTGAAACAGATGAGAGGTTTCTCTTGATGGGACGCAAGTCATGCACGGGAAGGTGGTTTGCATGCAGTGCAGACAGACCGTGCACGGGATGATGGCGAGCTTGGCCATCTGCGAGGGGTGCCAGGAACGCAACGGCAACGCGCCGAAACCGAAACAGACACAGCAATTTGATGACTGAACGAGTGCAAACGGCGAGAATGCTTCTATCGGGAATATTTGAAGGGGCTTCTCTTGAGGCGACGTAAGTCTTAACATTGAAACCGGGAATACATGCATGAATATACTCGGGAGACGCTTTTTCGTTGTGATATGATGTTTGTCCCATTTTTTATCGTGTCGTGATCTTGTTTGTTCATAAGCACGCGTGCGACTGTGAGGGCGTGCGATTGAGAATGAGAAGCGAGTTATTAAAAGCAGACAGATTGAAGCCCAATGGACGCTTTTGGCCGACTCAATCCGACCTCGGGATCATCACGGGGCGAAAGACGTTACCTGGTAAAAGCCGACGGAATTGAACCCTGATGTCAGATTTAGAAGACCGATGGACGCGCCATTGAGCAGGCCGAACCCAATCAGATCAGAATCTTCGAGATCATCGCGAAGGAAAAGGCGTACCTGGTAGAATCCAACGGAATTGAACCCTAGTGTCAGGTTGAGCAGGCCGATGGACG